CTCATCTAACTGTTCAATAAAGAAATGTTGTTATTTGTTCGAAATAATAAATCATGCCATAGAAATAGAAGAATCTTATTGAAAAATCTAACTGAATTTAAAATAAAATTACGTTAACCGTTGAACAATCAACTATAGTACAGTAGATATTATGCCGTACTTTGCTTAGTGACATGAAAATTGGCAGTCAACCTGAAGGATAGAACTTAAAACTGCGAATCGGAAACCAGGACGAGTGCAAGGGGTTGTGCGTGTTGTACGCAAAATCCATTGAAAACAAAAGAATAAGCAACAACATCAAAAAATGATTCATACGGATTTACTAAAGCAAAAATCTGACAAAATATAGAGGATTACAAAAATGTGAATCAGCACTATGTTACTTCAGACAATCTCGTGAACACAGGATCATCAAATCACACCTTGACACAGAGAAAGAGCGGATTACAATGAATTTGATCAAGTGGTATGCAATTATGGACGATAAAAATGGGAAGAATCAAGATCAACTTTATGGAAGCTTGCATTCACTATTCTTGAAAATCTCAGCAACGTATAAACTATTTTAACTGAGGATTTTAACGTCATATGTGTTGAGGATGACAGTAGGTATGAAGACACCGTGTGATGATATGGAATGGCAGAAAGAGACTAAACAGTGACAGATTCGCAAACCTACGGGCTTTCAGGAAATTGGCGGTTGGCGTCACCGAATCCCCGCATAAACGTATGCACACAGATACATGGGTTTCAAGGAATCACACTACACATAGTCAAATCTTTCACATTTTTATCAATCGTAGGTTCAGAAGAACCACGTAGGACGCGAGATCCAAGAAAGGAGTTGACTTATCAATAGATTATCATTGTAGTGTGGATAAGAATAAACATCGTGCAACATTCAATTGAATGAAACTCACCGTTTTGCATTGGCTTCATTACTCACGAGATAGCATTCGAAAGCGTGAACAGGATAACACGTCGTGCACCAACCAAATCACTAATGGTAAAGAAGATTTGGATGATATGAAACCCATGATATAACTTGGCTGTCATGATGGATATAGGTGATCATTATGCAGACGCAAATAAATAGATAAACGAAACGCTGGCACCATTTATGCAACAAAAGAACATCTGCAACTCAAACAACTTTCAACTAAGATTATTGAACAATAATTAGTCATAATCTCAATACAGGTCAACTGTATGGAGCCGAAACCTGTGTAACAAAGAATGCCATCTTACGGAAGATAATAGTCGTATATGATTAGGGCCCATACAGCTTACTTCAGCCTTTGAATAAAATAATTTTTGTGTTATTATCGAGCTATTTACACAGCTTTTGATCTGGTCAATTATTCGCTTCGATGATGTTGGTTTTTATTGACGTCTGTATGTGCATGATTACTTCACTTATTACATGTTTAAGCTATTTTCTCTTGACAATAAGTACTTCGTCGTGCTTCATAGCAAAGAGTTGCCTCTATCGTCACTTTGTTTTGCTTTGATTTTTTGCTTTGTATTCGAATGTCCGTCTGCACAAACAACTGTCTGAGAGAAACTCTGCCAAAAGAACTCATCACTAGCTGATAATCATCGGAGTCTAACAAACACGAAAACCCTAAACATGATATAGGTTTACTGAAAAAAAGATTTATTTCAAAAAATATCTAATCGTTCTTCCGAATTAACGTCAGATCACATGCAATAATATTAAAGAATATCTACACAATCTACTAAGGATTCGTTGACGAAACATCCTCAGAAACAACCTACTGTGGTGGAGAACCAACCTGGAATTTACGCTGAATAAAAGGTTTTAAAGACGGGCTGCAGATAAACCTAACTTACTTCTTCAGGCGTAACTGTAACTCTAAATGTTGTTAATGTGATTTTCATACAGTAAGTTGTTTATGAAAATCATGAAGGCGATTTCTATTAGGAGAACTCTTACAGCTACTTTAAAAATGTTTTGCTGATGTTAAATCCCCAGAACTCACTTGATAAATATCTTTATTTGAGATTTATTTCATGGACTGATCAGTTGAACTTGAGATCACATTTCCCATTAGGAAAATCTTCGGTTGTGTGTTATGTTCGTCACTAGGTACGTTTGAAGCTATGACGAGTTCATATTAGTTGATAAACGCGAACGTGACAATTACCAGCGTTCAGGTAGGCTACCTTGAATCCCAAGCTGTGAAACAAAAGTCTTGGTAAGCGTAGAAAGTATATTCTACAACACCCAAAAATCACAATACAATCGAGCACACAACTATCGCTTATTTATACATCATATAAACGTCCTTGAGCCAGTTACGAAAATAGCATACTGAAATACACAGCAGCCAGTCACAGCCATGGATTTTACCGGTTGGAAATGAAATCTCAAGGTCAACTGTTCAGCCCACGCTCACAAACATGGAATCAAAAATAAGGCATTTTTCTAGCGAGTTCTGGGGATCTAACATCCCCAACACAGTGATTCATTACTGTGTCGTTTAAGTGTTCTATTTTGTGACTATCCCAAGGACGTCTCTATAGAGTATAAATAAACGGAATTTGAGTGCATGGATTCATTGTGTGCTGTCTGGGTGTTTGTAGAATGCTATATCAACGCTATATCGAGACTTCTTACTAATATTATTAGATTAAGGGATCTCAGTAACCTACCTGGACGCTGGTTCATTGTTTTGTTATGGTTATTTGACTTAGGTGAACTTGCAGTAGTTGATGCATACCTAGAGACGAGCGTAACAAAAAAAGAAACCTATTCAGTGATTTTTCGTCACATTTGAAATAACCTCAGGTTTTAACGACAATCATCGTTTTCGCTACACTATGTTCATAGATATCAGAAACTATCGCTGCTGCACTTCCGACAAAAAAATGAAATGTAAAGTATGCGTAACGTAGATAAAGCCTCTTGCAAACTCTCATAAACAAATGTAGATGAAACTGTAGAGAAGAATTGTATCGTTCACTTGTCGTTATTTAATTTACACAATCATTTTCAACCTACTCGTAAATCAGTTGAAACGCAGTTTTCTCTCAGCCCAATGCTGCATCAGAAATTATCACTCGTCAAGGTAGTCAGTGTCCGAACATATGTTACACAAGCCCTAACCACCTAAACTGGTCAACAATCACTTTTTTCTCAGTTTCTCTCTCATTCCTACCTAGTAGTCTTCCTTCAACATCAGCATTGCTTACTCAGTTGTCCCAGAATAAATAATCATAGCGTCGAAGACACACGTTCAAATCACAGTGATATAATATGCTTCAAACTTGTAAAGTTGGACGAAACGAAGTGGTGCGCAATAGAATTTTCCGCAAACGGAAACCTCACCTATGTCATAAGTGAGGTAAGTTGGCTAAGAAAAGTCAAGCATTCTATATCTGTGCCGAGGATTCATCACACACCGGGCCTTAAGCACTGATGAGAATCCTAAAGCAGTCGAAGTGGCCAACAGGCCCGATCGGTTAACCTCTCATCAATAGTTCAGATACTGATAAAAGTCAGTCATGAAGCAGTATATTGCATTTAGAGGGATAGAATCGCATCCCGAACAATTCTAGTTTGTTGTTTAGGGTAGTCAGAAGAATCTGCATTTCGTCAATGGCATCGCAAACTATAATGACAAAATAAGGATGTTCTGTGTCAACAATCGAGCCTCTTGTTAAGAATCCATCTCCTAAAAATTCAGACAATGTAACTGTTGCCTCTAAATGCAAGTCAGTGAAAAATTTCAACTAGGTTAGAGGAAATAAACAACCCAGAGGAACGCCAATAGCTGTAATTAATTCCGGTGACAGTTGGTTCTAAGCTTTGATTCAACAAGCAGAATTTGAGCACAGAGCATGTTACACGTTTAGTTTTTCTCTGGTACTCATTCGGATGACAGCTACTGTCACAGACCATCACTATCAGCAAATTCAAATACCGGCTTTATGTAGAGAAATACAACTACTTTGGGACGTCAAAAAGTGTGTCTTTGTTAAAGGCTCTGATGAAGACTGAATTGCTTGTCTGCCCAAACATATCCAGATCTGAAACCACTCTGATACTATTCAAGTTTGCCTTTCACGAGATCTAGTTAGGCATTCAAGTATTACTGAAGCTGATATTTTAGACACTTTATTAGTTAAAATGATACCTCCATGACTGTCATGTGATGACTTTTTTCTCATACAGAACATGGCAGTCAGCGACTGGGACCATTTGGATGAGATTATATCCATTTTTCAGATTCTTGTTAAGATCTCAGTCATTCTAACTGATAAAACTGGACCATCATCCTTAAAAATCTCAGGGGTAATGCTGTCAAAGCCTGCGCATTACTGAAATGTCTGCGTAAATGTTTTTCTAGTTGCTCCCATTATATACTCTTGGTTTGGTTATCGTGATGTAGAATTCGAAGGGGTTTACTTGTAGTAACTTTTTAAGATGCAGACAAATACCCATTCGTACATATGTCGATATCAAGTTGTGTTTCAGTTTTCTATTAGACGCTTTCGATGTTTCATGGCATTCGAACACCTCAATAAAGTTTAGATCATTGACAAACCAAAAAATGATATTTTGTTTAACAAAACTGCTAAAATGTAATTAAAAGTCCTAAAGCTGATAAGTTATACTTCAATTAAAACCCCATTATTCAATAATTAAATTACACTTAATCTAACCTTAACTTCATTAGGTTGGTATTTATTGGATTTCCTGAATATGCTACGATTCATCTTTGGCATTCTTTCTACGAGTCACCGATTCTTCCATCCAATAAAATACACTGTTGTTACAAATAAAAAGTTTTACATTCTTCGTTCTAATTCTATTGGTTATTCTGTCTACGTAGTCAATTGATTGAAATGAAAGCTGGTAGATTGTAAAATATCTCTCATTCAATAAGAAATTTCACTCTATATCAGTGCCAAAAACATTAGCTACAATTGAATTTCACCATCGAACAATGTTCATAGCACCTATCTACTCGATAATGCTTTTGCTATTCTATCCTGTCTTCCTTCTGACTAGTATCGTTACTCAAGAAACTTATCCATACGTAAGAGTCTAAAGGAAATTACTTTCTACTACTAACCATAATACTTGCAGTATTCATTTCAATTTGTAAAAAATCCGCAATTAAGTTTATACAATGCTCGTAAAATTATTAATCCAAAGTATTGGGTGGTAGGCTATAACATTTATTTCGATACACCAGTGACAATGAAATTTTCAGAAAAGAGACTTGGAATTCAAAATAAGAGTTCACCAGATGAAATTCACATCGGTTGGTATGATGTCTGACGGTAAGTAACGGTGTTTATGTTTAATTTTATAAGTTATTGTTGATGTGAAGTTTTCCAGTTAGTATATAGGATTAAAAGACGTTTCTATATTAGATCCTATGAAAACAATGAATAAAAGTAATTCAATGAATGGATTCTTGAATTTTTCATGATCATGAAACGTAAAAACACATCATAGATAGCTGCTTTCCATTTAAATTTCTTTGTGTGTACAGTATTTGTGTTCGATGTATTGCAATTTATAATTTTCATGTGTTTATGTTTTCGTTTCTTAGGTGCTCTATGTCTAACTGATTCGTTTAAACATGGAACTCCAGCAAGACAATTTAAAATCTTCAGTGAGATTCCAAAGTACAATAGACTATCGATCTATAGTAGCAGTAAGTTTTGGTTCTTTTGAGAAACCACCGGCTCAGGCCTGGACCTAGTCACCTCAGCTGATATTATTGACATATACTTGTTTAAAATAGTTGAAAGTCAAATTTGTGCTACAAGTCTTGATCAAACAACTTATGGATATTTCTTCAAATGTTAGTTGTTCTCCCTGACATACCTATTGTTTGCACGTTGATTATTTGAAACTCTATATTTTAGTCGAAATATTGACAAGTTGTCTGATATCGAAACTAGTAGAACAACCATGTTTAGTAACATCAACATTGCTAATCAGTTAAAACTGCTTTAGGAGCGACCACAAAACTACAATTGTGTTTTCTTATGTGAATAACGTCAGTGGTTCATCATAGTCTCAAAATTCATTGTACTATTTTTGAATTTCTAGCTTCTTTGTTCTACATCGGTTGGGAAAATTTTAAGACAAAATCTGGAATTCTATCGGCAACAACTGACCGTATGTGAAAATGTTTTACAATAATTTGTAAATTTAATGAGTCTTTCTGCCGCATCAATTAGCAAACTTCATGGTATCTGTATTTTGAACACTACAGTAATTCTTATGTCTAAGCAGCTGTCACTGAGTTCTGATTCATTATTTTATTCGCCTTATTTTGAAATAAGCACATGATGACAGAAATGACCTGAGTCTGTAAAGCGTTTTATTGATTCAAAACCATTAGATATCTTACTTTTACTTTAGAAGATCAGAAAGTATTTTCAATTTATGTACTCGGCAAACCACCCTGGCTCTTAAATAGATAGCCACTGTATACTAATATAGACATGATGATGAAAAATAACTATTACTTTTAAGCCTTGTGATTATTTACCTCATTCTTCAAACTTATTTCTCACTAGAAAGTTTAAATTGCAGACATCAGTTAGCTCATTCATTTGTTGATTCATCATACACCACAATGAAGATTGTCACATTTCATTTTTGTTCTGCACAATTTTCAGCCGGTGTTTTCGTTACTATCTTTAATAATGGAACCATTCAGTTCACCATTAAAGATGTAAGTCTACTCCTAATTACTTTTCAATCATAGTATTAGGCGAACCAATTCGAATCAGTTTTTTGTGTCATAAGATTTCATGATACAGCCTCAACTAACTTAAAACGAATATTACATATATACTGAACTTAATGTCAGATTTATTATCAGCATCCGTTAATAATTGAACTGACGGAACTAATCATTCACACCACTGATTAATCAATAATTTCTAGTCAGCGGTTTTCGATGTCATATAGGTAACACAGTGCGAGAATCGCCAAACAGCTCTCTCCGACGCATAACTGTTTATTGCGTCTACATTCAGATGAATGCCACCTACAAATGAATGTGCAATATCTACACGACGTCATTATAATATCTAACCACATGTGAGAGCAGATTTCGTCAGCGTTGAGTATACAGACCTTATACTGTTTTAATAAATACATAAGTCCACAAATAACTGTTTACTGACTCTATCTTGCATAGATAATTGTGTATATAAAATTTCAGACATTTAAAATATGTATTTGTTTTATGTTAAAGCTGTTCGGTAAATTATCAGGAAGAAATTTGACAATAAAAATCACAGACGGAATTTATAATCAAAAAACTGAGAATCGTAAGAAATACTTTGAACTTCATTTATTATTTTACTTAAGAGCATATATTTCTGTTTGCGGAACAAAAGCATATCTCCGTTTGAATGCTTCTGCTAACCATTAACTATAATTTTTGGTTTTCTAAATTAATTAAGGCCCATAATATCTCTTCACATTTCAACTGTCAAATAATGTTAAATATTTATGCTGTAAATTGAACGAACCTAACATATTTAATAAATTTTGATGAAACGTGGTGAAGGAAAGAGCACCAACCAGAATTTTCGTCTTACGGCGGAAATGTTATTTCCATTATCGATGAGCTATCCATTATAAAAAATAAAGAATAGAACGAAAAATGTGAACCGGCATTTTACTACATCCGATGATAAAAACGAAAACAACATTATAACATTTCCATTCTGTGTGGCGCAGCCGCATCCTGACAACTTCCTTGGCTGAATCCCGTTCTCTCACAGAACAGCTTGCTACCACTGTTGTCTGGCTAACGAATCGAAGTAGTGTGTGTAGAAAACTACTGATAGTCGGATTTTCGCTATATCTTCGGTGATCCTCCGTTTTTCAGATCCATAAACAATAATGATTTTAATATCTATATTGGTATTTTTCGCTTGGCTGTTACAAAATATTGATTACGAAGTGCATATTTTCTTCAAGTGAAGATTTTTTTGCTTCAGTGTTTTTTATTATGTATATTTATCTATGCATGAGATTCGCGTTTCTGATCAACGATAATGCCCAGATATGTAAATGTAACCATGCCTATCGAAACTCCTGAATCAAGTGAGAATTTGTGGATGCGTATTTTGTTGGAATGGTGTGTGAACTGTGCTGATGAACAAGAAGCGCTTGTGCGATAGGAATCTCGTGTACACATGATCATCAAAGCAACCCTTGACACGAATAAACAGCGGATCACAATTAATAAGATCAAGTGATATGCTCCTACCGACGATAAGAATGTGGAGGATCAAGATCAATACATGGGTTTCAAGGAATCACACTACACATAGTCAAATCTTTCACATTTATATCAATCGTAGGTTCAGAAGAACCACGTAGGACGCAAGATTCAAGAAAGGAGCTGACTTGTCATTAGATTATCACTGTGTTGTGGACAAGATTTAACTACAAAGATGTTCCACGCCGTGTTCAGTAAGATAGGGTGAAAGAACAAGTAGTAATAGGCTGAAAAAGGACGATTTATCAGGATGACAAAGAAAAAAGATCTTGGCAGGTGTGAGGATGACAAATCGATTACTTTATTCTCAATACCAGGCAAGGACTTCAACAGAATGTTGTTGAACCGAATGAAAGATTTAGCGAATCACAATCAAATTACAACTGAAATCATAGGGTAATCTGCGAGAACGTGCTCAGAAGACAGTTGAAACTGTTATGCTTAGCGGAGTCTTATGTCAAGCATGTTGCTCGCACCATGAAATCGAGTTGAACAACGTAAATATATAAATATGAAGCAAAATTTAACAGTATTTGACATAAATGCTGTCGAAATTGTAACTTGATTTTTCGTGGGTAATTATTGTGATCAACTCTGAGAATGCATCCATGGGAAACTGAGAAGGTTGAAATTACGTGTCTGAACAGCTGCATCTCTGTGGCGAAAAACTGTTCCAAAATTAACGTAAATCTGTCCTTGATTCACGATTTCTACTTCTTCAAACCATTTCCGAAACATTTTTTTCACAGGTCAATATTTAACCTCTAGAAGGCATCTACAAACATTCCGTTACACTGTTCCTTCGCTACGTCAAGTTCAGATAATAGATATCGTACCGATCGCAAGTAGGTGAAACCTAATTATGTAAACATAAAATATTTTGTAATACTGAAATGTTACATCTGAGCTAATATCATTTAACAATAATCCAGTAAATGTTCACAAATTTTGGAGTAACAAGTACGAACAAAATTACTGCAAGACGTAAGGTAGTTTATATTTCTCTAAACATTTTCGGAATTTCGGAAGCTGAGTGATGCTTCAGCACCAAAGACGATTACCCATGAATCGACAAGGTAACATACCACGGAATATCAACATGTGAAATTTCATATTTCTTTAGATCAGCTTTAAGAGACCACCCGATTTCGTTCATTGTGGGATTCTACGCTCCAGCTACCTAGTTTAATTTTCAAATTCTGAACGAAATCAGCTTTGCTCTCTACCAAATAAAATTTTGTGTACGGCAACATCACTTAGGCATTAGCACATAAATAATCAAAGAATTTTACTGATCAACCATGATCAAATTAATTCGATTTCAATTCTAATCAGTCTACAGATAGTGGACTTTCAGCTATTCAAATTCCGTACTGAGGGATATTCAAAGTTATCTTAGTGATCGCTCCAATGTATCTAATAGAAATTGCTCTGTTAAACTTCAAAAACGATGAAATAAGATCGTTTTGTACATCATTTGGATCCCTGTTTATATGTCGTCATCGGTCAATTGATCACATGATCAGGGATACATTATTATTTGGTTGCATGAACATTAACCTTGAAAGCTATCATGGTATCACTTAAATCGAATCGATAGTTCAGCAGTAAGTGAGATTATTTTGTGATTTTGTAATATTAGGATGTTCAGTACAAAAGTCGTACGATTCATGCATCTCTGAATCGCTGGTATACGCAGACTGCAATTGGTGTTCGAAACAAAAAAGATGCGAGAACGAAAACAATAGACAGAAAAATGAACTGATTGGTGATGATTGCAATATCAGAGTAAGAGGTGAAAATTTAACCATCGTTTTATGATTGCCTATACATTCACCTACTTGCGTGCGCATTTTTGTTAGGCTTGAAAGCTCATCGCCAGTGAATTACAGTAATAAAACACAATGTACAGGTAACAGTTGAGTGTGAACATAAAATAGTGTTTGAATAGAGAAATAAGAAGACATATTTTGTGAGATAGTACCATGGTTCTAGTGAGTGAATGTCATGCTAAATAAGAAATTTTGGCCTTATCTTCAAAACTGTATTTACACAAATAACATGTTGCTTGTATGTGACTGACGAGAAAGCACGAAATGGTACTATCTCACAAAATATGTCTTCTTATTTCTCTATTCAAATTTATCAAAGGGAACCACTGTTTTGAATAAAATATTGTGTTAACTTATGAAAGAGAGCTATATTCTTCAACATAAGCTCAATAAAAAAGAGTGTTATCGAGGTTAAATACATAGCTGTTTAATACTTCACTGTCCATTAGAACAGAATGATAAATGTTTGAATTCAGCATAAAATCTGGAATTCAATGCTCGTTCAACATAAACCGTCGCCATTTGTCGTTGTATTTTACGACTGTGTAATTTCGCAGTCATCATGGACTTCCAATGCCTTTTAAGCTTTCGAATCGGTATAAATCCCAACAAAAAGATTGGCCACGTGTAATATTACAAGTTTGGCAACATCAGTGCTGTTAAGTTTTCTTTCATGAAATTGTGGTGGAGTTCCGTTCTCCGAGATGTACGTTTTGATTGTGGAGCTTTCATTTTTCTTGTGAACAACAACGTCTGATGAAACTGAAGTATTCGAGATGTTAAAACAAGAACTACGAAAATCATCCATGTGAGCTATGAATATTCTCCAACATCTCACATGAAATCGAACAACTTTGTGGTCTGGTAATGCTAAATGAGCGTTCTTATTGAGAACGGTGTCACTGAAAGCAATAAGTACATTCACTTAATTCTAAATTCAGTGAGCTGTCAGTCTCACGTTTTCATAATACGAAGTTAACTGTAAGGCTAAAAGACAACCACCAGACACTATCATAACTGAACTGGTGGAAATCCGAAATTAGGCTGATTTGTTGAAATTTCGTAAAAATGTTTTCCACCTTCCTAGAATATACCAACATCAAATAATTCAAAACGAATAACCACAATCGATAATATATTTGAATTGGCCTCTGAAAATGTGTCTGAATCGGTTGGGTTGGAGCAAACAACGGCAACAACCGGCACTCCTACTAATCATTCACCTCGAGGTGTATCTGCGCCAAACGTTTCAGTAAGAATGACAACAAATGATCATGATGCCTACTCTTCTCAAAGTGCTTCAGAATCTGATCATTTGATGCAAACAACAACGAAAACCGTTGATCACACTGTCCATTCATCTCAGAGTGCATCTGTATCTGATAATTCGATACGAATAACAACAAACGCTGATCTTATTGTCTATTCAGTCGGCAACATCTATATGTACCTTGTTCTATCAATTGCAATTGGTGTGATTTTAGGCGCCTCAATAATCGTTTGCCTGATTAAACGGCAGCAAAATGTACCTGCTTAATTTTCGCAGCCTTCTTTGATATAAAGATTATCACCGATATGACTCTTGAACTGTTTTTTCGTAATTTTCATTAACAAAAATATCATTATTAGTTTGTTAACAATTTATTATTTGATGACTGTTTTATTATCACGGTAAATCTGGGACAACTGATGGAAAAAGAACAGTGAAATATAAGCATAACTGTAGTAGGAGTGTGTAAACAAGCTGAGTAGTAGATACAGTTCTGTCGGTGAAAATAATAACAGTGTGAGAAAAACAATGTAGGATATAACTAACAGCTTCAAAGTACGCAAATGTACTCTTATATCACCGACTTATATCAGTAACTAGGTCAACAAAGTCATAACGGAAAGCTCAAGTAAATCGCAAACATACTGCAATAGAATAAAATTTATTGTATAATGTTGCACAGATTCAAAATGAAATAGCAAAGGATAGTGTCTTTCAATAAGTGAACGGTAAAGTTACAAAAAGTTCAATTGTAAATGTATAATCAGTTTATTTGTTAAGATTTCAGTATTCACATTACAATGATCATATAAGCAAGTAACTAACGACTCCATGCTATTTATATTTTCTAACGAAATCAAGGTAAAATCAGCATTTTGCACATATTTGTTGAACCCTTACATATTTGTGCGCTGAACGTAAATGGATACGAAAAGTGTCCGTAAATTGTCCTCACTAGAGAAATTAACGGATTGATATATGTAACGCCCAAATGACATCTGTGAAACATTTCATTTGTTTGTAAGAATCACTGTTTGAGTGTTTGATTTCCAATAAATAACATCAAATCAACATATTAGCTTTATAAAATCGATTTGCTCGTGATTGGATTTATCGATCTCAGTGTGGTCGAAATTGTATTATTTTAAGTAGCTTGCATTGGTCAGTCTCAAGGAGACAATCAAGGATATTTAGTCGTTCGATCCAAATGCATTCACTATTGCAACTGAATCGCTTTAGTTAGACTAAACTATCCTTTTATCACCGTTGAGCTACTATGCGAGTGTATACTTGGTCACCGCCTACGCACATTGTCATTTGACTAGCCTTACCGATTTCCAGCTTAAGTATTTCTACGGCAATATCGACTAAATATTATTTGAATAATGAATAGCTTGTGGCGACAACTTGCGATCTGTAATAACCTTCGTTAGGTTGAGGGTATACAGGATTTAGAAGATACAGAATGTCTACCACCACAGAACAGTTGACTGTGATGAATGACCATCAATCGCTCTTATAAATTGAGAATTTTGTTAACTGTCTGAAGTGTCAAAATATTGATAACTTTGAAAACAGTATATATTAGAATTAAAAATTTGGCAATGAAAACACTTGCTTTAGAATCGCTTATGTCCCATTCAGCATCTGTGCATATTCAGATGTTGATGTTAAAACGCTAAGGCTGCGAAACAGTGATCTCAGACAGTTTTCGAATGCGGATAATTGGTTCAGATCTTCTTCCAGACCCTTGTATGGTTCGACGTCTTTTGTCCATTATTTTTCTTGTAATCTCCGAGTTTTAAACCCAATGACCACTGCCATGGTATATGCTTTCGTTTGCACTGTTTAAATCCTGATGTCGAATTTATCAAACGCACCGTATCTTGCAATGAGATGAAGACAAATACTCCACTCTTCCGTCTTACGATCTATGTAGGGTAGCAATTACATGTAGACTGGCAAATACAATCGTCATTGATATATAAAGAGAATTTATGAATGTTCAACTGTCTTATTTAGCGATTCGTGTGATACATAGTAATCAGCCTAGCGATGAATATGTATTTTTCATTGTTCCACTTACCTTGAAATCCATCTTTCTCGGTTCTTCAAGACAGCTGAAGCCAATTCATGAGGAGATGGTCTTCCTCTCAACAATGTCGTACATCAATTCCTTAACATTAGTCCTCGCACGCTCGCTTATGAAAGTTTGTAGGTGTCAAGTAAAACAGTATGTTTAGAACGAATGCATGTACGATCCGGTATAACCATTTCAATCACTTGACACCTCTCCACTACAAAATAATTTCGGTTAAGTGCTTCGGTCACAGAATAGAACTATTGTGTTATGAGGATTAAGTGGATAGCGAAATAGATTATTTCAAGAAAAAATCATGAAACAATGGCTACTGAGATTTTTGGATTTTGAAGCGTTCACTTGAAAAATTTGTTGAAAATACACTTCAAACCGTCAGGTTATATGCAGTCTTTTTAAATAAACCAGTAATCACACGGCGAATCAAGTATAGGTTGGCGAAGTTGAACTCCTTCAAGCGTGTATCCTGACTCAACTGCATCTGCAAAGATTTATTCATAAGCAATGCGCAAAGGTCTTATCCCTGAATGCTCTAATATAGCCTTCCTTCCTTTGTGTGTTCATATACTTTCCAAACGACACATTCAAATTGAAAACAGTTCACTTTTCAGTACCGTCATAATTAATTCAAATACACGACTGGCGTTATAAGCGATATAGAGAAAACGTAATCAGCATAACCAAAATTTATTTTAACATAGGATGATGTTGAATTTGAATTTTCTTAACTATTCACAGTTTTGTTACGATAACAAAGGCAGGCACTGGCAACTGACATTTCTTCGACAATTATTCGAACAGTTTTCACTGTTTATCTATTCCGTATGTATGATATTACACAATAAAGACGGGCTTATATTAATGGAGAATTCACTAGATTGTAAAGTTGTATCACCTAACATGGTTAAGATATTTTATATACTGATTCTACAGAGAGTGTCATTCGTACTGCAACATGTTGTCTATACCATTGTACTTTCATTATTATTCGGCTTTTATAGACACCGCCTACGTACAAAATCCTTCTACTAGCCTAAATGTTAATCTATCAAATATTTGGTGATTTATTAATTTTCCTATGTATATATAAGTACACATTATTCACACATTCGCTCACTGACTTGCTCAGCATATGATAGAGATGGTACAATTACAAACATCATCAGACATTTGTGTTCGTCTTCTCATTATTACTCCGTTGAGCGTTAATCAGTGATGGTTATGTGTATACGAAGTTTGGGGAATATATGATGAGCCAATTCTTGGGCCGCCACAAAGCATTTGGTCATTAAACAAAAAATGTGTGACATATTTAAAGTAACTAACTGCTTTTGAACGTCGTTGCTTTGTCCAAAGCTTGAAGGACCCAAAGTATACAGGTCTAACAACCAACTGAGAACCTTGCATGATGAACACGCACCTAATTCACTACTTTTCTTGTTCAATGACCGATGTCACTTTCATTAAACATTACTCAGAAATTTTGAATATCGGCAAACCTCATGTATTTTCTAAAACGCTTCCTGTAGAAGTCAAAATACGTTACTAGCAGTGAATTACATTATCATTCAAGTCTATTAGTCTATGTTAGTTGCACTTTTGCATTACATTTTGTTTAGTTGATAGTATTTAAATGAAAAATTTTCGACTCCATAGTTTTCCTGTATACTTTTGTTGACTCAGTAGGGGTTATAACTAACCAACTGACTTAGTTGCACAATGGTATTGTATGGACAGATGTATGATAGGCTTTGTGAAAACACATGCTTCTACGCAATAAAGGCAGTTGTTGAGTGTTCAACAATCAAAGTGAGTTTGAATTTAATTTTCATAATGCAATTGTGAAGATTGCTGAGTTTCATTAAAGCTATGAACTGATCATAGTTAGAACGTGAGATGCTGATGAGTCCTATAATATGACGATACGTCTATTGAGTGTTTCTTGCTTTCTGATAATGGTATAACAATTATCAGCCCATGATTTTAATGAAAACCGACATTCCTAACAACTAAAAAATGAAAATCATGAAAAGCTCTTGGTAGTGTTAATTTTTATGGGGAAATTCGCGGCGTTCTAATGGGAATTCGTGGCCATTGCAGTTCAGCCCAGTCAAGTGTCGGCAGTTGCCTACTGAAGACAATGGATGAGGTCGCGCAGTACCTTGATCATATGATGAAACAGCCGTCTCGGGCTTCAAGGAGTTTAGTGATGTTCTAACAGTGATCAATTCATGACTCCAATCAAATATCACGATAAATCGGCTTTTATCCTAGAACACTGATGCGTATCGAAGGACGTACATAAGAAAACCAGCAAGCCATGTCATTAATTACGTCTAGGAACACATTTCACAAAACCTATGAAAAGCGCAAGAACATCTTTCCTGCACTTCAGTCACTCACCACGTGCTCGATACTAGAAATAATAGTGATGCCTCAAAATCCTTCGAGATAATAAACGAACAAAAAGCTTTCAACCTAAGTAGTTTCTAAAATAATATATTTAAACTGAATTTTTGAATCTAAAAATACATCGTTGTGGTTTTACCGTGATGAGATCAGTCAAAAGCTCTCTGTGCTTAATTCATATTTTTCAAAAATTTGATCATAACTTCGTACTTCTTATCTACGCTGAAATCAGCTCGTTTGTAAGCATAATAAAACAAGTGAAATTATTCATTCATTTTAAAGACTTCAAATGCTATGCCATCAATATACTTTTATTCTTAAGTGTGCAAATATTAAACTGATAAGTAATTAACAGTTCGGAAAACGTTTTTTAGTTCCTCAATGTTTACTGTCTTTCTTTAGGTTGAATTTGAATGACAAACTATGAAACAGGCCAACTGTTTTTATTAAAAATAATTCAAACTACTTTCTAGGTTGAAAGCAACTAATGAGAATCCATCAGACAAATGAATTCAAATTATTCTGTTGTCCCGTTGTTCAAATTTATAAATGAGGATATCTACACAAAATGAGGATGTTATATGCCTTATTAGGAATGTATCAGATAGAAACAGGCCAAGTATGTTGGAAGGAGTAGTTAAACTGTATAACTTATCTTGAAAACGCAAAATAATTGCAAACCCTCATCACTCAATTGGATAGAAATATTTCACAAAGTCTGTATTACATTGATAATCCTGCTTATAAACGTTTGGTGAGAATATGAAACTATGCATCACTAGATAAGATTCTAATAAAGCAAAGGATGAAGTACACAAAATGAAGAATGATATTTCTGGCGAATGTGATCGATACGTGCCTATTTTTCTTGAATCGAAATATTTCACAAAGCCTGTATTACATTGATAATCCTGCTTATAAATGTGGGAAGAGACAATATGATTCACTCTCACTTCATCACTGAGAAAGAAACAGTTTTACGAAACTACTAGCATTACCTCATTGAGCCATAATACATTCTGGGGTAAAGAATAATTTTAAGTTAAAAGACGTAATAAAACCGTTGAATCTATTTCGTCACTGTGAAAACTGCACGCCTATTTACAAATTAGCATCAATTAGAAATTATTTATTACATCCATAAACAATTATCAGAAATAAAATGTAAGTAATTTGATACCTAAATATACAAGAAAAGAGCTATTATTTCCAGTGTACAAATAATATCCATTATGTGTTTAATAGTGGAATTTATGTTTAAATGGATACAGTTTTACTGTGGTATTCTACTAATAATCTATTGCTGGCAGATACCTGATTAACTACATTGGAAAACTGACCAATGCATGAGATATTACAGAAAATAAAATACTGCAGTTGGAACGCATCGATTCATGTATTATTTCTTTCATGTGTCTTTATGACTTTTCGATGAAATGGAAAATCGATTAATTTTATGTAATGAACCATAAGTTAAACTCTTGCGTAGTAATGGAGTTGGTGGATCAGACTGTTCACATTCCATATTATGTGAAGTGCTACTTCTAATCAACTTAGGCGTTTGATGACTTGTGCTGGAAGAAGCCGACGACAACGAAGAATATTTAAATGTCAGCCAACGCACCACTTGTTTTGGTGAGAATGCTTTCATTGTGCGCACTGAAGGAAATCGTTTTATCCTAATTTGTGGTGAATCTGTCTTTTCTAACATATTATCTGTAAAGTCATTTTCATGCGTTGAACTAGGTCTTCGCATACATGATATTTGACTGGTTGTCTTTGATCGAAGGATTCGTGTTAAAGTCGATTTTTTCGACGTCGTGGATGCTTCATGTGTATCTACAATGACTAAAGGATTTTGGAATTCTTCAGATGGTCGCGATAAAGTGATCATGGTCGGACCTGATGCTGGTCTCGTCTGTCGGTTGATATTTTGAATTACGGTAATCCACTTTCTCATGGTTTCGCTGTTGTGGGCCTAAAATAAGAAACAGTTAGAAAAAATGTATATTTGACATTTGTAATATATAAACATGTTTAGAAATATAGTTCTTATATAAAATGTAGTTTGGAAAACATTTGTGGTTAATAAAAAAATAAGCCGTTCCTAAAAACGACCACACCTACACCTTATGTTCTAGTTAAAACGAAGGTAGATTAAGAGGTCTGAGAACCACAGATTTGCTAATTAGTATCATCTCTAAGTTAATGTGTATTTTATGAATCATAGATCATAGTTGAACCAAACATTTTTCATTATGTAAATACTTTACACTAAAATTTAAAATCATTTACATAAAATGTGGTACAAGTAAGAAGTAGGCGAAATATTTGCAATGAGACCCAGACGATGTTTACTAGAACTCCAACTGAAACCAATAGAATTGAAATTCCATCACATTTTCAATAATTTCTCCAACAGAGTGTCTATTTTATGGGTCAGGAACGTGAGTAATCAGTGTGGGCGGCGTTCAGTTAGACATCAGAATCGTCATTTTGGTGGCTCCCGATGACTCCAGTATTTGCGAATAAATAAATATGCTATGAAACATATCTCCCCTTCAGTTTTCATATGTTTAGGAAAACCACGCTCGTGTAACAGCGGTAATTAGCCGATTCGCTCGAATGCTCGGAGCAAGCCCGGTTGACTCGATATAAAAAACTCTCACTACAACACTTCAGATATCTAAGAACAGAGAAACGTAACTTTGACGACTTGTAGTAACTTGTTGAACATCTGAAACAGAATCAAAAGTAGTCACTGTTAGTCTGATATGTGACTTCTTTTTAAACTCAAATTTGAACTACCACTGAACATATTACGCTCTATTGCACATATTGCCGAAACTTGTAAGATTTTCTTTCCTTCAAGACCGCCTTTCTAGATTTTGATCATATATTATTATCCTTCAAGTTTAATTTCTGTTCAGATAGCTAACAAATTTGTCGTTCTCGTTAACTGATTGATACGGGAAAATCGGCTGTGAACCATTCAGCATGCAAGTATTAAACAAAGAGAGAAACAGGTCTGTCTGCCAGTGCGGAATTATCCATAATCACTGATGGTAAGTTCTTGGTTTACTAGAAATGACGGTCAAAGTTAGTTACTGTTATGCTTGCCACCAGTTTGTATGCTTCAAACTATTTCGAGTTCACCTTACTCGATAGAAGACAGAGAAGACAAATGATCCATTGACACGATAGGCCATTTTAATCCGAGCGTCACATGGCCCCAGTAAGTAAAGGAAAATGTTTTGACAAGACGTAGAAAGTGTATTTTACAAGCATCCAGAAAATATGAGATTTACAAGCACACAAATCGAGTTTATTTATGCATCATAGAAAGGTCCTTGGGAGGGCCATAAAAATAGCGTACTTAGATAATACATCAGCTAATTACAGCCAAGGATTTTCCGCCTGGGAAATGTAATCTCAGGGTCAAGGGATAAGCCCATGCTCGAAAACATAACATCCAAAATGAGGACCTTTATCAAGTAAATTCTGGGGATCTAACGTCCCCAACACTTACTCAAATGATTTGTACGTAGAGTAAACACAATTTTCAACGTCTAATGTTTTGCTTAGTTCTTCTAATTAATCATTAATTTGGTTCCAAACACAATTTCACATTTTTGCCTAACTTTCATATTTTCCTAGTGTCATTAGCCAGCAAGGGAATTACTTAACGAGAAACGATACCAAGAAATCATATAATACACAAAGAACAATTTTGACAAATAGATATTTCTTGTAAGCTTTATGAAGTCATATCGTAATATAAATTAGATGATAACTTATAGACATCTTACAGATAACGGGTTAGAATTTCTTCGCAACAGCCATTTCCCTATAAAGAAGTGTTACAACAAGATGTTTTACGGCATACTGTCTCACCTATTTTGCGTGATTCACATATAAAATCACTGATTAGGTAAATAAATATTACTTTACAAATAATTTCTCGCCAATACTCTAGATTAACACAGTTATTTTTTATTTGTATTTAAGACCAGTACAAACTAAATAAAAGTAAATTTTATGCATCATTTTATCTTGATAATGCGGTAAACATGACATTTTTGTAAAGTAATGATGATGACTTCATTAAACGAACTATTGATATGCTCAAGTTTTATGTTGAATTTCTCAACAGGAGCACGTTTCATTCATAATAATTTAAATGAAATATTAATTTACTATGATTTATCTTGAAATAATAATTAATATAAATTGTAATCATGATATCATTCTTGTACTTCATATAATAATAAGACAATTATAATGAACAACAATTATAACGAACTTGAAATAAATATCGAGCTCCAGTTGAAGTTTCTGTGATACGAAATGTGTTTGGTCGTTTTGTATAATCCTTTGTTTCACATGCAGTTAATCGATTCTGTCCAACCATTAATCCAGTCTCTCCACGGAATGTTTTGAACTGAGGACTTGAACATAAAATAAAATAACAAGACGTTCTTACAGCTTCAGACAGAAATTGTTTCACCAAACAGTTGTTAAAACATTCCGAAGTAACGACACTATCTTTACTCAACTAAAATTCAGTTTCACATTGATAGTGCTTTCTTCCGTAATTCAATGACAAAAATTCATTAAAGTGGTTATGAGTTGTTAGATTGTTGATAAAACCAACAACTTCGGAAGTAAATAGTGTCTATGACTATATAAAAAAGATTCCATTAATAACAGCGAAATATTTACCAACACATGCTATTCATCTTTCCAGAAGTTCTGACAGCTGCTTTTTTGACAAATCTTTAGAAGGCTTCTTAATTTTTTGTTAAGTTCGTCACTTAGTATGCTTGAGGCTATTATGAGTTTACCTTAGTCGATAAACGCGAATGAGACTTTTACCAGCGTCCAGGTAGGCTACCTTGAATCCAAACGGTAAAACAGAAGTCTTGGTAAGCGTGGAAAGCATATTCTACAAACAACCAGCAATCACAGTACAATCAAGCATACAACTCTTGTTTCTTTATACAACATAGAAACGTCCTTGGGACAGCTAAGAAAATAGCACACGAAAATACACAGCAGCCAACCACAGTCATGGATTTTCCTGGTGGGAATTGAAATCTCAAGGTCAACTGATCAGCCCATGCTGGCAAGCGTGAAAACGAAAATAAGGCATTTATCAAGCGAATTTAGGGGATCTAATATTCCTAACATTTTTACACATTGAAATAATCAACCAATCACTGTTAGACCACCAATAGGAACCTTGAAGAACTGAAGAAACCTTTCGCCCCACTGTGGGACTCTTCAGCAGCGCGCATTCACGACTCAAGCAGGTCGCAAGACTTGAAACCAGGACCTTCTGCCTGGTCTGATCAATTTAGGGATTTAACGTGACCTTTATTCATGAGCGAACTGTGATAGTTCAGTATTTCCTATCTAATTATCATACTACTCTAAGATCATTCAAGTAGTAGTACTCAGAAACGGTCAGAATTCACTACTTATCATTGACTGCGAGAAAAATGAAACGGTCACTTCATGAACAGGAGCTTCTACATAAAATGGATTATTATATGTGATACAAGATAGTATTTCCCTTATACTACAGGTCTGAAAAGCAACATATTAGTAACTGTATAAGTAATAATTTTTAAATCAACTTAACAAAACTATGTAAACTCACATTTCTTCGTTGTAATCAGACTTGTTTTTATAGGCTAACAGTTGTTTCACTGATGTATTTAAGACCATATATAATTCGTACCATGAACGATCACGAGGTTTGCAATTATAATCAATCCATTCATGTTTTCTCAATAAATAGTCACTTATGGAATCTAATAAGTGTTAAAAAAATGAGAGAAGTAAACTGAACTATCTTAGGAAAGTTTAAATCTCAGCGTTACAAAATAGAAGGAATTATATCATAACTAGTGAACTAAATGCCCATGAAATCCGGCGATCACTGAACTAGCCAATACATTTAGCACAGAAAGCACAATTGTTGGATTGTTAATTTAACAGACCAATTAAAAACAGTTTAGTAAATGTTATAAGTATAACAATCCCGTCAACACTGAACATTTAATCATGCTATATATAGAGCTTATATCTTAGTGTGTTAACTGAATTGACAGTAACCGAGACATGTTTCGTTTTCGTGCTTTGCAATATTAACTGAAAGATGTTCTGTGATTAGATGTACTTCCTTAATGAAGGCAACTGTAATCGATTATCACTCAATCACGTCATATCTGTTATCCTTGCTTTACAAAAGTTTATATAATCAACTAATATTCTAAAGTATTCTCAGTATGCTAATTAGATTATAAGCAAAGATTCATATTCTATAATCAAGGTAGTGGAGTTCAAATGTCGGAGTAAGATATGTAGAATTTAGTTTCTATTGATATAATTATCCAAAACTTTAAACTGCATGTAGCTAATGAGAGGCCTCGAAACAACGTGAAAATCTTATTCTTTCCACTTTTTTTATCAGAGTATCTAGAAGAATCCGAGTGTTTTATAATTACTAAATAAACTGTTATACATTAAAAGCAATTGTTCTACATTAAACTACCGAATGAAATTTGTTGACCTTCCACTGTCTCATGGTTAACTTCTTTTGACTCAGTAACGTCATATAAATCCTCTTCTACCATGTCGACATTCTGTTTAGAGTTGTCAAGCTCATTTGACATATTACTTTCGTTCAGTCCGTAGTGCATTAAGAGTGCTTGTATATTTTCCATATCTGAACTGTGAACAATATTTAAACAACTTATTGGTTCATTAACCATATTTTCTTCGATTTCAGCAAGTTCAAACTAAAATAAATTAGGAAAAAAAACGTATGACCTACTTGTGGGGTTTTTAAGTAAAAAAGAATACTTTAAAAATACATTATGAAATGTGTGAAATAACATGCTGAATGTCTTAAATCTACTAATGTGTATTAAACATTGGGTTTTGTCAGTTATTCTTGAACGCAGAGTAAGATGTAAAAACACTGCAAAAATGATTCAGGAAATATTAACTATTATTCATTGCATAATGCCATTAGCTAATCCACACAACTGGAAAAATCCAATATCCAAAGTTACGTGCATTTGTAGAAGCATCCAATATATATATATATATATATATATATATATATATATATATATATATATATATATATATATATATATATATAGATTCCAAAATAATTGTCTATACAGTTTACTAGAGAGTACAACTTCATGAATTGTTAGCCGTATAATCGCATAGATTATGTGTGTAAATGATTGTCATATCACATAAAAAATCAATGACCAGACGATCTTTTGCACTTTCTCTCAGTTAATGGGAACATACAGAACGAATGATTTTTTACTATAGAAGCTATAGAGCATAACTATGATGAAACCACGAACATAAAACTCAGGCTTATCTTGTTGCAAGCAACACTGTATGAGACACTTTGCTAGTTACCGTTACCGGCTTCTTATCATAGGCAAAGTTTTGCCCGTTTTGACAGCAAGTCTCTACCAGTTAATACTTTGATTTTGCTTCTAAACGTGCTCCAAAATATTCGGTATTTATTGCATTAAAATATACATATTTCATAGTTTTCATGATTCATTCATTAAATAGCGTCACCCGAATTCTTTTTTCATTAAAAACATAATCATGTCAATTATAGCTAGTGTCAGTTTGAAAGATAAAATATTATATTGCATTTTCGTTCTTCCAGGGATGTATAATTTATAATGTAGTGGAAGAACTCGCTTGATAAATATCTTTATTTGGGATTGATTTCATGAACTGGCCAGTTAACCTTGAGATCACATTTCCCACCAGAAAAATCCTTGGCTGTGATTGGTTACTGTGTCATTTTAGTGTGCTATTTTAATGACTGTCCTAAGGACGTCTCTATAGAGTATAAATAAACGCGATTTGAGTGCTTGGATTCATTGTGTGCTGTCTGGATGTTTGTAGAATGCTATATCAACGCTATATCAAGACTTCTTACTGATTCAATTTGGTCAAGGGATCACAGTGGCCTACCTTGACGCTGGTTTATTGTTTGTTCTCGTTATTCGTCTCAGGTGAACTCGTAATAGTTTAAGCATACCTAGAGACGAGTGTACCAAAATTTCATCTCAAAAATGTACAGTTACACTATAAAATGTGATCCCATGATTACTGTATGTAGATAGTGGTCCTGTCTCTATTTTTCTAGTAAAACAAACATTTACACCATTTATACCGATAGTTTGAATCTTCATACTGATAGTTCAGACTGTAACTGATCAGATACATTTGACATATTTGTGGCTGATGTAGCTATTTGATTGCAAGCATTATAATCAGAAATGGATATTGGCTAGCAGTGGAATCTAGGTCCTACGGTTTGTCATATGGTTATATGGAGGCAATCCGCTCAGAATGCCGAATGAGACTGATCAGTATCAGTCCTAACTATCAAAAGGAATATTCATCTTATTAATAAAAATGAATGAAACTTCACCCCGTTGCACAAGTTAGTGGCTGTCTGAACTCATTAGCTACGTACATAACACGGTGTTTGAAATGAACGGTACCGGGTTCAAGTTTCAGGGTGAACCTTACAACTGTTGAGTCAAACATAGGACGAAACGCGCTGCCTAGGTTCCACTGCGAGTTACTATCCGTCTCGGTAAAAATTTACTCTCTCTGTATAATCAAAACATCTTAAGTGTTTTTAAAAAGGGATTTCTAAACAAACCTTAGTAAGTTGTTTAACTTTTTCATATCTGTTGATTTGTGGCAATGTATTCCGTTCTAGAACATTTAGTCGATCGATCAAGGTTTGTGTTTCTTTGATAGAGCCACCTAAATCTAAGCATTCCACTTCTGAAGAATGAAGTATCAGCCAATGTTCCAGAGAATCTGCGACACTTAATAACAAGAAAAAGGAACACTTGCACACTGATTTTATGTAACGGATCATAAGATAATCAAAATTAGTAAACAGATTAAACAATTGGGCAATTTCCTTCCAACTTCATCTGGAGCCCCTCTGGGTTGTGCGTGGTGTTAGCGACCCTATGCTGTAGCAGACCGAATCGCTAAATAAGCACCAACCACACTAGATAATTCAAAACATTAAAAATCAGTCCTGAGAGTTTCAAGGTCTTCATTTAGAAGAGTTATTAAGTCTCATGTTGAAAGTGAAGGTTCTTCTGAGTCACGACGCCAATGCCCCTTATGATAACCAGAGCAACAATCAAATTAGTTACATAGAGTGTTCGTGCTATCTAGGAGTTCGGAAGACTATTTCACGTTGCTGCAGAGATGAAAAGATACAACTTAATAGCGCTTGAATTCAGTGAAACACATTGGACAAATGACAAACAACTAAGCCTAGCTACATAAAACTCAAGAAACGCCGAAAAGAGAAGCGAAGTTTGTTATGGCGTTTCATCGGAATACTGGCAAACTCAACGAATTCAAGATAGCTCTCAGTAATAAGTTGCAGGCTTTTCATGATCTACTCAGTGAAGAGGAAACTACTAGGGAGAACAATTGGATACGGGAGGCAATCACTTCAACATGTCAGGTTCTGGGCCACAAGAAGTACCATCACAAGGAATGGATCAATTTTGATACACTGAAAAAGGCTTAAGAAATGAGGTACGCGAAGGCCGGTAAAAGTATCCAAATGCCTCACAAGGCATACCCTCAATTGTAATCCTCAATGTAGAAGTAAAAGAAGAAGATCAAATAACACATTGCGTCGAAAATGGAAGCAGACATAAAAAGAATAAACAAAAAAATGGACACAACTAGATAGGAAGGCTCAAGACAGAGTAAGTAGTAGAATGCTGGTCAGCTGCCTAATGCTCCGTTGCAGGCGATGGGTTCCAATAAGTAAGTAACTTGACCCTTCTTCAACTGATGGACAGTCAATCACAAGCTGTTGTAAACATATAACTGTTATCAATACCACTTACGAAACCACTTAAAATAGTACAGTTATAGAGGAGTGAAGAGAAAAAAAGTGATCAAATCATAACAGTGAAGCTTTAAAATATGATAAAGCATTTCAACTTTCAAAGTAAGTCGAATGCATTTAAGCTACTTCAACTATGCTCAAGCTTTCGTTTGAAATGTTGAATCTATGATTTAGTTTAGTTGACTTGAATTACGACTAGTCTTAAGCCTCTTCACCACCTGATGATTATTAATTTTACTCACCAATTCATCATTTGATTGATTAACTTCATACGATTTACTTGCTTAAACATTGATCACGCATTGATCACGTTATGTCTGAAATACATTGATTTAGTATACAAGTTAAGTTTCTGTCACTTAAATATTACTATAATTTGACTGATCACTTTTACAACTGAATCGTAATAATATATGAACTGCTGGTTAATGTGTGAAGAATAATCAGGAGGATTTTAATAAAATGTCAAGAAAATTAAAACTTGCTCCCTGCTCGTCAACAGCATCCATCCTAAAGAAGCTGAAAAATGTAAATAGTTTGTGGAGAAAAACCCACCCAATAAACAGTTATTTGCGAAATTCGTGATGTATATTATTCGGAATGATTAGGACAGTGTGAAACAGAATAGTTGCAACAGCTCACCATTTGACAGAGAGAGCCTCTGATATATATACAATAATGTAAATATGTGACGACGTTCATAATCAAAATTATTTTATGAAATGCCTTACATAAAACTATTGAATGATCAAATAAGACAATGTCATTTTAAGTAAATGATCTCATTTAAGTAGTCATTATAATTAACTATCAACTAACCTTGCAAATTCATTAATACTAAGTTGTAATTCCAATCGTTTATATGTTTGGTGCCATTTCTTATGCAAATTATACCATGATGTTATTAACTGTCTCATACGTGACTGAAGATCGACTATTATTTGATCATCCTCATCGCTCTTATGACCCTCATGTTGTACGTTCTGGTGATTTAACGCGGAAGATAATGAATCTGTCAGTCGACTATCATCAGTAACTCTCAAACTTTGCCAAGTATTGTTTCTGGATTTTTCCATTTGTTCATTGGTCCCACAAACTTGTATTTCATCATCTAGATTATTAGTTTCATGTTGTCTTCTCATTTCTGTATCCAAATATGATTGTGACATTTCGTGTGATTGGTGGTGATTTTGACTTGACAACTTGTCATACTGTTTCAAATGTTGTTTGAATGAAGCATTTAATCGCTTACCTTCTTCTAAGCATGATTTAACTTTTTCATCTCTAGCATTTAATTCAGCGCGTAGTTGAAGTGCTTGACCGATAGCAAATTTTATATTCTCAGTTGTACTGAAATGGAAAAGAAAATATCTAATAGTGTTAAGTTGATTAACTGACACGATTAACAAATGAAATCAGATTATGTCATTGACATGAAATGAAAACTGACTATAGTTTTGAGATTTTCAAATTCAATTTACCTTCATAATGAATAATCCCGGCCAATTTAAACATAAAAAGCCAATTAGTTTATTTTCAAAAAACCGAACAAGTGAAGTTTTGAGCAAACAGCAATCTTACAGTCACTGTTGCACCGAATTTTGTTGCGCAACAAAAACTAATCCATGATTTTTTTCAAAAACAATAATTCATATTAAAAATAAATATGATATAACTAAAGTTTTTTTCAACACAGAGTATGTTAGCGGTTTGAAGCAGCGCTTTTGAACAACTACTTACGACAATGTTTCTATAGAGAGGGTCGATTATCTCGCTCATTTTGAAAGTAATTACGTAAAACGCCATAAAACAACACGTTTAATCTATGGTTTTCGTTTCTCTTAGCTTGATGTTTAGCCAATTCATATATCACTTTTGAAACAGTGATCATTAAATATTCACGTAGACAATTGATTAGGGTTTGTTTGATTGTTTCAGCAGATATTACGAATTAAAATCTGAATGGCACCTTACTAAAAGTATATTTATCACATTTGTAATATGATAGCAAAATATTGGGTTCAATATGAAAAAAAGGCTTCATATATTTTCTTCAAAGAACTTTAGATTTACCACTTTATCTGTAGATGCTAACATAAATAATTATCGTTGAGTTGCGACTTAAATTCATAATTTACATAACATGTTCACTTGAAAACAGCCTAGTCAATTCAAAAGTCTAAAAACTTAATTAATATGTGTCAAGACAAAGTTTTGTTTATTGTGAGTTAACTGACTTGAATATATATTTGTACGACTTGTTTAGAAAAAAAATACTTCAGTTATTAGCTGAAGTTGAATGCGATATAAAGTTGTTTATATCTGGATTGATAATTATCCCATAACGTATTGGTAAAAATTTAAATAACTACAATGAATACAATCCTATCATGAGTAAAGAATGAATACTGAAAAACATAAATTATAAACTATTACATGTATTATCTGAGTTGAAAAATAATCTGTTTAAATCACTGATGCCGTAAAAATCACTGGACATTCAAACATTGAACTCCACAGCATTGTGTGTTAGTGAACTACAAAATAGTCGGACCTATATCAGAAAAGATCATGCAGTTATTGCATTTTATTTTGAGAACTAATCTAGTATCAAGTGGATCACGTTTTTAAATTCCGTCAAGTTAAGTATTGGTTCATAAAATATTTTAGACCGGGATATAAAAGGGCTCACTGTCGTCTGGTTCTCAAATATTATTTAGCTTTCTTCGTCCATGGGTGAAAAAGGCAGTAATCAAACACAATAAATCGATTGATTGAATGCAGGTGTTTGTTAACAATTGAATACGAAAGATTTTACCGACCCGTCGGTAAGACACCATCACTGACAAACTACTGTGGCGAAGAACAAACTACATCGAAGCCGAGGAAAGCATTAGGCAACAGTGTTGGAGGTCTACAAGTTACACAGTGCGGAAATTACCACACTACGTCACGGGTAAACCCTAACTTGGAATCCCAAAGGAAATGAGGTAATCTAAAGAACACAGTGTGCTGAGAGTTAGAGCTTGTCAAAAACAGAAAAAATATAATTTTGGAAATAACTGCTAGCGAGAGCGGAGGATAGAGTTGGTTCGGGCAGCCTATGCTCCACTATGTAAAGAAGTAAGTATTAATTGAATGAAATACCCTGTACTAAGTAAACACTGTAGTCGAACTAAATATCTTTAACCGAAAAAGTAATTTAGGAATAAATGTAAGAACACTATTTTCGATCTTTTATTATTAGTTGGAACAAAAATAAATCAAAGGAACCAACAAATTAGGAAAATTTATCACCTGTCTAATTAGACGATTTGAATAAAAAAATTATTATTTATTATTTTTGAAAATGACAAGTGATTTTACATTCCTCCTAGAGTTTGTATTTTTTTCGCTTTCTGAAATTCGTAATTCATTGGAAAAAGATTTTAAAAAAGGATAAAATTTGGCAGAGCGTAGGAAGTTTTTAAAACGAGTAGATGAATTGTTGAGATAAAATATATTTCTCCGTGATTGCAATTGTTCTTGATTGAAAAAAACTTATTAGAATGATTTAAATCCGTCCGCATTACCAACATTAACAAAAACTTTTGCTGTAGAGTATTTTGGAGATTAATGAATGGATGAATCATTGTTAGACCACTATTAGAAACGTGGAAGCACTTGACGGCCGTCTTGTCCCACTATGAGACTCATCAGTGACAGTGCGCATCCACGAATCCTGCTACTCGCAGGATCTTCAGTGTTTCGCCTAATCTCTAAACCACTGGGCTGGCTGGCATCTAACGGTGTTAATGTCTAACTTTGATCAATCTTGGGATTTTGCGCAACCTCAACCATTTGCCTTCAGTATCGATGGCATAAACCCGACACAGTTGAACTGCGAAACAAAAATGCTTCCTAGCATCTGATGGAAACAAATGTGTTACTTTGAAGAACATGAAAAATATCTAAAAAGATATAAAACAAAGAGATTATTTCTTTCTCAGTGAATATACTCTGAATGTTATATAACCGTAAATGCATTCTCTGTCTCTTTAAAATGATAATTAATAATCTGTTTGTTTTTATAAGCGACAATTCAAAAACATCGACATCAATAAATTTAGGAAATACATTCTGTTTTTTTTATAGGAATGAGCATGATCATGTAGTTGAGTTGGAAAAATAGGTGAGAATGCTACAGTTATTAAACAGATAGCATAAATTGTGAAAATTCGGATCCCAAATGAAGTTTCTGTAGATTTGTATGGTTTGGAAACAAAGCTTAAAAATTATCTGGTGTGTATTTATTCGGTGAGAACCCCTAAACAGTAGATCAGCTGAAGACGTATGACTTATAGGTAACATATATTACAATAAATTACTTTCCGTTAGATAATTAAATTGTTTTCAATTGCCTTTACTTCTTAATTTTCATATGATGAATAAATCTGTCTAACTGCAGTTATTCAATACGTACTTAATAAGCTTTCATAGTGTCAAACTATTGGAATGCATCAAATACTTTGGATGGTGGCAATCCAAAACTTTGATTCTCACATGATATAATTCCCAGATTTTGAGATAGTGGAGAAAATTTGTAGCGCACTTGGATGATTGTGATAGAGTTTCGTTGTCTCAGATGAGTGTTTTGGTTTCGGAGCTTTAATTGTTCTTCTGAATAACATCATCAGCATGAACTTTAGGTAGAGAAGTGAAGTATTCGAATTTCTCCACGTATGACCCTTACCTTGTCCTGTTAACCTGAATCCATCAAATTGCACTAATTCTGTTTTTAGAATATTCTCATAAGTGCATATTAACCACCTATCACTATTATTTTTGGTTTTGTAAATTTATGAATTAGAGTTAAAATTATCAAATCAAATTCTTTACACCTTTGAATTAATTCATCCGTTTCATAGAAAAGTTTCATATGAATTATAGTCATTGACACTAATAAATAGATGATAAAGTTTATATGAAAATAAGCTCAATAACTATGCATTAGAAATGCAGACAAATATTACATTTACTGAATGAATACGTGAGAATTAATTAATCATGTAAACTAATGTAATTAGTAGTATAGGTTTTTTTATAGTTTACAAAATTCATGAAGCTGAAACTAACGAATTTGTATTTATTGTGGTAAATATTATTAAATAGCTGTCGAATTTACAGGTTTCAGATATCGAATAACATTTTGGAAAATTTATATTATTTTCGACTTAATTTTCATAAGACTTTTCCATCATAGAAATACAATCTAAAACGTCCTTCAACGCGTATTTTATTGACTAATCTATGTGATAGATTTAATATTCATGGTACGTATGTAATCAAGTGATGAAGAAGTTATGACTTGTGAAACTCTGCTTAAAACTTAATCATATTATGTTAGCTCTGTGATTGGTTCAGGTAACGCCTTACAATAATTCATGAATTACCTGATAGATTCTTGTAGTAGATAGAACAAATAGATACAAACTGAGTTTCGAATCTTGCTCCAATCGTCATAGGAGCCTTGTTCTAATGTCACTGAACTTTTGAGACTGGAGGCTGCAAATGAGGATGAGTGCTTTAAACTAGTCTCCAGACAAAACCTAAACCAAAACGTTCGAATTCACGGTTGACGATACCCACATGCTTAAGAAAGTCATCGTCTTCGTTCATAATAAGCGTCAAACGTCGACAATACGTATTAGACAGTGACGAGTTGTCGTCAAAGTGTTGGCTCAATGTCTGGACTGAAAATGAGCGATCTCGTGGGTTCAAAGGCAGGATCAAACTGCAGTACTTGTCCAGCTCACCTGCACCCAACTTCCGAAGTAGCAGCCGAACCTTCCAAGCATCATTTGATTGGCGAAATCAAATTTAAATAAAACTTCATAACCCTGTAACCACATGTCAAATGTAAAGTTGACATCAGGATCATAATGAAATTCAGTTATGCTATTTGCGATGCCGTCTACTGATGGAGCTGTGGTTGCATTAGATGAGCTGGGTTGTGTGGAAGGGGAAATCTTTGTATTTATCAACACATGTATCAGTTTCACTGCTGACCGTGTAATAATTCAAGTCTTGAAGGGTCAATGTGACCCCAACAAATCTTTCGATATTACATTAACAAATCATCTACGTGTGATGCTATATATGGTCAGTATTTTCGAATTCCACCTCACTCCCTTGAGTAACACTTTATTAATTTCCAGTTTTATATTGGTATTTCTGTCAAACTGGTTGATAATTACAACACTGTTCGCTTTTCTGAACATGAAGTTTCTGGGTTTTTTTTATCAAATTAGCACTTCAAATACTCACGAAACAATTTAACCAAAGAATACATGAATATAAATGACAGATGTTTTTTTTCATACCCAACTTTTGATGAATCCATTTATAGTTAAGTAATCAAAAGTTTCTTATTGAAGTGAAATAACTTCTATTGATTAGTGTCAATGATGTTGAAAAAAAACTTGTTTGAATTATTTAAAACGCTCATGTTACAGCAATCAAACAAACATTATTTTGTTTATAAAAAAACTTGTCTTGAATAATTAATCCATAATTCAACTAAATCATCATAATAACATTGACGTTTTAACAAAAACTGAACATAGAAAAGTAAAATAATAAAAAAAAACATATTATTATTCCATCCTTACATGTGATTCGATTTGTTGATGATAGTCGATTGTGGACTAATAATATTCCATATATCCGATTCAATACGTTCTAATTCTTTGTGACACTGTTCAATCCAGTTGAATAGAATATCTAAACTCGATATCCAACGATATAAAGCTAAGGCACGTTTTAATTTGATACGACGAAGATAAGTGTTTTCTTTAAGTTGATACCAGACAGAAAGAAGAATGGTACGTGGTTTATTTAAACGTTTAATCCGATTTCCCGAATACAAAGGAAGAAGACAATCCGCTGCTCTTTCAACCCAATTAATCTTTAATGTTTAATCGAATGATTATTATGAAAAAAAATAACAAAAAATTTGACAGTTTTATGCCTATAACACATTAAGATATCTAAACACATTACTAATTAAAGTCATATATTACAACATCTTTATAGTTTCAATACTGAAATAAGCGAAAAGGAATTAGCGTATAAAATGCTTAAGTCATTTCTGAAATAAATTACATTCATATAATAACGTGAAATTCACATGTTTGTTGTTTCAATTCGGGTTATAAAAGATGGGAATTCACTGGAAATCAACCAACATAAATTAGACTACAGATACTGTAATTGTGAAGACCTCATGATTTGTGAAATTACTACATTCTGAGAATCTTAAATGCACAATGGATCTAGGAAGAGTGGCATTGATGAGAGTGGAGACATTGACATCAAGTCATAATGTTTAGAGAAAATGATATCAATAAAATTCTTACAGATACTACATCGATTCTATCTCAAGGAAAATGTTTGCAGAAGTGAAACTCCAATTTATAAAACGGTGGCACACCTTCAGAAACAATTTTACACTACAGGACAATCTAAACCAACGCACTGGTCTGATGTTGTTTCTTTCATCATTCTATAATTAGAAAAGTTCATTTTATATCTATTTCAACAATCAACAGCAAAAAATGTGTTAAAAGGTTCCCCTAGTCAAATGGAAAACTTGAACAACTTGCCTTATATTCGTAACATTTATAGAATAAACTTTGAAAACCAGATAAGCAATGAACACTTTAATGACTAAAGTATGACTTTTATATAGGCAATAATGTATAGTATTATATAAGTCGGTATGTACATAGTTTGAAAATACTCCAACCCGTAATTATTTGATTTCAAGAAATTGTTACCTAAGATTGCTAATTTCTTATTTTCATTTTCACATTCGTTGAGACAAAGTGAATGAAGAGTATTTCTACAGACTAACCGTTTATTGTATTTTAGGACTTTTGTAGTATCCTTTAAAAACAAGCTTAGTAGTGAAATTTTATGATTCAGTCTGTGTTGCTCAAATGTGGAAATCAATTTACTTGGGAAAAAATTTTCTACTACTACTACTACCGTTTAAATGCCTCAGTAGTATATAAATATATGAGCTCATTATTATGATTTCGAGTTTCAGAAAATTTAGCACTATATTAGTAATTGCATAGTTTATGTTGGATGCACTTCAACTTGAGCCCAACTTGAAGTTCCTAGATTTCATTTAATTTTTTAATATAATGAACATAAGTTTCGAACAGTCGAATTCCATCTGAGGAGTTATTAATTTTCAAGGTCACATTTCTTCAAAACACAAGAAGAAAGATTTATTTACTGCCTCCAACTGTTCCATGGTTTTTGAAACAAAAACCGTTTTCAAAATTTAGTCATTAGTAATTTGAAATTAATATATAGTTGAAATATAAATTAATAGGATGGATAAATGAAGTGTAAACATTAGAAACTTGCTATCAACTACCAAAGATCGCGACGATACCAAACAAGTATTATTAATAATAACAACTTTATACAAAATTATAAACTTTGGTACAACAGTAGTTGTTTAGAATAACAAAAATAAATATCTCTATCCATTATGCTTAAACGGCCTTGATCAATGAAATTTTCGAAATCATTCGTGTATTCACTATATTCTACTCATTATTCAATTATTGAAGTTTTCTACCAGTTCAACTGTTACAAATAGATTTTTTGGGTCAGCCATGTATAAGTTGCTTCATTGTGAAAATATTTGACCCTCATTTTGTTTTCATTGGAGTTTTCAAATATTCTTCATCACGAAAATTTGTTACCTATTCATAAAAGTTCATGTGTATGTATACTTGTAGTCAGTTTAAAATATCTGATATAGTTAGTTTGACTGTGAACTGAGCATTTTTAAAAATGTGATTGAATTGCATAAACAGTTCAATATTTTCGTTCAAGAACACTGATTCTCTATTCACTATCATGATATACCCTTTGAATGTAAAGTTTTGACGGTATTTGAAACCATCGGTGGAGATATAGAATATCTAATTTAGTAAGCCTATGATTTTCGAATACAATAAAGACACAATCTTACTTTAAATTACATTCTTATGCTTTTGTAAACTTCTTTCTACTATGAGAGGTAAGTTGAAAGTTGACAATTCGGCATTCCTATTCAGGCATATCTTTAAGTATTATCATGCTTGACAAGCAAGAATAAAATACATGTTGATGGAGGATACAGACATTGAATTGAACAATGATTTTTTTTATCTCAATTTCATGTCACTATCTTACTTTGAAATCGTATGCATCGGGAAAGAATCTTGTTAAGAAAAGTGCGCATAATTGTGTACACCACACAAAACTTTCGTAATTCATCATTCTAAGTTAGAAATTTGCGCACAAAATTTCTGTTTATTCTTTTAGCTAGTCTGAGCCCTTTACATTATGTATTCTTAAATTTCAAATCCCTACTGATTAGTTTTTATAACAACTTATGTGGGTTTTTCTTCTTATTTCACTTTCTTCATACTACTAGCGCTCTTAATAATGTCTTCAAATTCTTTTCTACAAAAAGATTTTACACTATTACTTTTCATTAACTATTAGTTTCTTACAAATTGTTTTCAACTTTATCTTTGAAGTGAGTGAATTCCAATATCTGACAAAGAATTTTATATATGTTTGGATGCAATAATGATGTCATCAGAAAGAGAATTTTTCTTTCGATTAATAGTTTTCATGTTCTTGCTGTTTAAACAGCCATTTGTTTTTATTTGGAAAAACGTTCAGTTACTGAAACCATGATTGATTAATTGTTAAACCACCATTAGAAACTTGAAAGCACTGGACAACAGTTTCGTCCTTGTATGGGACTCAACGACAGTGCACATTCGTATCCAGCGTTTAAGCGTTCTGGTGCATGATTGAAAGTATTAGGTTTGAGTCCTGTTGATAGCAGGAGTCATGGATGCACACTAACACTGATGAGTCCAACAATGAATGAGTCAATGTTTCACTAATAAACAACAACCTCCATAATTCTAAAAATGAAAATACTTGAAATCAATGACATTGTTTCACATTACAAATGCTTTGTTTCGTTTAAAACTACAAAATTATTTATTGATGAATAATTCAATTAACTTACTAATGGTTCAAGAGCTTGGACATCTTGTTCAAATGCGGATAATAAAGACAATTGTTTACAAATAGCTTGTACATCTTTACCGATTGAATGAGAGAGTTGATCAGATTTTTCTTGAACAAGTTTCAAAGTTTCCTGTGTTTAATAAGTAGTGTATTATTAAATAAAAAAAGAGTATTCTCAAGATGACAATTATTACACAATCTAGTTACTTTAAATTTTAATCTATCTTTACAATGGCTAAATTCACACTTTTTTTAATATAGACATCAAATCCATGTCATTAACATTAGAAATGACCTTATTTACGTTGAAATATTTCAAGATTTTATTTAATAAATTTCAATCTGGTCATGTTCTACACACTGAACAATACAGTGAACTAATATTGTCTGTCATTATCTAGGTTTTAGAATGGAATAAAAGGCTTGGATTACCCAGCCAGTTTTTATATGAATTAAGCGTTGAACACTTTGACAGTCTGACAAATTCGTCTAAACTTGTTTCACTAAGTTTTATTTCCTACTGTGAACTAAATATTATTCCTCAAAGGTTATTGAGCTACATGATGTTGACTTAATCACTTCATTGTCAGTTTGCTCGAAATGGCTCGCGAAAATTTCACTTCATGCAATGAGATTCTCTCCTGTAAACATTGCCCTCTGGTAACCTTTAAATCATTATAATTAATGCTGTTTTGAAATTCTTTATTTTTATTCTTTATATTTTCTAGAGCTTTTATAACATGTTTAAATGTATAAAGGTGTATAGGTGCAAACTGAATTCAAAGAAAACTTACAGAGCAACGAGTTACAAAAATAAATCGATGTGCTGCTGAAATTAATAATCTAGCTCTTGAATAAATTAATTCACGTAAATCAGCCCATGTTTCTAAAATAATATCTTGCCAATATGCAATACGTGGAGAATCTGAATGTTTTGTACGTATCAAACAGCAACACATGTTCATGACTCTTGTTGTGCGTTCAGCACCTAAACCAGAAGTGTTTACAAATTGATCCGTAATATTCATGTTGTATGCTGATGAAATAGGATCAAACGAGCGTAGTTCACTTTCTACAAATGATGTGAAAGATTCTCCTAGAAGATTCTCACCAAAATGCACAAACTGATTGATAATGCGTACACATTCGTTTAAACTTCGTCCTGTGTATGTTGATGAGGCCGTAATAATTTGTTGATTTAACCAACTCTAATGTAAACAAGAAAGATGAAATTTATGCAGTATGTAGACATTTGTGAAATAATATTCAATTAAATTATTTTGTACAGTGCTAAACATAACATTTAAACACCTTTTATAAACATAAACTTTGAAAAATCAACTTTTTAATGTTGACATTACTGAGTGTTTTGAAATGGACATTGAAATAAAAACTATCATGATGATTTGTTCAAAATGCAATAGATGTAAATTTCAAAACGAATTTCAGAAACCAGTTGATTTTAAAAAATTTGTTAAACAAATAAAATGACAAAAATAGATTTATATATACTTGTTTATCAGCAAACACATGGACGCTAACTATATATAAATGTAGGCGAATTATGAAGGCTGTATACAAATCTGTCTATTTACCATTTAGACTAGTATTTATAGTAACAATTTTTTCTGAAAAACACTTTGAGCAAATTTAAACGGAACAAAGTCTCCTAAAACTCCACTACTGGGACAATAAATAAACTTGAAGCTTGGATGATACTATAATTTATGAGCAACCTTTGAGTGATACCAGTGAGACTTTGAGAAAGTCCACCTACTATGGTCTAAAGAGGATTATAAATCAGTGTACTGAGTTAGATCTGTGATTTACAGTTGGAAGTTAGAGTTTTTCATTACAAACTGACATCAGCTATAATGTCGAATTCTATTCAGTCATATATATGAATAATATCTGCACCGAAAATTTGTTCCGTCCATAAAACGACAGTTGCACAGGTCAGTATCCCGAAATTTCAGTTCAACAAATAAGAGTTATTAATATTATCACTTTATGAATGTTATTTTCAATGATACATTATGCAATGTACAACGAAATCCTACTCAGTAAGCTGATTAGATGAAAGCACATTCAAGAAAGATAGGTTCATTCACTAAAACATCCACAGACATTGTCGCATGAGTGTCTGAATTGAAATTAATGGTCACGGTACAAATAAAGTTAGTTATATTAAGTAGTGAGGTGGGTACTTTGATGAAAATGAAGTAATCGATAAATAAAATACTAATGATGGAGATTTGTCAAGACTGTATTATAATAGATAACAATGAGTGGATAATTATTTGCTGGTACCTTTTGTCTAAAAGAAATGATTGAATTGTATATGTGTTTATACCACTTTTACTAAGAAAATAAAATAAGAACTGCTCATTAATGATCGGCAAATTTATTGTATGAAGCCATGAACTTTATTCGTCTGAAATTCGGTAATTTGTAGATGTGAAAGCAGTCTATCAGGTTTCTTTTATAATAAACAGCCTAACATTTGTTCTGATTACCACTTTTAGTTAATAATTAAAACAATCTCTTGCAAAGATAGATCTACTTTAAGTCGATTCTGATAAAGATCGAAACAAATTATTGATTAATTTCAGATTTTTTAGGGTTTGGAAAGCTATTTGATAAGTTTCAAATTTTGGAATGCACTAATGGTTTCCAAGGAATAATTTGTTCATGTTTAAGGTTTGACAAATAAAATATACCAAGATAAATCATATCTTATTGCAGAAATAATCTTCGCATTTAATAACAGCTCAAACAATTACTTTGAAAGATAAAAAAAACGCACCATGTTTTTCATCGTTCGTTATGTTTCTGTTAAGTACCGGTAATATCAAATGATCTTAAAATCTATTAATATGCGTATTGAATTTTCCAGTAATCGCTATTCAGTAGGTTATGTTTTGAAAAAAAATATTCACCCTAGTGTTTTAATATTTTTCTTGACTGCACTTTCACCATCACGTGAGATATAACCATCAATAAAACATCGACTGGAAGTGGAATGCAGGATACGCATTTCGTCTAATTTGAAACTCATAGGTTGGATGTATCTGCATCTTAGAGTTGATGTCCACTTTATGGCTAGAAACTGATGAAACTTGCTTCAAAAACACCATCGTTTTATCCGCTTTTCTAATGGATTCAGATAGTTACTCACTTGTGCAATGAGGATGAAATATAATTCAAATCGTCAGTAAAATTATTATTGTTGATGTAACCTAAATGATATATCTGAAGATGTTATTGTCTTCCATATAATTCCCTGTAATGATATATCTATCACAGAAATCGGAACTTTGTTTAGTAAGTTGCAAACTTAAAATTGTTGCTTGATAATACTGAATGCACTTGTTTCACATTCAGGATTTATTTTATTGCCAAATACTAATTTCACATTAAAATCATGAATGGATCACTCTTAGACAATGGTTAGAAATCTGTAGGCAGTAGATGGCTCTTTCGTCCTGGTATTGGACTCATCAGCAGTGCAGATCGACGACTCCTGCTACTCACAGGATTCGAACCTAGGACATTAAGTCAGGCACGCGAACGTCTAACCTTCTGCACCACCGAGCCGGCACTGATCTAATTCTGATCAACCTATGGATTTTCCGAAAACGTCTACATCTGACAACGTTGAACTCTGCTGGTCAGGTTTTCTCACTGGAACTTCGAAAATTTTCTCAGAAAGCTAATAACTAGCGAGCACATTTTATGATTTCTGCATTAGAGAATTATGAGATTGCACGAAAATCCTAATCGATGGTAAGTTGTATTCGATTGTTGTTTAATACAAGAGTTGTAAGCTTTGTCTACATTTGAAAAACAATCTTCTTATCTGTTATGCTAAACTGTCTTCACATCTATTGAATAATTCATTTTCTAAGTAAAAGAAGAAGTGTACAAAACAATTTTGCATTTTGTCATTGGACTATCGATTATATTCAATAAAGAGATTTGAAAAGCATATTCTTCCACAAATCACGAAAAATAGATTTGTAGTCATTTCGTATGCAGCAAACAGCCGACTAAAATTTCTTTACCTTAGTTTAACCGGTAAGTAACATATTCTTCTATTCTATCTTGATTTCATGTTAAATAATTAAACTTTCGACTGTGAAATGAATGTAGACTGATAGAATATTATTTCCGTTTAGCCCAGTATCATTAGTTTGTTTTCTTGTTTTAGGAAATAATTTTAAAAATGATAATAATAATTGTTTTTCTTGATTTAAAGGAAGTGAAATGCTAATTAAGAATTCATGTATCCACCAAATATGTGTGGTATAACTGATGACATCGACTGAATGCATTATGGAATTGTGAAGATTGTTGAGTTACTTTATTGAAATTATGAATCGATCAATCTTAGGTTAGACCCACCATTGCAAACCTGAAAGCCCTGAACAGCCGTGCCCTTGCAACTCGCAGAATTAAATGAATTAATAAATAAATGAATGAACAACAGGAATCAAACATTCTAAAGTTTGAAACCCATAATATCAACTGTTTCATATACTTCAAATACTGAAAATAACTGACTGATTTTTAAACAGTTAAACAAGAACAAATTAGTAAAATTGCAAATTAGTAAATTAGATAGACTGAAGTATAACTGGTTAAATCACTCCGTTTGGAGCACCTCTGAGGATACTGCCGTTGAGCATGGGGTAATCAACTGCATCCCGTATAAAACTAACTCACTAAATAAACGCTAACGAGAAAAAATTATTCAAACTAACCAACTGAGTCACAAGACAAGCTCTTGTTTGTAATCATGTAAGCCACAGAAAAGGAGGAAAACCATGAAACACACTACAGAAATCGCAATAACGAACAACAGTTTGACAGAACTAGAAAGGATGGCCTAGGATAAAGAAGATTAAAGGATCGAGGCCGGCCGCCTGAGATCCACTATGGGCAACAGGTAAGGGCAACAAGTAAGTGTGTAATAACGGGTTAATTAAAATGATATATAATATACATTGTATATATATTATAATAACTGAATAAATTTGAAGATAATATCCTTAAAAATAATCGCTGAAATCTAGTCCAAATCATTTATTAGGTACCAAACGTTTTACTCATGAAAGGTATCTGAAAACATACGTGATTGTTGTTAATTATTTTTATTGTATTTTATAGTGCAGAATTAGTTATCATATATAACTTCACTATTCTTTGAAATTCGTAGCTACAGTTAATTGTAACCACAATCAATGGCTCAATAAATGAAAATGTTTAATTTTAATTTGGTACAAAAATCAACATTCGTCAAGTGTTCAATGGAATGAACAAATCTCAAAGAGTGCTTACTGTACTTACTTTCAACTCTGCAACTTCTTCATAAACAATGCTCAAAGCTAGAATTTCCTCTAAACGCTGACGTTTCTGTACACAGACATCCAGCAGACTTGCATATTGACGATCCATAATTTGTTGAATAGACTGGATCACTTGAATTCGTTTTTGTAGTTGTTTAATTTGACTACGAACTTTACGACGATTTATCAAATTCTGCATTGAACTCTGTTTTGTCTGACTCATAAGTTCATCATCAATTAGAATTGATTGTGATGGCTTTTTTAGATTATTATTGTGTTTCTCCAGTTGTAACGACGATGATTGTTTCACAACATTTTCTAGATTGTCATTTGTTTTCATCAGATCCAATTGGATTTTGTAATTTTCTTTACGTTCCAAAAATTCATTGATTAATTTCAATGATTTCTCATCTTGTTTTACGAAATAAAATATGAGCAATTAGAGAATATCATGCATTACTGAACAACATTAATATTTGTACTGGTTAAATGCAAATCTATTACATATTCAAATAAAATAACAGATATCGAACCGGACATTCATTTTTGTTAGGTTTGGTTTTAATCTCAAAAAAATTATTATATCCAGAAATCTATTTATTGCAATACACAGTAGATTAAGATAAACATTAATTTATCATGAATGCAGCACCCAGTGTAAAACATTTAAAAACATTTCATAAATTAGATATTATTTGCTTTTTAAACTGGAGAAGACCATGTCGTTATTCCAGTCAAAAGGTTAAATAAGCTGCACATTTTTATGATAACAGGTTTTAATCAACCAAAGAAAAAGCATTTGAATATAAGACTGAATTGAAGATATTTTATTTAATAATATTATCGTGCGAACTAAGCAAGAGCAACCAATAAATGGGAATATTTTATAGAATATAATCTGGATAAAGAGATTTGTCATTATAGATTTATGGAGATTGTAGTTTATCAATACAATCACAAATCAATCACTGTTAGACCACAATTAGAAACCTGTAACCAGTGAACAGCCATTTCTTCTTTTAGTATGATAGTGCGTAACCAGGACTCCTGCTGCTGGAATGATTCGAATCCAGCATCTACAGTCTTGCGCGCAAACGTTCAACCTGTGGATCTCTGGGCCGGTTCATTAGTGAATGGCTTCGTAATGAAATTCTCAAGGTTGTAGTGAGAAGACGTGATCAGTGGAGTTCAACCTTGTCGGTTGCAGGCAGTAGCTACCGAAGATAAGTGAGCGAGGTTGCGGAAAATCCTTGGATGGATCACAGCTTGATATTAATACTGTTGGATTCCGGTCAGCTCAATGATCTAGAGGTTAGGTGTTCGTTCACAAGACCGAAGGTCTTGGATTCAAATCCTGCGAGTAGCATGAGTCGTGGATGCGCACTGCTGTTGGTTACTATACCTGGACGAAATGACTGTCCACTGCTTCCAAGTTTCTTATGGTGATCTAACAATGATGGATTCATGATGTCAGCAATCAAGAGATTTGTGCCAAAGGCTTGGAAACATTATTTTACTATTTATGGATGGTAGTGAGTTAGATTCGGATACGTATGTTACTTTTATAGCTTAACGCTAAACAAAACTGAGAAGTTTCATCTTTTTAAGAATAAATTAACTGTGTATCAAGCATTCAGTGAAGGTAATTTATCCGGATTTCGTAATCATGCAGCAATAAGGTCGTTGAGTAGGTTGAGTGTAAATAGAGTCGTAAACTGTATCAGTCAATATTCAACAAAGTCTGTGTTATTTGGTACTAGTAAGTTTATATTACATTGAAACAGTTTATAAGGATTAATAATTTACTTCAAACTGTGTGATGCAGTAGTTAACTAACTATTCATTTATTTAAATACTGTACGTTACACTATTTATTTAGCATAAAGTTACAAATTTACAAAATATTATCAAACGTTTATGATGGATAATAGGTTCAGCTAATTAATTATCATTTTATTCTATGTACAATGTGACATATTAAAGAAAAAGTTGTTGACTTAAACCCATAAAATTTTGACACGAACTTAACGATAATAGGAACTCTTATAAGGCATACATTGCTGCTTAGTATATTTCAAAAATATTTTTCTTTGTTTAGTGCACGGAATAATAACTTATTTTAAATTAAATGGAAAGTTAAAAACACTAAACTTGAGATTGAAAATGATAGTTAAAAATCAGACATATTATATAAAATCTGCCCGATCTCAGAATAATTGATGCATAACAAAATGTTTTCGTTTTGTTTGTTTTCAAATTCTCGCTTCATAGTGATAATAGTTATTCTTACTTCTAAGCTAAGAATTGTTCTGTTTTATATTGCTAAACCATGTTCCATCTGAAAATTCACTGAAGCCACTATTGATTAGGGTTAATTTGAAATTCATTGATTATAGGTGACAGTAGAAATTCAATGTTATTATTGATGACTATGATAATTTTGTGATATGTTACTCTATCAAAAATTATTTATCATGTAGATTCAGACAAATAAAAACATATTTAATTCCAGTGTTAAAAAAATATTAAATTAAATCATTACAATGGATTATATATTATTTATATTTAAGCTGAGTCTATATTTTTCTCTTTTCGGTCCGATGAATTTCTATCATCAATTATTTTTGTTGAATAAAGTAAAATTATTTGGGCTTAAAACTATCTTAAACTGATAAATGTATTCATATTTGTAAACTTCATTTTCAGATCGACGTTAGAGACCTGAAAGCGCTGTTTCGTGCCGTTTCGTCCTGGCATGGAACTCTTCGGCGGCAGTGCGCATCCATGACTTCTGCTACTCGCAGGATTCAAACCCAGAACCTTTAATCTGGTGTGAGAACGCCTAACTTCTTGACCATTGAGCTGGCGGACATCCAACAGTGTTATTATCAAGCTATGATCAATCTATGGATTTTGCGCAACCTCACTCATTTGTCTTCGGTAACCACTGCCTGCAACCAACAGGGTTCAACTCCACTGGTCATATCTTCTAACTAGAACTTCGAGAATTTCCTCACAGAGCTAGTCACTAGTGGATACATTCTACGATTTCAGTAATAAACAACAATCTTTATAACTCTAAAGTCGAACTGTAAACATTTAGATAGTTAGTAATGAATAAATCAGTTTCTTTTTTCAATAGTAAATCATCGTATACACTTACAAGGGAACACAAATTCAGACGTAAACAACAACTCTTTACTCTAATAAAATAATCTACTTGAACTTAACATACCAAATATGTTTACCAAAAAAATAATTTTAGCAAAAAACAATAAAATCTGTTATTCTTAGTATTTACTAAACTTTGAAAATACTTTCTCCGCATTCGGTCCCCGAAAGAAAAAACAAATCATTAATTTATGAAGGAATTCGAAAAAAAAATTTAAATACGAGCACATATACAAGAAATAGAATAAGTAAACATAGGAATGAGAATATCACAGGGACTAATGTAAAACATTGAATCCCATGTGTCCAGTAAAATGTATTCGATAATTTAAGCAAAAAAAACACATCATTTTTATCATTTTTACATCAAGTGCGACACGCAACTGAATAATTTACTGAATATGCTGCAATAAAATATTCGAAATTTATGAAGAAAAAATTATCAGCCAGATTTAATAGGCTGGAGTTGTTGATATTGAGGAGTTGACAATAATTTTTGTTTTGTAAAAGTTAGTTAGTGTCCACAATTCTATGCATTAAAAGTCAATTGTATACTACGTAAGGAAATATTCACTGACAACGCATCTTGCCGGCCTACACTTGTGTTAATTAAGGATTTATTCAAAAAAGTTTGTTAAACTTTTATTAAACGCAACAAACATGAGTATAGATTATTTAAAACTGACTTAAGTCTGATACAATTTTGAAATTCAAATAAATATTACAAAAAAGGTTAACGTTGCTTTTCACTAGCTGACAGAAATCATCGATCAAACGATAAACTAATTAACCAATATTTACTTAATCAAAAATCATAATAATAATGTGACAAAATTCAATAATTAAAAATTTCAATTGACAATCAATAAGTTTTTACTTTCGTCCAATGTTCAATCATGAGTAAAGAAATTCTGCATTTTATTTTGACAGTCCAATATTATTTTCATGGTTGAATGATAATAGACGTCAAAAAAAGTTTTTAATATTGTTTAGGAAATACTAGAAAACAATTTTCATAAATTTTCATGAATTCACAATTCACCTTATTGCGCAATCAGTTCAGTGATAATTTGTTTGATAATAACAATAATAATAATAACATGTTGAACAGTTACAATGTGAAAAAAAAATACACTTGTTAAATCACTGAAATATAACTCAAAATGTTTTACTTTTTTTTTACTGAATAACAGTAGTCTCGAAATAATCATAGTCACAATAACAAGAGCAGTTTATTGAAGCATATTGAACAGGGAATAAATTTTTTAACAGTTAAAAATGAAATATCGGTTATACAAAGTTGATTATACAAAATGAAATAAAATTAAACAAGAAGGTAAGAGCAGTCCATGACTAGTTGTTTTATAAATTCAATCTTCATCCTAATTATGTAAGACACCACTCACTGATGAACAAATTATCTTTAAAACAATAATTGCATAAAAATTATCTTAACTTTTACAGTATACAATGCTAACTTTCATGAAGTTAATCAGTTAATTAACAAATGAAGTATGGATTTGTATAAGTGATTATATAATATAAATGGCCCAAATGAAATCTGACATAATTCTAATCATTTTTGACCAACTACACATCACATTTTTACGCATAGCATTTACTTGATGACGTAAATAATCACTAGAATATGAAACAATGATTTTAACTGAACAATTGTTATTTTCATTAGGTTAATAGATCAGAGAGACTCTTCCAATTTTTACCCAGATTTAAGTATTTCTCTCTAAAACTGCCGTTACATTCTAATCACCAGTGCTAATCATTTAATATGAAAAGTTACAAAAATGTGACTAGATATTTCACAAAACTTACGGAATTAATTTTTGTCGCCGACGATTCAACCACACACCTACTGAGTCTAATTAGCTGAAACAATGAAATCTGGGTCTTGTATTCTAACCACAGTTCACTATACAACAAAACTTCTGAACACTATATATATAGAAACATTGTATTCATAAAACACATATGAATCAACTCCATACCTTAAGCATAAGCAAGGGAAAAATACGAACCTACACTATTAGATTTAACTTTATATCCTAGTCTTTCGATTTGGCGACATGTTGATGAAGTAATTGTATCAGTACTTAACGAACTCTCATCTTCGTCAGCAGAATATTTTCTAAAATGTTTCTAATCCCGCAATAAGAAAACTTTTAAACATTTATTTTGTTCTCTTTTAGACATGTGGGAGAGAATTAATAAAACTTTCAGTTCATTGTTTGAATGGCGAGCAATGAAACAGTATTTGTTAAAATCATTGCTAAATGATCATGTGTTTTGTAAATCTGAAAATCTTCAGCTTTACGTTAAAAGTCTTTGTTGTTTTCCAGTTGCACAGCATATCGAAAAAAAGCTTAAAAGATCTAAGCTATGATAAAATTTTACTTGACTTAATGAAATCGAGAAAAGTCTTCTCGATAATAATACTTATAGTGTTAATAAACTAAAGGCGGGTGAATGAACTACAGTATACCGCCCGAGTGATACGCAGAATACGTATTTTTTGTAAAAAATAAACCGTTCCGACAGAAAACAACACTACATCAGACAAAGTGGACATCCTGTTCAGCTTGGGCTACCTGAATATCAATTGGCAGTCAAACTACATCTTATTTTTTCCCTTACACTAATACATGCTGACAATTTCGAACATTCGACTGGAAAAAATAGAAATAATTGACAGAGGGAATAAAAATAAAGATGCAAACAACGACAAGTTTAAGGTCACTAACATCCAATCACGATCGAGCTTAACAGAACGAACTAAAGGTCACACGTGAAGTAATTCGAACACTTCACTTCTTTCTGAAATTTGTTCTGATGACAAGATTGTTCAGAAGGACGATGAAACCTCCACAACTAAAACATCCAGCTCAGATGGCGGAACTTCATCATGAGAAAAATACCTAAATTCAATTTTTATCCGGATGGTGGTTGTACAAGACTAATATATCAAATATTGAGATGAAATAATTAACAAACATTTTTCGATTTTCAAACATGATCTACCTAAAAATATTCCTTGATAACAACCAACCTAAAAGTAGTTTACCTTGAGTGAACTGTACGTTGTTCATGATAATTGAAATTTCCGTCAACTGAATATCACTTTTTCTTGAAAAAATGTGCTACTGCTTTCAGTAATAATTTAAAGACATGTAATAGTGAATGGGAATATGGATCTACGGTTTAATACAAACATTGTCAACATATTCCACGTTCACTTTAAAACAAACCTTCCAAGTTTTACGCTGACTGTTAATTCTGTAATACTTATTCAAATAGAAAACGTAAGAATAAAGCAACACTACAGAATTTTGTGACTGATCACCCATCATCATATTCAAAGAAATTAAATGAAAAGTCCAAAATGTAGAGGTGCTAATCAGTAGAGGAAAAATTCTTCTACATAATGGAAAAGAAAATTAACAGAAAACTGGTCGTTGAAAACGATTATTTCCAATTGAATTAATATATAGATACATCAGTAATATACCACTCAATCTACTAAGAGCTAGTATGCACTATTGGGTTATGGAGATTGATAAGTTAGTTTTTCAAATCATCAATCAGTCAAAATTAGACCACCCTTAAAAGTTGGAAGCGCTGGACTGCCGTTCCGTCATGTTATAGGACTCATCAGCAGAACGCATCTAAGACCCACGATACCCGCACATTTTAAACCAAGGACCTTCAATCTTGCAAGAAGTCATGACCAATGGAGTTGAGACAGTTGATAAGATCGTGGATTTACCAGAGTTAGACAATAAAACCGTTAGATACTGGCTCGGTGGCCCAAGGTTCAAATCGTGCGAGCGGCAGGTTTCGCGGATGCCCGATTCTGTTGAGTCCCAAACCAGGATGGAATGGTGCTTCCACGTTTCCAACGGTGGTCTAACATTGATTGATTCATGAGTTTAGGAGCCGGTAGTTTATCGAAAGAATGTAGATAATCAATTATTTGTACAAGCACGTCGAGACAGTCATGTATTGCTTTGCATTTAAGCACAATGCTCATGTGAACATTTTCGATTTTATCTTTGGGTTTTTTTCCGAAAATTTGAAAGTTTATGGGTTCAGTGATTGTTTTACGATGTTTTACATTTATTCGACTATAGTAAACAGAAATCTCAATTGAGATGTTGGAGGAAATTTGTAGCTCAGGTAGATGACTGTGACGGAGTTTCGTTTCCTGAGTAGGGTGTTTTCTTTGTGGAGCTTTCATTTTTCGCCTGAACAATATTGTCAGCAGCACAAACTTCAGAAAGAAGTGAAGTATTCCAATTTCTTCACGTATGACCTGTAGGTCGTTCTGTTAAGCTCGATCGTGATTTGGTGTAACTGACCTTCAACTTGTCGTTGTTTGCGCCTTTGTTTCGATTCTATTCCCCCCCCCCCTATGACCAATTTCTTGACAGATATAATAGGATCAAGAAACAGATCAAAGGGATTACTTTTCAGTGATCAATTAATTGATGGAGTAAGTAGTAGATAATAGTAACTTTTTAACTAATCAAATATATTAATGTAAATTATTGCTGTTCAGTTCTCAATTATACTGATTTTGAATTATTAGTACATTTAGTACTCATAATTCAAAACTTTGAAACTGTTTTCCCTATAGCATAAAATATTACACGGTCATCAAAACTTACTGAAATCACGAACACAATTTGCCAATAACGTATTTACACGAAATTCAATATTTGCATGTTTTTTAAGTTCAATTTTGGCTGTAATCGTATCACGACTAGCTCTTGATTCCAACAATAATATATTTTCACATTCTTGTAACCAACCACGTAATTCAGCAAATTCATCTAGATGTGTAAAACATTGAAAGCCAATATTTAATCGATCTGTACGTTTATACATTTTATCAGTTAGATTTTTCAAATCATTACGTAGTTCTGTAACTGTTGTATACAAATCGGTTAGAATTTTCTTTGGAATTTGATATTTCACACCTGTATCAGATGATAATTCAATTTGAATGCAATCATGAACTGTTGTTTCATTAGGTAACAGATTTTTAGTTGAATCAATCGTCAATTGTTCATTTGTTTTATTATAATTATCGAAAATTATTTCATTTGTTGACTGAACTTTCACAATAATATTATCTGCATCCTATGAAATATTAAATGAAATAGAATTATGAAAGAAAATGATTAATTTTTTGGTTCTAGAAATGTAAAACAAAACTCTGAAAATAAAATAATATTTCTATTAAAAATAAATAGTGGTCGTAATCGATAATGCTATTTTTTTTTCATACAACTTCAGCAAATTAATGTCAAGCAATGATTAATGGAGATTAAAACACATGATTTATGTTTTGTTTTTTTTGACGATTATTTAATATTGAATCTAGGAAAACAATTACTCTGATAAGCAACTGAAATTGATCAACTTCATAGTTTACTTTTCTCAATGATGAAGTAAGTATATGGCTTTACCTTGAAATTTTATTCAATTCAATAATAATAATGCAAAATAAAAGGTGAAGTGAATTTCATAAAAAAAAACTTTCCGAAAAAAAATTAACAATTCACAAACGAATATAGACATTTGAATCAATGAAAAATACATTATTGCATTCAATGTTCAATCCTTTTATCTTGAATAAAAAAATGAACGCCTGACTATTAATTCATTTAACATGGATTACTTATTCAAATAACCACGATTCTACACATTTGTACAATAAAAAAAACTCATGATTATTCTTCACTGTACTGTTTCATATCACAAATTATGACATTTTTCTTAGCCTCTTTCATGTAAGCAAAAATAACAATTTAACATTTCATATAGAATCAGTTTGATTGAAAAATAACATTGTATTGACATGTTTTAGGCAATTTTTATTTTAATCAAGAAATTTGAATCAAGTTAAACAACCAGTGAAACAAAATAACATGAATTTTGTTTCATTTCTCGGTTTCTTTCAAGCTACTTAGAACATGACTATGATAGTTTCGACCGTTAAAAAGAACCAATGTACCTACTCATCAGTGAAGATCAATGAAACAATCGATAAGGACGTATAAGAGAGAGAGAGAGAGGTAGGCCAAATAATATTAAGTTGAAGAAAAGAATATTTTGAAATGAACAGGCACAGAATTATTTGGAATTAAAATTTTTGGGTAATAGTTATGTAACTCATCAAACAAAATGACGTGATTACAAATGAAACATACAGTGAGCATAATTAATTAGTTACAAAAGCATTGCGTAACAACACTTACAAATGACGTTACCATAGCAAAGCAAGATTGATAGTTGAAGCCGCGAAGTAAAATCAGTTCTTATAATTTTTTATTAAAAAGTTATGGAGATTGTTGTTTATTATTGAAATCATGAATTAATTATCGTTAGATTGCCAATAAAAAACTTGTTGGCAATAGATGGCCTTTTCATCCTGGCCAGTCCCAACTCATCAGTCGTGAATGCGCACTGCTAATGAGTACTATACTAGGGCATCCAAGTTTTTATTGATCTAACAATGATTAATTCATGATGTCAGTGAAAACTCATGTTATTCTGCTAGACTAACTGTTTTGCTTTATTCAAATTTAACATGATTTTGACTGTAATAAAAATGTTTTGCTTTGATTCCCTTTTTACTATTTAAACTTGTGTTAATTTATTTCGGTTATCTAGTTATTTTCCTTAAAGTAGCGCCTTGAATAAATTCACGGAGCGTCGGATAAATTTCTTCTCATTGGAGTACCTCCGAAAGGTTTTAATCATAAAGTTTTTAGATACCTTTCCTAAATGATAATATGTGTTTCGATCCCGATTAAACTATTTTAGATAATTGAGCAAGCTATTCGGTAGTCTCTATATTTAGTTTCGGGGATTTAGATTATGTCAGCACGTAGTAGTCAAAATGAATTAACTAGTCGTTTAAAAAGGATTTATTGTCTGAATCTGAACAGCCTATAATTAATTTACATGTGTGTATGCTGTCAACAGAAATGACTATTTAGCATAGGAAAGTACAGTATTTTGATTTCTAAAAAAACCTCGACTGCTCATTGAGTGTAGGTAACAAAAAAAACATTATTTCAGCTATTCCTCAACATAAAGATCTTTGACAGAATTAACACTCAGTTGGTGGTAATTATATCTAGAAAGTTTTCAATAAAGGATAAACAGATACACAGTTCAGTGAGTTCCCAGGAAATGCAATAGTATTTTTGAAAATCCGTTCAGTTCACAGAATAATAGGCTTAAAAAATGTACGAGTCTCTCTAAAAAGAGTTTTTTTCAATTATTTATATTGAAAGAAAAACACTTTGATCTTACAGCGAAAATGTGCGATACAATGCCAAATCGAGGTATATTAATTTAATGTACGTCATGTCCAAAATAGCTTTCATACTCAATGTAACAAAAAATGTACTCACTTGTAACGTGATCTCTGTTCGCTTTGTTCTATTAGCCACTTCTTTAATGAGTAATCGATGTTGTCTGATCAGTTGATTTACGGCGAATAAAGAGCGACCAATATAAGTATTATCGGCTAAAAGAAGTTTTTCATGAGTCCAGATTCTTTCATTTTCCAAATCTCTGAAAACAAGTGAATATTTATTAATGATATTCGAGTTATTTAAAGCTGAAATAAACTTTTTCATAGGAAAAATTCTAGGAAAATTGATTACCAATCAGATGTGAATACTTTCGTGGAGAATGCATTATTGAAAACAGTCTATTGAAAACCTAATTATGCGTCAGTGTGTTCATAAAATGTACCTCTTACAGCATAAATTGTTACTTGCCACTAGAAAAAATCTTCAACTCCAGTTCTATTGTATTAAATATTTATGTTACACAAGTGACCTGTATAATTTTAGGTTGGGTTTTTCTAAAAATTTAATTTTTATTTTTAAAAATTCTGTCTAATTTTATTACCTTGATTAAAAGAAACTTTATATATATATATATATATATATATATATATATATACATTTGTTTACGCTCTGATAATTTAATTGAACAGGATAGCTTATACAGTGAATGTAACTGGTTTCACACGCAATAAAAATGCGAGTTGAATTTTTAATGAAATCATGTTTCTCTAATTAGGTCAATCAAATCCTCTTACACATTCGATCAGGATAACACGCTAGCCTAAAAGTTTTTCTTAAAACAAATGTGCATAATGTCTTTTAGTGCTATAATTTTTTTTATTTGACAACGGTCAACAATGATAAATATGTTTTTTGAGTTAATAATATTCATTAAAATCATAAAATCGATCAATGTTAAGACTATCATTAGAAACCTGGAAGCAGTAGACGGCCATTTCGTCCTGGTATGGGACTCATCAGTAGTGTACTGAGTATATGTATAAAAAAACAGATTAGTTATTCATACAATGGGTATGATAAATTTCAGAAACTATATTCTATGATGACAATAGAACTTACCTATAAAGTTGATAGACGTGCTTTTGTGCTTTCAGTTCTTCAGCATGTTCATAAATAAATATTTGAATTTTCCAAAATTTATTGATCAAATTCTGAATCTTTGTTACTACTACTTCTGTATTCTGTTTATCGTTGTCAAGATTTGATAGTATCAATGAATGATCCTGTAAATAACACGCATTATTCAATAAGATGTTTAAACTAATGGATTTAATCGAAAACTACCGACTGATTAGTTGACTTTATTCTTGTCAAGAATCTTGTCAAGAACCTCTACAGGTAACACTAGAGGAATATTCAAATCGAAAGATTTAAGTAACCGTTGTTTATATCTGGGCGGTCTGTTCAGAAATTTAGGCTATCTGTTTCCGAACATCAAAATACTATTAGAAATTGCTTATTTTTATTTTTTTTTAACACGTCAAATATGCGCATAATCCATTTAGGTGAATATATACAAAGTGTACGACTTACAAATTCAAAAGATACAAAAAAGTACAATCCGAGACATAGCAGTGCCGGTAATCCACTGATAAAAGAACAAACTGTTTAATTTTAACTGCCAATGACTAATTATTTCATAAAGTAAACTTGTTGAAGTATGCTTTGTTCAGAATTTCCTACTGTACTAAAGATAAATTACTGAATAAATTCGTTATTAATTTTGACTTGTAGCAATAACAAGAAATAAATGAGATTATATATGTGAATTGTTGAATTCCCACTCAATAGTCTATAGGCTAAGCAAGCTCATAGACAGACCTATGAACATAGTTATTAAAATCCATTTGTTTTAGGCTATTCTCTGTTTTATAGCTTCAACTCAGCTCTATCATTTTCTATCCATCATAACAATCGGTAAGATTTAGTAAGTTTGTGATTAAATTATCAATCATTCAGTATGTGAAATTGATTATCATCATTGATAGACCGTCATTAGAAACATAGATGCACTGCACGGCTGTTTCGTCCTATTATGGGACTCTTCAGTAGTGCGCATCCACGACTCCTGCTACTCACTGGATTCAAACCCAGGACCCCTAGTTTTGTTTGATCGATTCATAGTTCTCCATAATTATATCATGAAAAATAAATTGAGAGATTATACAACATTCAGTTTTTACAACTCTGCAGTGATAGTTTAAATACAAATGGTTTTATAATTGACAATGATACTTTCTGTGCATAATCTTTTTAGACATTTTTTAACTGAATAGACAGTATGTAGACGTTCAATGTTTCAAGCCACTCATAGCTTTCTAGCAATTAAATATCATAAATTCAGCTGATTATAAATTTGACTTTGTGCATTAGTCTGTTAAGAAATTTTTTGACGTAACTGACATGAATATATCGATATTTTACAAAATAGTTTGATACATCAATTGTTTGTAAGATATAGGAGAAATGTAACTATACATAATAATAACAACAATAATAATAATAATAATGACATTCACTTATAAAGTGTATTAGAATTAAACAATCATTGAAGGCACAAGGAAAGCTTGAAATGATTATACATTCCAAAACATATAAAATATCAATCATGCCAATCACACAAATCTTGAAAAAGTCCAAAGTACGTAACAGTGCACTGGAATGAAAACTATGCTGGTCAAGGCGTTTTTTTTATTGTAAATTAAGATATAGTTATGAACTTCACAAAGGGTTTAAATGTAGCGTAATAATAATCTACTTCAGAAAACATTAAACAAAAAGCATTTATGAATAATTATATTCTTAGTCGTGACAATAGTAATAGTAATATAAATAATGCTTATGTATTTATTTATATATGGCCTGGAGTCTGAAATAATCTCAGCACAGATAAAAAAGGCTCAACTGGCTTTTGTGAACTTGCGTCATTTATGTTGAAGGCGAGATATCTGCCTGCAAAGCAAAAGGACGGGTTTGATGCGCATCAATTCTCTTTGTGCTAAGATATGAGTGTGAAATGTCAAATTCAACTGATGTGTGTACGTACGAAGTTCTACGTCATTACTGACAGACTGACTGACTGTAGAAAAAATTTGAATGGAATTTATTGGTTAACTTGGATAATAACTGTATGACATATAATTGCTAACTGTTTCTATAAGCTTGATGAAAATCAATGTTGATTTACTACATTTCCCCCTCCTGAAGGAAATTTAGCATTCAGCTATTTACACTACAATTCAACGCTTAACTGTCTGCAAGTATGTTGGAATTCTAAGCAGAAATACCTATGAAAAAAATAGTTAGGTAACAAGCCAAAAGTAAATCATCATTCTTAACTTTCACATCAAAATGTTCACGAGGAAGCTTACAATACATTTTAATCAATATAAAAAATACCAAGAATACCAGCTTGATTCTGAAATATCGTTTCTTATTGTCGTGAATTGATGTTAAGCACTTATTTTCATGTACTAACATAACTTGTCATATATTACAATCGATTAAAACAAGTTGGTCTGACAAACAATGAAGACGATGTTGTGGTGTTTTTATTGCCAAAATATCTAAGGAATCGTTATGTTGTCTGTCTAAACTATGTAATCAAGATAGTTTGGGGCAGTGAAATAAGTAATCTCTTGCTGTTTACATCATGAGTATCACTGGTTATTAACATTAATTTTATCATTGTTCATTGATATATGTGAAAAATACCTTAAAATTCGTCATACAGTCCCATGATTGACTGATAAAGTATTTTAAATAAATCGCGTTTTCAGTTTTAAAAACAGCATAAAAACTGTATGTTTAATTGAGGTGAAATTTATAGAAAACTATCTAAATTCTCAATACTTGTGAGACTTGTTTTTCGTGAATAAATGAATGACTTTTTATGTGAAACGTTCAATGACTGATCTTTAAAAAAGCTTGATTGATTTAAAACAATGAAGAGTTTTTAGACTTACATTCAGTCAACCACTGTCTACAATAGAAAATAGTCCTCATCGATATATCGTTCATTTAAATTAGCGTTACTGTTTTATTGAATTGACGGAAGTATTTATATGTAGACAACCAACACCAAAGTCACAATTTTTTATACAAATGTCAAGACAGTTCTACTGCATGGGATGCAAAGTTAAAGAACCACGAAAGCTAACATCAGCAGTTGCTTGCGCAAAATACTTCAGGTCTGATGGCCAGGCTTACTTATTTACTTACGCCTGTTACCCATAATGAAGCACAGGCTACCGACAAGTTTTCTTCAACCTACACTGTCCTGGGCTTCCCTTTCCCGCTCTTTTATTTTCGTTCATTTTCCTTAAGTCTTTCTCTATTTCTCAGCGTAATGTGTTTCTTGCCTTACCTCTTTTCCTTTTACCTTGAAGGTTCCATCTGAGGGCTTGTCTTGTGAGGCAGTTTGGTGCTTTCTGCAGTGTGTCCTATCCATTTCCATCGCTTCTTCCTCCTCTGGAATCTAGTTTGTTGGCGTGGCACTATCTAAAAAAGCCTACTGTGGGCGAGAAGAAACCAGATTCCAGCATAGGAAGAAATCAGGAAGAAGCTTTGAAAGGGGATAAGAAACAAACTGCAGAAATCACACAACTGAGTCACAAAACAATCCCTCATTAGGAATCTTCATGGACAAAGGAAAAGAAGAAGACCAAAATACACATATTTGTTAACAAATATAACTTTTTCAAACCTTTAAAATTGTACTCAGTACGAAAATCAGAAAACTAAATATTTTATGATAAACTAATGAAGAATCGGATTTTATATTCTAGATAACTAAATTATTTAAATAGTTCTAGTTGATACAACAAACATTGATTATTTCAAATGTACAAAAACACTAATCTCCATAACTCTGATTGAAAATATCTTAAAATGTGCTCATTAGTGACTAGCTTCGTGAGGAAATTCTCGGAGTTCAAGTGAGAAGACGTGACTAGTGGAGTTCAACCCTGTCTGGTGAATGCATTAACTACCGAAGACAAATGCGTGAGGTCGCTCTAAATCCCTAGATGAATCAGAGTTAGACATCGTTGGATGCCAGCCCAGTGGTCCAATGGTTAGGCGTACGCGCACAGTACCGAAGGTCCCATTGCTTCCAGGTTTCTAATTGTGCCCTAACAATGAGTGATTGATGATTTCAAATGTGTAAAAACACTAATCTCCATAAACCTAATTGAAAATATTTCTTTCACAAAATAATAATTTAACATACAATATATAACAACAGCAGAATACATGGAGCAGCTAGTTTGTTTCAAATGTTACAATAAACTCTCTCTTAGTTTTCGTCTTCATCATAGTAACTTAAAATATTCCAGATGAAATCATGTCAGTTGCAAATTTCGTTTAATTTATTGGAAATGATAAAATAAAATTGTATTGATAGTAATAGTTAAATGTTGAATATGCCTGGCGGTACATTAGTCCATCACTCAACTAATTATCTATTTTAATGCAACACTTATCTCTGATTTGTTGTGTGAAATGAATCTGGTTGCGAAATTTCATAATTTTTGTCGCTAGAAATTGTCTTTTTTATTCTTCAGAAAAACATCCAAATCCGCGCGACTAATCGAAGACAAATTTTACGTATTTATTTGAAAAATGATAATGTTACTTTTCGTTTTCTTTTTTTTGTTCAAAGGACAAATTAAACAAAAGACTTAATAATAACCCTAATGTATCAGTTCCGATTTTCTAGCAATTAACTTCGCAGTAGACGGTGTATTTATTTTTTCATAAAAGCGCATGAATACATGAGGCAAATAGGAATAATTGTTTAGCTAAAGTTAAAGTAGAAAATTATATTACTGAAACGGAACAATTAGAAAATAAGTAATATATAGATGTTTTAGCAGGTGATTTTCGCTATTGATTGTTTTTATACATTACTAATTACGTTAAAGAAAAGCATACATTTATCGTTTTATCCATAACTGACATATTTTATGTGATGAAAAAAATCTTTTAGTGTATTTTTTGAATACTAAATTTATACGTATACATAAATTTCCCCCTTGTATTTTTGAACTGTAAATAAACTAACCAACTTATTTAACATTGAACAGGAAATTAAAATTCATTTTCTAACAAAATTCATAATCATTGGACATTGTTGGTTCTAAACAGATTTGTTTTCGATACATATATATTTAACCATGTACCATAATTTTCATTACATAGAATAAACGTAAAAACACAATCGACTCATACTATTTAAAGGGAGGTAATGTTTTTTTTTTCGAAATGCATTAGATAGGTAAATAATGGTCAAATGAATACACACTTTTCATTTTTAAAATATAAAATAATAATAATAATAACTTTTGGGGAAGTTTAATTTTACGATAATGATAATAATTTATAACATCTGAGGAAATAAGAAACTGAAATCATGAACGTATCAATGTTAGACAACTATTAGAAACCCGAAAGCACCGGATGGCTGTTTCGTTCCACTATGGTATTCATCAGCAGTGCGCATCTGCTACTCCAGGTACTCACTGGATTCGAACACAGCACCTTTGGTCTTGCAAGCGAAAGCCTAACCTCTAAACCACTGTGATGGCTGGCGTCCATCGGTGTCGATTTCCAACTCTGATCAATCTAGGGATTTTACGCGACGTCACTCATTTGTCTTCGGTAGTTACCTCTTGCACCCGATGGGGTTGAACTTCACTGGACGCGTCTTATCACTAGAACTTCGAGAATTTCATCACAGAGCTAGTCACTAGTAAGCACAATGTACAATTTGTCTTTTTGAGTTATGGAGATTATTGTTTCTAATAGTAGTCTAACAATGATTGATTCATCATTTCAGTAATAAACAACAGTCTCATTAACTCTGAATCAAAAATAAAAAACTTTTTTTCAATAAAAATAAGAATTACGATTTAGAGCATAATCCATTTTCTTTCCATATCTGTACCAAAACTATATGTCTGTTATATTCATTCATATTCTCTTTCAATAATCGTTACTACTAGTCGTTGACAGTTCTCGGTCGGTAAAAAATATTTCTAGCAGTTATTATATATACTCTGCAGAATGGGCATTATTCTAAAGATTATTTGTTAATTCAATGATTGGTACTGTAATACTCATTCAATAATGTTTAATCAAGTGTTACAATTCACTATTATCTCATTAGATTCAAAATTGACAACGTAGTTGTTGCGCAGTTAAATAGCAAGCGTTTACAGTTCAACAACCAAGTTTAAATGTATGCAATTCTTTTTTCAATGAATGGTTTGGTTTTTGCATTTTAGACTTTGCATAATAACAACTATACAGCTGACTGACTTTGTTACGAGATAATGAACAACACTGTGAAATAGTTTTAAGAATTTTTTTATTGTGAATAATCTAAACAACGGTATAAGTGAAAATGATTACACTTCTCAACTAGAATCATTGAAATATTTGATAATGATAATAATAATAATAATAATAATAATAATAAGCAAGAAAATACAAATTTAGTTAACAATAACAATATTGCAGAAATGTTTATCCCTACTTGAAGATAATAACATCGAAAGTGAACTGTATTTTTTGAGTTCACAACAAGTGTTTTAAGAGTCGGTTAGTTATATCTTCTATAATCTATAATTCAGTGTCTTGATAATATTTCACTATGTGACTATCTGGTGCCAAACGAACAAAAAACTAACAGTTACACTTAAAAAACGAAACTTGTACAATCATATGCAACCTTTGAAGCTACAATCACTTTTTTGTTAAACTACACCAATAATCGTCATGAAGTTTATCTAGTGTCTATAACACGGGAAATTATCAGAGTATTGGGAAAGTAATATTTGAACGTTGACTCCTCCGGAGTCCCTCTGGGCTACTGCCGGTCTGAAGCCGTATAAAGGAGGATAGTTCGGCATCGGGTTGGCTACCACAACCAGCAGAAAACCTAACTCAAATAAATTCACTCACTATAAAATATAATTCAAACCATCTATAATCTGTGCTGGGATTCAAAAGGTATTTATTTAGAAGAGTTACAACGCCTTATGATGAAAGCTGAGATGTTTTTGGATGTCACGAGACTAATACACTATTTGACAACCAGAGTAACCATTAATTTAAGTACATGGAATGTTCGTACAATGAGGGAGACGGAGAGATTAATCCATAAGATACAAATGTTTATTAACATTTGCCTATACAAAAGCCTTCTGATCCACTGGACAGATACTATCAGCAACAACCTACTGTAACAGTGGAGGAATAAGTCAGGAAGAAGTGCCCGTAGTGGATAGGACAAACTTTAAAACAATCACCTAACTACACCACAAGATAAATCCTCACCTGGAGTTCTCAAGGCCAAAAGAAAGAAGGAGGACCAAAGAACACATTTCGCTGAGAAATACGGACAGACACGAGAAGAATGAACAACAGTCAGATTTAACTAGAAAGGAAGGTCCAGGACAGTGTAGGTTGTAGAATGCTTGTCGGCGGCCTATGCTCCACCACGGGGGAACAGGTGTAAGTAAGTAACATGTTAATTTTGTGTAAATTTGAATTTTATAAACTAATATTAGTATAAATTATATCATTATCGGATAATAAATTTTGACTAACAGTTACCCCTGTAAAATGATGATTGAGTAGAAATATAAACTTCTTTTTTTTGCTAAAATTAGTTTTTACAAAGTAAATATTTATCTTAGTTATAAATGAGCTCACTTAATTAAATTTTTCCTGAATTCTTGAATGTGAGGACTAGTAAATTTTAAAATTTGTAATACTGAATTCACAAAACATTAAAACACCAACAATAAAACAAAATATTCAAACGCAACAAAAACGAATTTAATCTTACATGAAGTTCAACTAGAAATTTTTTCTTCACATCAAGGTCATTTAAATATTCATTAATTTTATTTAGATGTAAAGTCACCTCTGCCATACTTGTACAACCTGACACATTGGCTTTATTTGTCCAATTTTGATTGAAAAATTTGTTTTGTACAAGATATTCCAACGTTTTACTTGATGATTCTGTTTCATTAAACATTTCCATATTATAATCTGATGTCAATTGTTCAATTAAACTTTCAATCATCAGTGATGGATCTTGTGTAATGTGTTCCCCTTCAAATTGTTCAAATTTATTTTGAGGTTTGAAAGATAAAAATTTCAGAAAAAATTTATCCAACCAATGATTCAGTTCACTGCATCCATCTTCAAATATAATTGCTAGTTGTTTAGAAAGAAAAAACAATGAAATTACAGTTGTTTTCATTTGAAGTTATGGAGAATATTGTTTATTACTGAAATAATGAATGAATCATTGTTAGACCACCATCAGAAAACTGAAAGCATTTAGAGATGATCGCTTCGTCCTGGAATGGGACTCATCAGTGTCAATGTGCATCCACGACCCCTGCTACTCGCAGGACCTTCAGCCTTGCGCTCAAATGCCCAACCTCTAAACCACACTGTGTAAAAGAATTTATTAAAATATTCATATAGAAATTCAACAGGAGCGAATCATTAAAAACAGATCATATTTTTGTTATCGGTGACACATTTTAATGTATTTGAAATACGTGAGCTAAATATGCCTACACTCTCAAGTCTCCCGCACAAAGACCCTGTATTCCACTACAAACTATTTCAACAAAGTCCAGGATACCATTTAAAAATATCTCTAAAAACAGAACATCGAATTTGAACTTTATTGTTTCATTTTTGGTTGTTGTAAAAACACATTAAATTTCTTTTCACAAACTTTTCATCTGTTATACTGAAGACTTAATCGGATGAAACCAGCTTTATTGATGAATCAAGCTGATTGATTTCCGATAAGCCAGAATGTCTGTTCAAAATTATTTCTCCATATGTCTATTGATCTCCCTCTTGTATGATATTTCATGTTTGGCAGTTGCAAAACATTTTCCCACTTTTTTTCTATCATCTTCAAAACTATGAACAGAGTAAATGTCAAAGTATTTTTTTCCTCAATTTTTAAAAGACAACTGCTTTCGAAATAACATTTGTTAAAATTTTGAACAATTTGTTTTGTATCAGTGGGTATTGTTCGAAAAAAATATATGAATACATAACATTGATATATTGCGCCATATATGCGTTACTATTATTACTCAAAATGTACAACAAGAAGAACAATAATTAATTCTACCTAAAAAAAAATTGGTTTTCTTTTACATCAAAGTTTAACAATCTATATAACTTAGAATTCCTAAACTGATGTAGTGGGATTCATCACAACAATAGTATTATTATTATTATTGCTAGAAAGATCATAACACCTAAAATTAGAATTTCGATATTGAAAGTTCACACATAAATTAAGATTTTGAATGAATTAATAGTTTGTGAATAGTACGTTACTGTCAAAAAAAGACATTTTAGCTGTTACATTTATTCATGGGTAATTCAGTATAATATCCAAGAGAATTTATTTACTGTTTATGTCCGAATCATTGACAGAATCGGAGAAACAAATTAGTCATTCACCAATAAATACACTTGTTATCAATCCCGCTTAATTTAACTTCACTCGATCTTCTTACTTCGATTCTTGTCATTTCTTTGTCGGTCAATCATGACTGGTCCAAAAATCAATCAGATTGATGATGTTTAAATAATGAACAGCAAGTTCTACTCCAGCCAAACATTAATTTTTAATCACATTTTAAAAGCATCCTCGAATTAGATTGTGGAATAAACAAAATTTTGAGAATAATAATCAGACTGAATGTTGGTAAGATTATGTTAGAGCAATGAACTGTATATAATGAATTCCAATTTGTGGTCAGAGGTTATGTAATACTTAGAAAGCTGGAAAAATCAAAGTGATTTTTAATTAAGATTGTTAACTCCGCCTGTAGTCCATTTGGGGCTACTGTCGGTACCAAGTCCGGATACAGGATGGGATTAGACTTGGGGTTTTCGACCCCATTCCGTCGAAATCTAACTTGCTAAAAAAAGGCTAACCAGAAAATAATAATTCAAACCATTTTAACTCTGCCCTGGAAGAAGAATTATGACGTCGCGGGATGAAAGCCGAGTTCTCTCGAAAGTCATGAGGCCGATGCCTCTTCTGATAACCAGAGCAATCATTCTTTTACGTACATGGAACGTTCGGACATTGTGGGAGACTGGAAGTTGCGGCAGAAATGAAAAGATACAACCTCGAGGTGCTTGGAATCAGTGAAACGCATTGGACACAGGTAGAAGTACAGAGACTATCTGCAACGGAACTGTTGTTGTAATCTCGTCATGAAGAGGAAAACGCTTCACATACACAAGGAGTTGCACTGATGCTGTCCAAACATGCACAAAAGGCACTGATAAGATGGGAATCTCATGGACCCAGGATCATCAAAGCATACTTCAAAACAAAGAAACAGGACATTACAATGAACGTCATCCAATGTTATGCACCTACCAATGACTACAATGACGACGTTAAAGATCAATTCTACGAAAGGCTGCAGTCAATCGTCGAGAAATGTTCATCAAAGGATTTGATGATTCTGATGAGAGACCTAAATGCCAAGGTTGGCATGGACAACACTGGATATGAAGACATCATGGGACGACATGGACTGGGAGAAAGGAACGAAAACCGTGAGAGATTTGCAAACCTAAGCGCCTTCAACAAACTGGTCACTGGTGGAACAATATTACCACACAAAGCTACATGGATTTCACCGTACCACACTACTCAGAACCAATCCGACCATATCTGTAACAATTAAAAGTTGAGGAGGACCATGGAGGATGTGAGAATCAGGAGAGGAGATGACGTAGCTTCAGATTACCATTTGCTAGTCGCCGAAATGAAACTTAAACTCAAGAAACACTGGACAGCGGGGGGACAGCATCACAAAAGTTTAATACGGCCTTTCTTCGGGATACCATGTAACTCAGCAAATTCAAGGTGGCCCTCACCAATAGGTTCCAGGCCTTTCACGATCTACTCAACTGAGAGGAAACAACCTTGGGGAACAATTGGAAAGGGATTGAAGAGGCAATTACTTCAACCTGTCATGAGGTTCTGGGTCACAGGAAGTACCATAACAAGGAATGGATCTCTGTTGACACTCTTGCAAAAATTGAAGAAAGGAGAAGAAGAAGACAGTGATCAATGTCACATGACCAGAGAAAGCCAAGGCACAAGCTGAATACACAGTAAAGTGAAGAAGAGCACCAGAGCCGGCAAACGAAGATATATGGAAGATCTAGCAATGACGGCGGAAAAGGTTGCAACAGAAGGAAACATGAGACAACTGTGCGATACAATGAAGAAGCCATCTGAAAACTATCGTATACCGGAACGTCCAAAAAAGGAAAGGAAGGCAAAGTAATCTACAACATTGAAGAACAGCGAAATAGGTGGGTAGAGCACATTCAGGAACTCTTGAATCGAACAACTCCGCTGAACTCACCCAACATCGAAGCAGCATCTACGGACTTCCCAGTCGATAACAATTAAATAGATTGCGTCACTATACATAATATGTTTAAGTACAAGTTGATAATTGGTTATGTTCGTATTTTCGCAATGCGGATCTTTATTATTGAAATTAGTGAATAGTTAATTGATTTCATTAGGAGAGATCGAATAAACTCAGCTGACACATGGTAATGAATAACTGAAATATAAATCTGACTGTCATTTCACATCGTACGACATTTAATTCGTGGCTTAAATGAACAACAACGATGATGTTCACTTGTTTTTGAATTATTTAGTTTACCTGAAGATACGGTGAACAATCAGATTGGTCAGTACAATAGGTACCATAGGTTTTGTACATATCATCCTAATAAATTATCTAATTTTATTGAATTCTGACTTAATTACAATCAATGGCCAATGAATTTTTTTCGCATCTGATCTATATACACAACTCTCTTCACTTTTCCCACCAATCGACTCATACACACTACAATAAACAACAACTGGAACATGGGTAACATGATTGGTCAAATTGTTTAGTGTACAATAAATCAGTGAATCATGTATTCGATAATTGTGATGATTGATTATCATCCATTGAGAAAGCTTGGACTAGATTACCATGTGAAACATTGGAATTACTTAAGGTTGAACGGCTGAAAATTCTTACAAATATTGTTTTCTTCCTTACATCAACTTGTTGTACAAATAATGTCAAATTATTCCTTCACATATAAACAAGAGATTTTATATATTTGGTAATTTGTTCAAGCTATTTAATTCTTTAATCATCAAAATCATAGTGTCTCAATGAGAAGACGTAATTGGTCTGAAAAATGTGATGTATTTGCGTGCTATAGATTTCTAATAACCTAGTCATACATATACTTGTTAAGGCATTTTATATGAAGAGTAATCAAAGGTCAATTTAAAAAAAGTTCATATTGGTCTAAGATAATGTGACAATTTCCTACCCTCTCTTATTCTTTTCAAACCGCGTTAACTTCCTCTCTCCTATATTTACAATTATCACATTATGTTTGCTTGAACTATTGTTAAATTGACCTTTTATTATTTTCATACAAAATGCCTTGACAAGTAAATATGTGTGATCAGATTGTTCGAAATGTATAGCGCACAAATACATCATATTTTTCAGATCAATAACGTCTTCCCAATGTTCTGTCAAAATTTATAAAAGTGACCAATTGTTTTAAATAATTAATAGGTTTAAAATGACAGTTTGTGGTGTTTTTCGCATTGATGATGACAGATAACATCTGATATATCAGTGAAGTGTTTTAAATAAACTATCTGATATTCTAGTACAATTATTTATGAAGCTGTTCTAATTTAGACCAGTTGGGTTCATCGCTGTTCGAGTGTGGTGTGGTAGTGATCACCGAAGAGGTAACGCAAGGTCATGGATTGATCGAAGCTAGACAATGATAAAGTCAGATGCCAGCTCAGTGGTTCAGAGGTTAAGCTTTCGCTCGGATGACCGGAGGTCCTGGGTTCGAATCCTGCGAGTTGCAGGAGTCGTGAATACACATTGCTGATAAGTCTCATACCAGGATGAAACAGCCGTCCAGCGCTTCCAGGATTCCAATGGTGATCTAACATCGATCGATTCATGATATCAGAAAGTATAATAAATAAAAATCTATTGCTGTCAAGAAATATAATGGGTTATTATTTAAAACAGAACTAAAAGTTTAGCACATATCCCGATAAGTAGTAGGGATCATCTTCGTTTCATCATATTTAGTTCATTTGTAGGTATGTAACAGACAGCACTAAAGCGTGTTTTCAATCTACCTAATGGCATTTAATTGTAAGCCAAAAACTCTGGGTTTCTGATTGAAAAGAAGCATGAAATAATTCTGATGAAGAAAAGTGTAGTCTACGGCTTAACAATTCTTCCTAAACTTTTGTGCGTAAACATCATCACCAAGGTTTGAATTAGCAGGACTGTTTATATATTGTACAGTATTATAGCAGTACTATTTATTTATTTGTAAATGTGATTTGATGATGAATTCTTCGTTAAAACGACTTACTTTTTTGTCACGAAACATAAGAAATTCAATTTTTTCTAACTAGGAAATTCTTAGTAGTTTACTATTAATATTATTATTATTATTGTTATTCTTGATATTTCTCACCTCACTTTCAATAGTAGTATGTTTTTCAACTGAAAATTTACGCAAAACTTGTGACGTAATTTTTGACTGTTATTATTTTTATTATTATTTAAATAATTTCTATTTTCTGTCGTTTAGTTTTGACATACAATCCATGTGGAAACAGTTGTTCTAGTCATCATGTTTGATTGGCATTAGTTATGCAATAAAATACTAGAGCAGACAATGATAAAGAACTTTTTACGATCTAAAACCACATACATCTCTCTTTACAAAAACAAGAAGACATCTTTCTGATTAAAACGATAAAAAATCCTAAATTCTTTCTTCTATGCAGAAACTTCAAATGAGGGCAAATAAAACTATGAAAAAAACTGAAATGTTGTTACAAATTAAACTTCGTCAATTATAATTGAGGAGATTGTTGTTGATTTATGAAACTATGAGTGACGAGTAGTCCCATAGCAGGATGAAACGGCCTTCAGGTGCTTACAGGTTTCCATTGGTGGTCTAACAACGATTTATTGTTTCATGATTTCAGAAATTCGACTTAATTGTCGATGCTGCTTCAATTCTCTCATATATATTTAATTGAATAAGTCAATAAATGTCAAAAATACTTGTGAAATAAAATGAACTGTAAGTTTGCATGATTAAACTGTTTATCGCATTACGGGTTTGTGAAGATTGTTAAGTTACACATTTGAAATCGTGAATCGATCAGTGTTAGAACACACACCTGGAAGCACTGAACGGCCGTTTCGTCCTGGAATGGGACTCATCAGCAGTGCGCATCCGCACCGTCAGATAACGGCCCAGTGGTCCAGAGGTTAGGTGTTCGCGCTCGAAACCAAAGGTCCTGGTTTCGAATCCTGCAAGGTTAAGGAGTCGTAAACTGTTTATGGCTTAACTTTATGTTAATTAGCCAGCAAAACTGTTTTTCCTTTTCACTTCTGATGATGCAAAAAAAGCTTATGCTCTGAGTGAACAGAAACAAACACGAAAACTCAGCAATTAAATTAAAATTGTGAGGTAAAAACAAAAATATATTACAAATTTTTTTATTGAACGCCTTTGTATTATGATTGCGAAGAAAGGGTTTCCCGAAAGGTAGCCGACGGAAAAGTTAGGAACCAAATATTGGATATGGATTTACAATTGAGATACTTATTTTCCGAATATTTTTTTCTAGTTAAATGTTGATGATACTTTATAGTTTAATTTTGTTTGATTATGTAATCGCGATTGATTATACACAATGTACTTTACAATTGAATTCTAGTTTCCTAAATGACAGCTTAAATGATTTACGCATCACCTTAACAAGAATATCACCTCATCTTATATTCAGAGTTGAATGTTAGTTATAAGGAAATGAAAATGCACAGATTTGTTTAGATTATGCAATCAGATTAAATGAAAAAAATAGAAAAAGTTGTTCACAAACATTACCTCTGTGTAATTGTAGCATGTAATCGCCTCTTTCTCGCATCAATTTACGTAAATTTTCCCATAATGTCATAAGGCTACCAAGCGATTCACTTAATTGATCCGCAATACGTGGATATTGTACAATGGTATTGACTACATTCTATTTTTTGAAAAAAAAGATATTTATTTGAAATTGTAAATTTCAAATGTATATGCTTTGAATTAGTTTGGTAAACATGAAAAATTAGTGATTTCAATTCAATGTTTAACTCTATAGCTGGTTGAAAAGAGAACAGGAAACTTAGTGTTGTTGCACAAACTTTATTTATTGAGAATGCATTATAATGGGATGAATATTATAGAAGGTGGAATTGGTTTATTACTGAAAAATTAGAATACTCTATATGGATATTCCATTTATCATAAGTTTCGCGTTGACTTACTAACTGCTGTTGTACGACTTACAATTCACAATCGACCATTCAGCTAAGTCTCCCTCATTTACAAGCACTTTTATATATAATTATCACATTTTGTTTTGTCATGTAATGTGGTCTGGTACGTCTGTATATAAATGATGTCTGTTTGATATATTTCTATAGTTAAGGGTTGTTTGCTATATTCGGATGAATTCAAGGGTGAACAGAGTGAAAAGCTAGTGAATAGTACATCAATAGGAACCTCACTGTTTGCTTGAGGTCAATAGCGCTGGTTAGGCGTGCTATATCTATTGAGGAATTAGAATTCGGATTGTGAATGGTGAATAAAATACGTGGTATTGGTCGGCAGCTTTCAAAATATAATGGAGTTATATGAACACTCGTAGGTGACACTGTTAGAACTACACATTTTATGAGTTAAAAATCTGCCTTAAAATCTGTTTTCGTCATTTGAAGACGGGTGTTTATCTATCAACATAAGAATCTTCATTGAAGCATCCAAGAATCAACAAATGAATAAAAAAATTCATGGTATTAAATATTGGTTAAAACTAATAAAAAACTTTAATCGTTTCTTAAAAACTACTGTCTGTTTTCGACACTGTCTAATATTTAAGTCTGTGATTAGTAAATTCTGAAATATTACATACTGTTTCAGAGAGGATTTCAATATCTCAAAAACGTCTGTATATCATGATTCTCCCAAATACAAATCATCATCTCCGCTTATATCTTTTCATTTAAATATCTACTGAGACAATTTAGGTCATGTATACCGAACTAGATACATGCGGTGAGTATTGCAAAGAATCGATCATAGCTCAACTAATACACGCATTATAAAACATGTTGTAGAGGCGTGTTGGGAACGTTAGATCACCAGAACTCGCTTGATAAAGACCTTATTTTGGATTTCACGTTTGCGAGCATGGGTTGATCAGTTGACCTTGAGATTTCATTTCCGATCAGGGAAAGCCTTAGCTGTGATTGGTTACTGTGTCATTTTTGTGTGTTATTTTTGTGACTGTCCCAAGGACGTTTCTATGATGTATAAATAAACGAGATTTGTGTGCTTGATTGCATTGTGCCTGCTGGGTGTTTGTAGAATATAATTCCTACGCTATATCAAGACTTATCTTTAGCCCTTTCGAGTCAAAGGGTCAAGGTAGCCTACCTGGACGCTGGTTCATTGTCTCGTTCTAGTCTATCGACTAAGGTGAACACATAATAGTTTCAAGCATACTTAGTGACGAACTCAACAGGCGAAAACAGAGAAGAAAACAGAGCCTTTGAATATTTAAACGTCAGGGTTTTTTCAATATGACAAAGTTATCCTCTTTGTCGAATTAGTCAATTATAAGGCTGAAAATAATCTTCACGATTCTTTGAAGTAATACTGAGAAAAGTATTTGTTTTTTCATTTTACTAACAGTAGGATATCATCTGAAGCTGTGTTTTTTCTAATTTCCGCACAAAAACTAAAGAAATCAAACGTTAAATTGATCTTTGCGAACTATATAATTTGTTTCTTATTTATCATTGAAAAGTACCGCGACAAAAACTTTGTTCCAAAGTGTACGATATCAAATAAGTAGTAGATTTCTATTGATTATACTTTTCTGATTCTATCTTTGTGCATATGGTATATTTTTGAGTTTCACAAAAATACGCTTCAATCAGTAGTTAACTTACTAATAAAAACAATTATGGGCTTCGGGATGGACTTGTTACTGAATAAGCATCTGAAAGAATATGGTACCTGAGATTCGTGAGTGAAACTAAGTAACTGTTCAGTACACATGCCTTCATTTTATTAGAACTCTAAACTTTTAAAAATAAGTTCAATTTATAAAATGTGAAATATGAGCTCAACGACCACTAACTCAACTTGAAGCTACAAAAATTATATATATATATATATATATAGATAGACAGTTAGTGTAAACAGGTTTTTACAGCCGACAAAGTTTAGGTATTTCATCAAACTACCACTCAGTATAATCTACAATCAAACATACCTGAAAAACTTGTTTAATACGATCATTGTTAGATTCTATTTCACTTTCAAGTACACGATGTTGTGTGTATTGTTTACTGACAAATACTTTGTATGGAACCAATGAACCAATATTCGACAGTTTACCTGCCTGATCCCATTCTTCAGCAAGTTCTTTTTTCTCTGTAAGCCATTCATGAAGCTAAAGACAAGAGGTTTATATTCTTAGTAAATTAAAAAATTAACTAATCAAAATACCGGCTAATTGAATATGAGCATAATTTAAGCTTTTATTCCAGTGAAGCATTTTTGCCAATTTATAGTATCTTTTATCAGCTAGTGAGTTTAATAGGCGTGTGAATAAACTATTGTCTAATACTGCTTCTAAAATACATACTAAACTAAATATTTATAAATACCCAGTAAATTATTCATTTTCGGTGGTAGGCTGCAATAAAAAATGATCTCCTACTATAAAATATGCATTTTGTTTCAATTTTCGGTTCATAGAAATTTATAATTGGGAATCAGTTTGAAGCAACTCAGCGCTCATAAAATGATGTGCTTGTTAGAACGGTTAGGTAGAGTTCACATGAGCAATAATCAATCGATCCTTGTTAGGACAGAAAAGCTGTTCCGTGAATTCCATTTTTAGATAAAACTGGCAAAAGATTTACTTGCAAACATACACAAAAGAATAATTGTTTTGTTTTAACCCTTAAACATTCACTGATTGAAAATGGTGTCCCATCTAGGAATCACTGAAATTTCTTACTACAGAAAAATAAAACAATAACGCAAAATAACTTCCAGCGACATGTTGACTGAACACAATATAATTCAAGTTTTCAGAAACAATCCAAATATTTAAAACTCATCATAATTATTTTTTTAATCCAAATTAATTTCAAGAAAAAAAGCCGGAATTTCAGGTAGAAAAACAACTATTTATTAAAGGAGATTAAGTTTTGATTTTCATCAAAATATCCAATTAATTTAATAAATCAAATCATGATCATTCTTATCACTAAATTTTCAGACTTCTAATAATATAACAATGCAACAGTAATTCGATATGAATAATTATCGTGATATAGAGTTTAGTTTGAGGTAAATTCAATTTTCATTCTTACAGATAAATAAACAAAGAATAAATTTTGGAATAATAGAGATAACGGTAATAATACTACTGTTAACAAACACAAACTACAACAAGAATCATTTTTTAAGTTGACCTTAAACGTTTTGAATTTGTAGAAAATACTTGTCAATTTGATGCATATCACTCTTTATCACTTCAGGAAATTACAACATTCTTGTATGTTTGTATGTGGATTTATATATGCATCATTGTTTAATAGGCATTGATGGAATAAATCGAACTGAACTTTCGAAATATCGTGTTATAATTTTTACTTAAGCACAATTGATCTTTATCAATGAAAAGTGGACAGATTAATGATATCATATTAATCACTTCCAAAAGACAGGTCATCAGACTGACAGACTGACAAAGATATATATATATATAAATATATATATATATATATATATATATATATTTATTTATATATTATTTATCCGACCAATTACCCTCACTAGTGAAGTGTAACATCATTCACTTAAGACTAGCCTCTTTAACATTAAATCACTTTATCCGTTACGACATGAAAGTCAAATGAAAAGACACTATACTTTTACAGAGTGTTGATCTTTTTCTAATATCTAGTCTTGTGTGAATTCGAAAATTCCCCTCGCATGAAATTTTTCAACGTAAACAAGAACGAACAAACTTTGTCATTTAAGTAAATATCAGATTTTACTTTGACAATGATTTAGAGAGAACTGACATTTATGAAACTTGAATAATATTTTTTTTCTTGATAAGTTTACATTCACAAATTTTGTTCACAGAAAAACAATTATTTTAATAAATGTCTAATTGAAATTTGATCTGTAAACAGATTCTTATATTGAATTCATATCTTAGACTATCAAAATACAAAAGTTCCGATTGAATCTAGACGTAAACTAATTTGAACGTTAAGGCTTTATCAACCTCAGTTTTGTATAGAAATCGGTTCAATAAATTTAGAGAAATAATCACCGACAAATGCCTTTAATTAACAAGAATTTTAACGGAATTCAACTATTGTGTTTATAATAAGTAAAGATTTCTAGCTTTTAGTCAAAGTGAATCACAATTAGACAAGTAATAAAACTTTGAAAAAGAATCATTTTTCATTATGTTCCCAAACTGTTCTCTCCCTAACATGTTTATCAGAATTATTTTCTGAAAAGTCTAGTATTACAACACTTCTGTTTTACGTCGATGTGACTTTCTGACTGCACGGTGTGTACAAGAAGATTCTAGCTTGATTTTAAAATCTTGTAAAAGATCTTGAAACGATCACAGAATTACTGATAGTTAACTTGCAAATAACACGACTAATTCAACATTTGCAAAAATATTCATACTTTACAAAGTTATAAACAAAGATAAGCTACAGAAAATACTTGAAAAAATCATATCGATATTTATCATGACTGAAATCATTCGCCTGAGGAAATACTATTAACGTTTACTTATTATAATACGCAAAGTGAAATACTATTTAGTCAATTTTCATTCAGAATATTCGAAAAACAAAATTGGATAAATGCGTCTCATGTCTGTACATAGAAGGTTATAGGTGCGAGATCGAGAATTAATTCAATGTATTTTGTGGTATTGATAATTCAGAAGCGGTATCGTACTTTCTAAATTTATGTGCCTGCAAAGCTTCTATAGAAAATCCTCTGATAAAATTGATCAATAATTTGACCAGCTGAGCTCAATTTAAATATTAACGTTAACGTATTTTTATTTGGAGTAGATGTGACAACAACAAACTCTGCTTGGAGCCCCTCTGGCGCTACAACCAGTCCCAAGCCAGGATAAAAGAGGGGGATTGGACATGGAGTTTGCGACCCCATCCAGTAGAAAGCTAATTCGCTAAAAAAAACGCTAACCAAATGTTAAAACATAAAAAGGAATGCATTATTCAGGTCTTAAATAAGAATTTTTTAATTAGAGAGATTTATTACAACTAGCATAAGACATACCGTTTGAATTTGTTGCATATCTTCCCGAAGTGCTATCAAATCTTTAGTTGAATCCACTAACGTACGAGCTTCATCAAGTAATGTGTTATACCTAAAAATATGATATAAAAATACATTTTTTCTGATTAAATTCAGTGAATTCAGTAGTCGGAACACAAAGCATTTGAACTTTAGTTGATAATGCTAGGAAGTAAATTAAATAAATTAGTCAGCTGTCATAGTTTCGTGATTAACATAACTGATACGTTGAGTTATACTATTTCATTATAAGTTGATAATTATAGCTTGCTAGATTCATATCGGTAATGTAACTCATTTAGTTGAAAAATATATCTTCTGGATTCGGTTTTGTTGTACAGTAAGATAGAATGAAAGACTTTAACGACTCATGCAGACAACACTATTGTGCCAGCTTTTGTGCTCAAGTTCTTGAAGTAAAATTTCCTAAGTCGACCATAATTATGGAACTGATAATTATCATTAAATCGGCAACTTGATTCATTTTTACTATGGGACGATAGAAACATTGTGTAGCCGCTTTGTAGAAGTATAGTAATCCTCAGGAGTGCAAACCCACTACCATAGACGAAGAATCGAACTCAGGACTCTGTACTGATAAATATTGTGTTAACTAATAACAACCTCGACAGTGAATTCTCTGCGTTCTAATAAGAAGCTGTAAAAATTGAAGTCTAATCATGTTGGGCGTGAGACAGTTACCCACTTAGGATAAGGTTCTACAATTTCCAGGATTGATTCACGTTGAACAGTACCACCGTTAGGAAAGAGATTAAATGTTCGCGCGTTATACCGATAGTTCCGAGTTTGATTACTGCATGCGCAGTCATGGATGCTCACTACTTAACAGTCCCATGCTGTGACGGAACAGCTACCCAGTTTCTTCAGTTTTCTAATGGTGGTTTAACGTAGGTCGGCTCATGATTCTAATGAAATTCATCTATCTCCGCAAATCCATACTTATAGTTACTGTTTGTTGTTATCGTAGGTCAAAAAAATAGTCAAAAGCAGTATCCATTCGGACTAAAAAACCGGAACCATATGTATAAAAGAAATTCATTCATTCTGTTCTCCTACTTTCACTTAATTCAGAACGTTGAAATCATTAATGATCTTACTTATTGGACAACCTTATAGAGTCAAATATTATTGATCTAAAACCTTTGTTGGTCCCCTGTTAAATCTAATTAACTTTCACTTTGGTTTATTATTTATTATTCTAAATCACGTAATTTTATGCACGATATCGTCTTCCGCCAAAAACATTTGACCAGATTGATAATTTTACTGTATCATATCACTCAATGTGATTCGTTTTTTATTCTGTCCATTAGTCTCGCAATTTCATTCATCGTATAAGCTTATTCAAATTAACATTATATTTTATTGACCAGTTGCGATTAATCTTGCCTATGAACTCATATGCTGTAATTTTAAACGATGTATTTACTGTTTAGCTGGGTACTTTTGAGATTAGAATATTAGATATAATGCTGCAGAAACTGTAGAGAGAATTTATCTAAAAGACTAGTCTTGGCTACTTAGGACCCGTTAGCTAGATTTCATCAGCAATAACCTACAGTTATAGAGAACAAACCAGATTCCAGCTGAGCAAGAAATAAAGTAAAAACACCGGAGGTGGATAGGGCAAATACTATGGAAAGCACCGAGCTGCGTCACAAGGCAAATTCTCACTTGAAATCTTGAAAGCCAAAAAACTCATTACGCCGAAAAAATGGAGACAGATAAGGGAAGAATCCGCAACAACTGGTAAGAACTGTAAATGAAGGCCTAGGACAGAGTGGGTTGAAGAATGCTGGTCAGCGGCCTATGCTCCATTAGGGGGAACAGGCGTAAGTACGTAAGTGAGTGAGTGTGGAGTTTGTAGAGAACATTTATCTGAAAGAATAGTTAATCTGCTTAAAATGACGTGAATGTTTAGACAGATCGAATCAGATACTACTGAAATCAAGTTGAAAAATGCTTAAACTTCAATTGTAAATGACAATATCAAGTAATTTCCTTTACTTATGGAAGGTTGTATTTGTCTGTTACATATTTTCAAACTTTTTCCCATATATTTTTTTCTGTTTGCTGCTTCTGTTTTCGTTCTTGTGCATAGAATAATATGAGCTCGTGTACATGTTGTTATTAGTGTTCGGTTTGTAATCAACACTATTTATCAAAATATCTTCGATCAATAGCTGACATTCTAATGATTTTAAGTCTATTGACTTCATTTATGATAATGTAAACATCGATTCTCATTATTTTAAATTCAACAAATTACCACACATATACACAGTAAAATTAAACTTAATGGTCTACATAACTCTGACTACTGTTCCATTGAAAAATAAATTAGTTCGGTCATTTTAAATTCTACACATTACAATGAAGAATACAATATAATATTTATTGATGTGAAATTGTAGGATAAAGAAAGAAATTTACTTCAATCTGTAATCATTAAACACTTTTTATCTTTCCAATACAAATTTTATCGTAAAAATATCAAAACTAGTAATAGCATAATTTTGTTAAAAACCAATGTATTAACATTGGAGTATTTTAACTTCAAAATGCTGGGTAGAAATCGGTGATCGAATATTAACTGCCTTTAAATAAATTAGCAGTATTTTTTTTTCCTTCGTTTGTTAATCGCTATTTTAGCATGTGTTCTCTTTAATTCTTAACATTCACATTGCCAACAGTGTTTATGTCAGTCAGTCAGCTACAATGTAGAGCTTCATACGTGCGTTTATCAGTTCAAGTTGCCATACCACATTAGCACACAGAGATTGGATTGTCAATTCGAATCCCTTAGTAGTCGAGGTAGTAGAAGTATTAGCATTGATCACAAGAGGAATCAATTTTAAAAAAAGAGAAAAAACGGTCAGGGAGAACTCAGAACATTAGAATTCGAGCAAAAACAAACAATGGATGCACCTGAACCATTGCAAATGATTTTGTGCCGTGTTGTTCAAAGTCTATAACCATCGGTTACGATCATCGGGTGGACCTCAAGCAAGCAGTCTACACTTTCCAACATAAATTTGTACACTTGTCAGTGACTTCATGGATTTGTGCCATGTTTCGGTTTGGCCGCTCCTAGTCTTCTTCCAGCCTACTCCTACACCAGTGAACATGGCTTGTTGTGACAGTCGGTGGTTGAGCATATGTAACACATGTTATAAACACCTCAAGTGACTAGGTTTTAATACTTCATCCATTAATTTTCAATCTTTACCTAATACTTTTTTCCTAACATTAACATCGTTTACTCCATTGTCCTAGGATGTAGGAGCCATGCTTCGAAGACACCTATGATCGAATACTAACGGCTTACAAATATCGTCTACTCTTACAGGCTATGTTTCACACACATATCGTAGGACAAAGCGAATCGATGCGCATCCAATCCGTCTTTTTGCTTTGTAGACGGATATCTCGCCATCACACACCATCGTCCTAACTACTGTTTTATTGAATCATATTTTATCTACAAACAGTGTATGAAATATTAAAGATAAGTGAAATAGTTTATCCTTTGTTTTATTGCTCAAAATAAATGCGTCATGTAAATATAAAATCTCAAATTCAAATTCAACCTTTTGTCATTCTTCATCAATACAGACACACACACACACGCTTACAAATACACAAAAGTGATTGTTCACAAAAACTGAAATCTATTTATAATCAGAATTATCAACTTGGTAAAATCACTGTGTCGCTTTCACCAATCTATGGTAGTAGTAGTAATGACACATTTATTTCCATCCGTAGATGACACCTTTGGGAAATAACTATAAAAAATTTTTCGCATCAAAACTATTTGTGTACACGTTGTCAATGAAAATAGTTAACTGATGAGTGAATAATTATAAACAACTAGACCATAAAACAATCAATCGAATATAAAACAAATAAAATCAATCTTCATTTCCCTTGTTTGTTTGTTGTCATTATGAAAAATAAAACAATAGATTGTTTATAATGAGATGTGTAAATAAATATCTTTTTCATGACATTGGTTTATTATTCTCAGCTATTTTAGTCCGACTGTTACACATCACATGCAAATACAAGCTTAAGCATAAAGCTGGAAAGATAAAAAGGGAACAAAGATTTTTTTTTCTCCTATAAAAACCAACATAACAGTTAGAAATTACTTGAGAACGAACTATGGAAAAAGAACTCGAAAGTCAAATAACAATAAAAAAGCTTAATGGAAATGCTAAAATCAAGTGCTCAATAGAAAATAAAAAGAGAGATGGTTGAAGTCATTTAACTTTGTATCAATAAGAAAAATCACTGGTTAACCGACGAAAACTATATTTTTTGACTACTTTACTGACAAGCATTTATTTAAAATGTACGTGAGTCGTGCTATTCAATAATTGTATATATATATATATCTATATATATATATATATATATATATATACGTATATTGTCTTGATAGAGCATAGTGAAGAAGAGTTTGTACAGTGTATGAAACACATCAGCTATTCGTTAGCACTAAAGATTAGTATATATACTACTATCGTACAAGAAGCTTTAGTAATTATATCATAATACAATGATCAATAAATATTATAAGATTATAACATCAATAAATTTCCATTTTCTCAGCTTCGTCAGTGGAGAGGTGTAATAATTTAGAATAAAATCAACTTTTTCCAACTTCTATCACGATTCATTTATACATTAATCTATCAGAAATTATTTTCTGCCATTGTGATGTGACTTGGCGCATTCGACAGTTTCCTTACCAATGATGAAACTGGGCACTGATGGATTGTCGTGTTTTTTCGTTCTCTGAGCTAGAATACTTCGCTTCTATCCGAAGTTTGTTCTGATGATGTTGTTCAGGAGAAAAACGCCAAGCTCCACAACCGAAACATTGAGCTCAGAGAACGAAACTCCACAGGTGATGTTGATGTATCCCCTGACATTTTTTTTATTCAAATTTGTTTAGAAGGCGGCGTTTTTAGATCACTTCCGACAAATAAACCTACATTAGGTCAATATTGTTAACCATTTGGTACGAAATTGACAAGTGAGGATTTAAATCAACAAATTTTTCAGGTGATATCGTCCGGAAGGATGATTTCTAGGGAAACTAGCATATTCTAAACTCAGTTGTTTATTTTCAAAGCTTTCATTGTATTTCCATATGAGATCGTCAATACAAAACTCAACTGAAAGATTACATTAGAATTTCTATCAACAATTTGATTTTTGAACAGTAAATATTATTGGTTGTTGTCAAAATTTGTCCATCCATCTCTTTATCCTAATTGTTTTCCTTGTTGATTCGACTCTAGACATCATTGTAGTTTATTGTTTATCTAAAATGAAAATCTTTTTAATAAGTCACTGATGCATAGCTCACTTTTATCCCATGTACAAATGCCTAGCATTTCACCAAAACGTTCGAAATTAACCTAGTCATCTTACAGAACATAATTCCTTAAAGAATAATCTTTAGAAGAGTTTATAAAGTAATATAAATGCAAAATGGATTACAGTGAGCGAAACTACGATGAAAAGGCTGCCTTCAGGTAAATGAAAACAACTATAGTTGACAGACTGTAAATAGATTTATGCTCTAAAAGCACTATAGTTAGTTCATAGTTTCATGTTTCATATCACCTGGTTTTCCTACGTCTAGAATTTTCAAGCTCCATGAAGTCAGCCTACTATTTTAAAGACTAACAATTCAGACTGGTTCTTCTGCAGTGATCATAATAAAATGTACGTATTTTTTAAAAAATAAAATCATCCTTTTCCGAGACCTGCCAAATAAGTTAACTGCGCTTTCAAATATTACTTTATAAAGCATTATCCAATGATTTACGAATAGGATTTCTATTATCAAGTTATTTATGGATTGTAACCTTCCTACGTTGATCTCAGTGAATGTTCATTGTTCAAAAAAAAGGAACTATACATATTTGTTTTCATAATTAGAAGAATTTATAGAAAAGTTTATCAAAAAAGAATCAAAACTATGGTCAATAAATAGGAAATTTGAACCGAAAGACAATGATAAAAAATGATCACTAACCTGTTTTTAATAAAGAAAATTTTGCTTTGTATTTTCTCTACAGAATATACTTTGTCTATAATAAGTTGATTTGCAGCATCATTTAAATTATTCAACGAGATCTCAGCATTTATTAAACATTGAACAATTTCTTGTTGAGATTTCAACGAAGTAAGAATATCAGTTGTATTTTTTTCTTTCTAAATTAAATTACATAGGATAATAAGAATTACATACTAAACCGTATTTCAGTAAATTTGCCATTTAAAATTTGAAATCTTGAATTGATCAATGTTAGATCACTATTAGAAACATGAAAGTGCGTTTCATGTCAGTATGAGACTAATCTACAACCCTATAATGTAAATTATTCATGTGTGACTAGCTCTGTGATGAAGTTTCTCCGAGTTTTAGTGAGCAGTCGTGACAAGTGAAGTTCAAATCTGTTCAGGTATGAAGTAGTAGTGATCACTGAAGACAACGGACGAGGTTTCGCAGGACCGTGGAGTGATCGAAATTTGGCATTATTATCATACGACGCCACCTCAATAGTCTGGAGGTTAATCGCTCACGCGTAAGAGAAAAGGTCCTGAGTTTGATTTCTGTGAGCAACGGGAGTCGTAGAAGAACATTGCCGATGAGTCCTACATCAGGATGAAACGACCGCCCAGTGCATCTAGGTTTCTAATAATGGTCTAAGATTGATTGATCCATAATTTTAAGAAATAACACAACAATCTTCACAACCCTATATTTTAAATTTAATCAGAAATGTTCTATTTTTATGCATATGTACTCGTCTGCAACGTAAAACATTATCACAATTCATATAGTGCTAATACTTATAAGTAACAATTTTGATCATTGAATTAAATAAAAATCGAAATACATCAACAGTTAGTCTACTTGTATACTAACAAATCCATATTTTTCTTATTGAATGAAATTTAATCTCATTTCATTTTTGATGATCGTTTAAATAAACAATGATCAAGTGTTATTTAATTGTTATTTAAACAAAACAAAATCGAATCTAATTTTTACTTGATTGAACATTAAACATTAGAATACTTCATTTATTTCACTTCAATTTTTTTTTGAATAAAAATTAATGTCTAATCTAAAATTTAAATGCTTTGAACAGAAAAAAACAAACATAACTCTGTGAATCAAAATATTGACGTAATGATTTCAATGGTTGATAATAACGTTTTGAATATTTAAATCGGCTTCACTAAGAGTTTTTTTTATTTTAAGGAAACAAATCATGATCAAACTTTCTTTTTTGGCAGTTTAACAGCAATTAATCGATATCATTGAAAATTATCACAAAGTGTAAATTATTCAACTAAGTTTACTTAAAATCCATTAACATATCACCAGTCTTGTTAACGTTTTTATTATTATAAAAGTGTTTTGAGTATTTCTATTTAATTTGAAGTTTCATATCATAAACAGTCATTATTTAATTATACAATATGTAACCAGGCCATTGTACAGCTCACTTATCCTAGTACGAGACTCATCAGCATTATGCATCCATGACTTTTCAAAGGTTAGGACCGGTGACTTAAAGACGAGGTTTTAAACTTCCAGCCTTTGGGTTGAAATTAAGCGGTTGATATTTCAAATTTTTAACGATTAGGTGTAATTTTTCACAAGTAACTAGCTTACCGCCGTCGCATAAACAGCTTTCGCTTAAGTATAATTAATTGGAAGGAAGATTTATTCCATTTCATATTCCATTATTCCTCCCAAATTGAGTCAGATCGTTGTCCATTAAAGTAGTGAGCCCTACCTAGAATTTTATGAAGCCACTAAATAAGTTCATTAAAATTAGTTTTAAAAATCACTCATCTTATCATAAATGCATTTAACAGACCATCCAATAAGCTAAGTTAAGAAGAAACCTCAGAAACTGAACCACCAAGCTCTCGATATTTAATTTGCATGTTATTTTAATCCAACTTCCCCCAAATCAGTGGATATATTTCTAAACATTCAGTGATTTTAGTTTTAATTTCTGAAAATGATTGAATCAGACTTCTGATCATGATGTTGTATTCGCTTCGATTTCAAATTTGACTTTTATAAAACATTTCGAAACACACTGAATTAGTTGTATTTTTAAATGTATTTCTGAGATGTAACTATCGTTCTCCGTGATTGATATAATAAACTTTAAAATATTGTTATGTTTGAATATTATTTATTTTTGGGATCGATGTAGAGCTAGTGAGTAACGAATTTATACATAAATTAATACGTATTACTGAATGGCGAGTTGGTGTAAGTCCTCCAAATCGTAATGAGATTAAAAAGGCTATAAGAAATATAAAGCGACGTAGAGCGACACGTCCTGACAAGTTGACCTCTTGAGATTTTTAGGGAGTCAGTCTATCGTGAGGTTCTGCAACAGTGTCTATCATTGAAAAGTGTACCACCGAAGTACAATACTTCGTACAGGCTCTCTATTCAACCATTACTGGTAGAGTCATAGCTTATGATGAACTATCTTCGGAATTATCGATTACTACGAGAGATGTTCATCAGGGTTGTTAACTTTCTTCATTCTTGTTCAACTTCATCCTTGGCGTGCTTTTACAGACGACACACTCATCTATCGACTTTTCAGGAGTTAACCTTCTATCAGGAGGTTCGCTTGATGACTTGGAGTATTTTCAATCAAATCTTACAATCTCATAAGCATTTTCTTTAAAAAAAATAGAGATCAACTGTCATGTGTGGGATGTTAAATGTCAACTTTAGAAATATTATTATTATTTATCAATTTCAATTAAATGACATAATTCTGTCTGTAGTTATTGAAAATAATCGATCAAGTAAATTTCAGCAGTTATTTTTTTTCAAAAATAAAGTACTATTCCGTCTGTTTTCTATTTATTTTCACTTCACCACTGTAACATGATATACAAACTGTCTACCAAAGCACAAAATTAATTAGTTTGTCTCCATTTTCCATTTTATGACCACTTCTTCTATTTTTTTTTACAAAGTACAAAAAAGCAGTAAAACAAATGTCACTTTTAATTATTCAACATGTTATTGAAATTCAATAACAACATCAACAACTAAATAAAATTGAAATAATCTAATGTCTGTTTTATTGTTTTCAAATAATTTATATATATATATATATGTGTGTGTGTGTGGTTTTTGTACAAAGTTCCGTATCAACAATCTATTTTCTAACTCGGTTCTTTTCAGTCATAAGTTATAATTACCATTTTGGTTTCGTATTTTGTGCATATTCGTTTACACAACATCGTACTTTTCTAAATATATATATATATATATTAGAAATTTGTTTGTTTCTTATGGTTGGTGTTGAATATAAGATTTAATTTCTCCACAACTGATCTTATTATTGTTATTATCACATTACAACTTAATAAAAGTCTGAGTATATTATGCAAATATTTATTTTCCCATTATGTTTATTTTTTCTTTAATAAAAACAAAACCGGAAATTTGTTATTGCCAAAAAATTAAGTATTAAGTGGAGACTTGATAATATTTTGATTGTTTAATGTTTTTGCAAAAAAAAACAATCATTTAATGTTACAATGACATTGGCTGTGTTCATAATTTTTACATCATATTAACCTAGAATCAGCCTTCAGTGAGAGAGAATATGTCGTAAATGTGGTGAGAAGTGTATTCATCTAAAGGATTATAGAAACATCAAAAATAAAAAATTGAAAATTAAATTCTGAATTGTTACTTCATACTTCCGATTTTGACTCATGAACATATCATCTCTTACAATTTGAATAGACATTCATATTCACATGTGCGCCTTGAAGTTAATATAAAATTCGACATGCTAAATCGTTAGGTTGATCATATACTTTCTATAATTCAGATATCTAAAGAATTTTGCTTAGTAAATGATGAAATAAACAGTTTTCTAAACAAAAAATAAGGATTTCTTATTTTATAATTTCAATCCGTGACTATTTTCAATTAATTAGTTCACAATTTAAAATAATGAATACGATTAGCAATTTATTACACACTTTTCTGACAAATTTAATGGTCATTTTAATGGTCAAGTATTCGAATTGAGTTTCACTTTATTAATTGCCAGTAATATGTCCAGTCTTGAAAAAGAAGATACTCCTAATAGTTATAAAATTTTACCATCGTTTGGTAACACTCTGATTAAAAATTAAGTATATCCAAAGGCTTATCAAGTTCATTTAAACAATACATAATATCAGACCACCATTAGAAACCTGAAAGTTTCATCCTGGGATAAGATTCGTCGACATTGCGCATCTATAATTCTCACTCGCGGAACCTTTGGTGTCAGGTTTGACTTCCTCAACTGGAGTTCATGAATGCTCACTGCTGATGTGTCGCATATCAGGATGTAAAGGCCGTCCAATTCTTTTAAGTTTCTTATGATGGTCTAACATTGATGAAATCATGATTTAAAATCGACTTAAACACCTCTACAACCCCTTTAATGAAAAATAGATTATAATACAATAAAATGATAAATTCTGCCATACGTTTGCATATCCAAAATAAACGAATCTATAGGATATACTGACTATCATCAGAACTAAAAAAATTCAGATTTTTAAAATGAGAACACATGAAATTATTCGTTCAGTGTAATTTACTGTATCTATAAGAATTACCACATTAAAATTGTTACTCCAGCAGAGATATCTGGAATAAAAGGACAGTCAAATTGTACTAATTTGCTTTGACATAGCTGATTAAAACGTTCAAAGAAGAGCCATAAGTCATGGCTAAGATTTTAGAGATACCTATCAAGTTTAAAGAAGGATTATTTGTGCTCTATCTTACACATAATAAATTTACAGTTTGCTTATATGATAAAACAGTTTCACCACCCACTTTATTTTTCCCTGAAAATGATTATTCCTGGTTATTTTTCAATAAATGCATGCACTACTTACTTACATACTTACACCTGTTACCTTCAATCAAGCATAGGCCACCGATCAGCATTCTCCAATCTACTCGGTCCTGACCCTTTCCTTGTAGTTCTGTCCAACTGTTCTATGTTCTTCTAATATCTTTCTCCGTTTTTCAGCATAATATTTTCCTTTGTCTCCTCATTTGCCTTTGACCATGAGGATTACAAATGAAGGATTGTTTTGTGACACATTTAAGTGCTTTCCTCAGTGTGTATCTCATCCACGCTTATTCCTGATTTCTTCATACGCTGGAATTTGGTTTATTATCCCCCATAGTAGGTTTTTACTGATGGTGTTTGGCCAACGGATCTGAAGTATTTTAGGCTGACAATTGTTAATAAGCACCTGTATCCTCTGAACGATGTCGTTCATAGTTCTCAAGGTTTACGCCCTATACAGTAGAACTGTGTTGACATTTGTATTGAAAATTGTGACATTAATGTTGGTTGATAGTTGTTTTGAGTCGCAGATGTCCTTCAGTTATGGAAACTCTGTCATTCCTTTGCCGATTCTCGCCTTCACATCTGCATCAGATCCACAATGGCGATGAATGTTGCTGCCCAGATATGTAAACGTTATACCCCTTCCAAAGCTTCACCGTCAAGTGTGATTTGCTTTGTTCATGTTGTCTTGTATTGGAGAATCTTACCTCTCTCTTTGCATATGCTGAGAGGCTGCGGTTACATAAATACGTACATGTTTTAGGCTTAAAACTAACGCCAATGTTTCAAAATTATAGAAGAAGTTTCCAGTCACTTTCATGCATACATCTATTCGTAAAAATAATGTTGATACATCTACTTTTACCATTTATGTCTTCCTGATAATTTATGTAACATTCATTTACAGACATAATCTCCGAAAATAGGTAAATACTTGCTCTTATCAATGTTTACCTAAAGAAGTACATATTTATGTTACCTACGTTCAAAATGAATTGGTTCCGCTCATTCAAACAAAAGAGAAACATCATCATTAAAACTATCTTTATTAATCTAAAATCACTTATAAAACACTAAATTTCTTTGCGGAGCTTTGACTGATTGTGACAATCACGGTGACAGTGGTTATTGAAATTAGAATGCGAAAATGGAGAAGCGAATAGACTTTAATGAAATAGGTGTTTCAATTATATTTTGGTTAAAATATAGTAATTAGTAATAGACTGTAATAAAATGAAGAAGGCAATTATTTAAATACTTACTATCAGTTGATAACTCATTAATTTAGTTTCTTGTGTTGACAACAAAGTTTCAAGTAAATGGGCATCGCGTAAAAATGTCTGTTTGCGAAATAAAAAGTAACAACAAAAATAAGTGGTCAGATTCTATATAAAATAAGCGTTGAAAAGCTCTCACTTTAAACATCATATCATTCTCACAATTAACTTTTCTTATAAGAAAAAAATCAAACTGAATTTTTAACCATTCAGCTATATAGTCGGAATCGACGAAATTGGCCGGCTGTCGTATTGGATCACAAATTCGCTGAAACTGAAACTGAATGCTCTGGCATCAAGGTTTTGATCTCGTTAATTTGATTCTTGACAAATTCGTAGGCATGTACCAGTGAGAAGTTCAAAATGTAGAAAGAAATAGCTTTATAAAACTTCCTGGTTCATGAGAGCTCAACTACTAACATAATTCAATGATAAAAGGTTCTTTTACAGTTTGAAATGATATACACAATCTCCTCAAGCAACTATGGTTTGTAAAGTTTAAAACCTATATTATAACTTACTAAGTAATTTGCTTAGTTACGCCTATTACCTCTAGTAGAGGATAGGCCGCCAACCAGCGTTCCTAAACCTACACTCTCTTGGGCCTTCCTTTATAGTTCTGTCCAATTGTTGTTCATTCTCTTTACAAATGTCTCCATTTCTCGGCGTAATGTGCCTTTTGGTGTTCTTCTTTTCCTTCCAACTTGAGAATCCAGAATAAGGGCTTGCCTTTTGCTGCTCACTAATGATGCTCCCTAGATATTTAAAGGCTTCTACATCCTTGGAAGCTTTTCCATGAAGTGTGATTACGTTGGTGCATGTTATGTTATATCGGAGGATCTGAATAACTTACCTACTTACTGTTGCTGCAGAGGCTGCTGTTACAATGGTTTTCTTCTCCTGCATTCGTTGTGGCATATGGGATAGACGAGCTAGATCACCTAGCTGCATCATAGCTGTCCACTGTATTCCGTGCTTCTCCCCAGACGTTGGCATCTTGATAATCCAGTTGATTACCAGGAGAAAGAGAAAGGGTGAGAGTTAGTATCCTCGCTGGATAACGGATTTTGATTCGAACGAGTGTGTCGGCTGTCCTCCATGCATGATTTCGCAGGGTAGTCCGTCATAAGAATTCCGTATGATGTTGACTATCTTCTCAGGCACGCCATAATGTCGAAGAAGTCTCCATAATATCATCCAATTCACGCTACCGAATGATTTCTCGTTGTCAATGAAGCTGATGTAGATTATATTATATTATTTTATATTACAATGTCAAAGAGTATCTCATATACCTATTTATTTTAGGAGAGTCATTCTTCGATTAAAAAAATGCTTTTATAATAATTATAGATGATAGCTTTCTAGAAATATTTACATTAGTAAACGATATGATGTATAATATTTTCAAGATTAAAAATATACTTCTATCCACAATTTTCTTTAAATTATGGTATTTTTCACAGCTAATCAAATAGATTCTATCTATTTTCTACGGTTGTGCTGACATTGTGTTGACATGATATTTTTTTGTTCTTTATGGAATTTTAATAAATGCTTTCGTCTAGAAAATATTGATTCAATGCAAATCAGAGATGTTTCATAATTTTGAATCAAATCCTTAAGACTATTACCTTAACAGTTTTCATCAGAACTAACTCAATTAGGTACGAACTCTGAGAGCGATAACCACAATTTGAAATTAATCGAGCGTAATTCCCTGATTGTTTCCTTTACAACATGAGAAATCCTAATCCCGATAACCTCTTTCAAAAATACTCAAATTATGTATTTTGCACATTATGCAATGGTTCAGTTCGAAATGTACATTGAATTATATCTGTGTAAACTCTGTATTCTACTGTTCCACAGACACTCATTTATGTATCAAAGTCCAATTAGTAATTCAGCTCAGATCAACAAATAATAATGTCTTAAGTTTCGGCTACTCTTCAAATTTCACAGTTATTTTTCAGTTTTCAAAAAAACTGCGTTATTTATTTGTAAAATAATTACGAAATTCACCAGAATAAGTTTCAGTACTCTACATTGTATTCAGTCATTCTTCAGGGTGGTTTTTTTTAAAACTCTGTCTGAAAATCAGGTACATAATAGTCTCATTCGTGTTTTGTGAAGAAGAAATCACAATAATGATATTCGGACTGAATTTCAAATGTTCAACTTTAAATGAAACAAATATTCAATCATTAAAAATTGCACATATGTTGAATATATATATATGTATATATTTTTAACAAATGGTTTATAATAAAGTTGAATAATATTCTATTCTTTTTTTTCCCCTAAAATATTACCCACCTGAAAGTTTAAATTTTGTTCTAAAACTTTTTGTTGATATGTCCACATTTGCATTAATTCAGACCAACCATTTTCTAATCTGTCTAAACGTTGATCAAGTTGCACATAATGTGTATCTGTTTCACCAGCTGTAATACATCGTCCATAACTAATTAAATCACTATATTCATCTTTACGTGCTAAAATCTCTTCACTTAATTCTTTGTGTAGATCAACTTCAGCTTTAGCTTCTTCCACAGATTGTGGTAATTGATGTGTTGCTACACGAATTTCAATATTATGCAACCATAATTGATTGTCATCTAAACCCTTATAATAAGAAAAAGAAAGGAAATGTAAGCATTGACAAATTTCTCATGTGCAGATATTATTATTTTGATAAATTAATTTATTACCTGAAAAAAATTGTTGTAGCTCAACTGTTTGTAAACAATATTTGAACTACAAAGAAAAGCCATTTACAGTAAATTTTAAGCTGATTCCTAACTAAGTTTTCTTGACTTCAAGCTTTAAACGAATTTGATCAGAAAATACTTGTATTTATGAAACTCACTTCTTTGTACAATGTAAAATTGAACGATTTCTTATTGTCTGAATCTTAGCTTAGCGAGATAATTTTGTTGAATAATATTCTTGGTCTTGATTACAATGAATGATTGTATAAATGTTATCAATGGTTACAATACTTCAATGAAAAATGTTCCAATCTCAAGGTCAATTGTAAAATTACAATCTAAAACTAATCTCACTATTTATAAATCATTTAGTCTGATAGTAATAGATCCGACATCATGTTCGAATTGCGCAATAATAATTCACTACAATTTAGTACACTAATGAAATATATATATATATATATATATATATATATATATATATATATATTTCACAGCATGATTTCAGATTGCGATATGCAGTAAAGAGAAATCAGAAATTGCGTTTTTCGTTTCAAAATCGCATTTCATCATACATAATATTTGATTGGTTAATTATTCTTATTATTTTTATTATTATTGTTATCAAAAAATAATGAAAAGTATTCTATTCAACTTTTTTTTATACAGAGCTCTATTCCACTTTAAAATATATATTATATATATATATAATTTGAACAAAATGCTATTCATTCTTTTTTGTCAATAAGATGTTTATCACTACTGCACAGTATTCATACTTAGTTTTACATATGAATATACCATATCAAAATTAGCATAATAATCATTTTTTTTCTAAAATAAAACAAAAAAAAACATTAAAATGCAAAACAATCGTTTGGTTGATTTTTAATCCTGATTACATAAGAATGTAAACGTTTCTGTGGTGTTGTTTGATCATCATAAAAAGCTTGTCACTGAATTTATATATTGGTCTTAAATTTTGAAATATTTTTATCAATAATGGGATGTTATGAAATACTAATTAAACTAAGCAAGAATAATAAGACGGAAAATTTACCAGTGATTAATATTAGAATTTCAGATAGTTTGCAATATGAATGTAATTTATCTATAATAATGGTAACGAATTTAATCTTATTCCGAAAATAGTATTCCATTTTGAAGAAACTGCAGATATACCAGCTGCTTTAATGAACAGAAACTAATGCATCTCTTTCTCTCCGAAATAAATTATCAATGAACGTTCTTGGATAGAATGCAGAAACTTTCAAACTATTATGTTAATACAGCTTTGAAATTTAATTAAAAATTAAAAATGATCATCGATTCCTTTTGACAATTCAGTAGTCCTCTGACCACTATTTTTTGTAAATGTATGAAACCTGTTCACCGATGAAACTGATAAATTTTATTATATTTAACAAAAGCACCTACAGTATTTATTGCTTATCTGCTAGTTATGAGATGTAGTAATAGTTAAAGACTTTAATAATATTCTCTCTGAAATAATGTTGAAATACTTTTTCTGGTTATGATTTTTTCAGTGAGTTAGTATTCTGCATGATGGCGTCACCAACTCTATGCGCAACCCTCCTCGGGTATTCGGGCTTGGGACCGGTAGTAGCTTCATAGGGGCTTCGGGCAACATGCAACGTCACTGTACATAAGAATAATGAACAACAGTTCCACAGAAATGGAAAGGAAGGCCCAGGACAGAGTATATTGGAGAAGATTAGTCAGTGGGGGGGGGGTTAACAGACATAAGTAAGTAAGTCAGCAAGTAGGTACATTTTCAGACTTACCATTGAATAATATAAAATTATCTACTGACTGAATAAAATTTCTAAACACAAAATCGTCTACACTTGAACTTACTTTGAATACATCATTTTAATCGAAAAATAAGTTTTGACATAAACATGCAATCTTCTTGTTAAAACAAGATAATTATTCTTTTTTTCATGAATATTCGTGCATAGATTCATAAAATCAAAAAACAGTGTGATAAGACATTCATTAAATTTCTGGATTGTTAAACTAATTAATGATTACCTGAAAAAATTGTTGTAGTTCCGCCGAAGCTAATAATTTCTCTTGACGATTTCTTAATTCTACTTGTAAAAGTTCCCATTCTTTATTTAACTCTAACCGTAATTGACTAACTTCTTTCGATGCGTATAATTCACCAGAGATAAGATATAAATCTCTTCTTTGTGGTGCTTCTTCTATGAGAGTTTTCATTAATCGTTCACCTTCTACATTTAACATTTGAATTTCACTTTGTAATGCAATAAAATCTTTTTCCCAACCTAATAATCGTCTTTGTAATTGCATGACACTATTTAAATCTGTACCTAAATCATCTGTTGATATGAGTAATTCTCTTTTGTTCATAATCCAATCTTTTGTTGTTTGACATAATGTATGATATTTTGATAAACATGCAGCCAATTCAAATCGTTCATGACGTGCATCCACTGAAAGTTTAAAACGTTGCCATTTCTTGTAAATATAATCTAATAATTTTGAATATTTTTTTGTATAAATATTATTTTTATCATTTTGTAATGTATCTAAGTTATATGTTGTATTTTCATGATTGACATCAACAATCTCTTCACTGCTTTCATTTTCTACACTGATTTCATCGGAATCCTCTTTCATTTCACTGTGTTCTTTCCTCACTTCGCCTTGTTCATTATTATCCGCATCATCTTCATCATCATTATCGTCATCGTCATCTACATCACCATCATCCATATCGACATCAACTGGTAAATTCAGCTTTATAGTCGGTTCAATAAATTGAAGAATACTAAAATCTTTATCTTGATCAAATCGTCTAAAATTTTCCCATAATCCTTCATTAAGCATTCCAATTTCACTTAATCTTAAATTTGCTTGACTTGTTAATTCATTTTCAAATGTTTTAAAACGATAAGCTTGTACAGAGAGTTGTGATTTAGCATGAAGTATTTCTTCTGTAACAACCAGTGGACATGATATTGGCAATGATTGCAAAAATTTCAATGAAGGATAAATTACTGGGTTGTAGGTTAATAAAATTCTTTCTCTAATTTATTTTTTTTTTGTTTTGTTGAGAATGAAAGTAAGAAAGAAGATAGAAGTGAAAATTCAATTTAGCGAAACAAACAAACAAACGTAAATGTTCCTTTCTGGATTAGCGTATTTTTACCCTGAAATCATGAATCAATCATCATTGTTAGTTAGACCAGCATTAGCGACCAAGAAGAACTTGACGGCCGTTTCGTCCTGCCATGGGACTCATTACTGGTGCTCATTCACGACACCTTTTTCTCACAGGATACCAACCCAAGACGCTCTGTTTTGCGTGCGAACGCCTAATATCCACTGAGCCGCTATTGAACAGTGCTAATATCGAACTCTGGTCAATAGAAGAATTTTTATGTCACCTCACGAGGCTAGTCAGCAGAAAGCACATGATTGATTTGGCATTAGAGTATTATGGAGATGGTAGTTTACCTTGAATTCTTGAATCAGTCGTCGTCAGACCACCATTAGACACTTAGAAAGACTAGATGACCGTTTTGTCCCATAGTATGGGACTCATCAGCAGTTCCTTTTGATTGTGTTATTCAGTCATATTTTATCAGATAGATTCTTACATCATTAACAAAGGCTCAAATGCTGATGTAAAGTAGCTTATATTATAGACTATAAAAATCATGCTCACTCTAAAATAATCACTAAAATTATCCTGTCTCACCAAAACATGAATGCGAATCGGTATACATCTGCATTTTTAACAGTCATTACTCGACAGTATGACCACCAATCATAATTACACCTTAACCTTAATCAAATGACTCAGAAAATCATTGGTGATAAAATTCGTTTCTCTGAGTTCAAAAGCGATACACCTAATTCCACATTTTATCATCAAGTGGACATATTATTTTCAAAACATTTCATTTAAAAACTATTTTTCACCTAACTGTTGCTCATTACGCTTTACAATTATTATTCAGTAACTTATATTTTACTTCGTAAAGATTACTTACGTAACATCATCACTTGAGAGTTTAGAGACTGAAAAACTATTTTTGTTTGTATGGAACTAGAAATCCTTTTTATCAACAGCAGAATCTCATTTCACATCAATAACCGAACTTGGTAGTCAGTTCTTCAAACTGATTAAACAAATATTTGAAATTTATTTAATGCGAATTTCAGTTGGACAGATTAACAAGATAGAAATTTAGCTAAATCGAAGTCAAAAATCAGAATGAGTTTGATGATGTGAATTTTTCTGATTGAACAAATATTCTATCGTGCTCATTTTTTCAATTTAAACTTGCATTCATTTTATTTCGATGATTTGTTTATTCACTCTAAAGAACTGGCTTTAATTGAGTCATAAAACATCAGAAATCCGAATTTCTATTCGTTGGAACGTCCCAAAAAATACATATATACAACACTAATGTTATTTATTTAAAATTCACTAGGTCATATTTCTTATATCAGACAAATTTTTTGTAGTATTGCAGCAGTTACTTCATAAATCTATGTTAAACTCAATCAATCACGTCACTAATGATCAGAGTAAAATGTTGTTGATAAACTATAAACTTGAACATTCGACTGAACGATGAATCTCTCAGCTGGTATTAAATCTTTGTACTTAACTCCGAAATACCTTAATTTTAACTAGACAATCATACAGAACTATCGGTTGTAGTCAACATTTTAAACCTGATTTGTTTAAATGCATATACAGTGTTCATTTGTAACATACTTAATCGAACTTGTTTCATATTGCCCAACTGTTGGTTACACACCCTAGTGATCGGCTGAATGATTGGATCTGAATCATATAATGTTGACGTTTTCATATTTCGATGCTGTGGAGACACATGTCTTCTAAATAAAAGCATGTTGATTTGCATTTGTTTATTAAACAATAGAATAGAACTACTAGATGATTTGTTTATGGATATCAGTTGACTGTGGATAGAAAAGTTCCACCTTAATAATAATAATAATAATAATTATTATTATTATTAATGACTCAATAACTGGTCAAACCAAATAGAAATAATTATGGACTTACTTTTCTTCAATCCAATTCTCCATTGATACAATATTATCGACAAGACGTAGAATATTACGTCGAAACTCTAATATATCTCTTTGTTTTAAACTATCTTCTAAATAATCTTTAAAATGCATATGAATAAAATATAGACGATTCAATAAATGATAAGCAATCATTGAAATATGTGGAATTAATAATATACATAATTCATGCGCTTCAGGTGTATTCATTGGAGTCTTGTAATTATTCACATTATCCTCACTGTCTTCAATACTAATAACAAGTGATTTCGTTGAAGTAAACATTATATCTTGTAAAAGAAGACTATTGACAGATTCAGTAGGCATTAAAGTTAAATCACAATTTGTTTGTTGTAAATTCAATGTTTCATTTAACGGAGAAATAGCTGAGAGTTGATCTTTATGTGTCTTCTCTTCATTATCATCAACATCATCGTCAAGAATGGATTTAGAATTACCAGAGTTAACATCTTCTTGAAATGATGAACCAACTGTTTGTGGACCGGTTAATGAAACTTCATCACTGTGATCACTAATATGATTTTCCTCATCGTTGTTAGTACTTCGTTGTGTAGTAGATTGAAAAGTTACTTCCGTAAGGGATTTTCTAGATACATTGAGATTATTTAATTTATTTTCTAAATGAAGAAATTCTGAATGATCATTTTCATTCATAACAGATCTGGCTGGCAAGAAAATGTATACTTCATTGCGTAGTCGATTTAAATATGTAGGAAATAATTTCAATTGTTCAATTATCTGAAAATAAAATTATTTAAATTTTTAATACCAGATAAATAAATAATAATTTTATTATTTTTGAAAAGTATGTTTCTTTCAAGTAGGTTATAAAAACTCAGTGAAGTAAGGATGGAGGTTAGATTTATGAAAAATGAGTTAAAAAAGAACTCTCGAAGTCAATAACTTTTGCAATATCATATTTTTCATCCAGATCTAGGTACTTTTATAAATTATATTTTCTTTTACCCGCTTTATTCCATTCTTAGTATGAGTGTGTTTGCTTTTCGCGTTGTTCTTTTTTTTAATATTCAGCTGACTACAAGGAGAACAATACATTCTAATATTAACTGGTTTGGTAACTTGATTAATTCAAAAACCGCTTGTACAACCCTAACCAGATAACATATATGAATAAATTGACTACCACAACCATCATTGTTTGTACAACCCCTTTGAAAATCCCTAGAGAAATATTATTTTAAAAAATGTACCGACAAAAATCTTTTTTTTTTGATGAATTCATTCTAATTAACAAACGAATTAAATAGAGCAAAAAAAAGAAAAAAACGAAACAATTGAGCCAAATTAACCGATTTCTCAATAATCAATTCTCAACACAAAAATGTAACACATTCTCTTGGTGAATGTAATTGCTTTGTTGAAGAAATGAAATACGATCAGTGTATTTTGTACAGAGTGAAAAATAAATTAACATTTTCATAAATTAATTTTATGGAGTTCAGTCAGATCATTAAAATGAAATAAATTTATGACTATCACTTGTCGATAAAGTTCACAGTTGGAGCTGGATGTTTTTTTTGAAGAACAAAAAAGCTTCAGCTTTTAACCTGCGATTTCTCTGTTCGTTTTCTAAAACATTTTCATCATTTTTGTGGTGTCGTGTTCAATGAAGTGTTTACAAATAGGAAAAATGTTGTTTCAGGGACGTAACTGAAAAAAATGACTTAAAAAACTGGTTTTACTGATAATTTTACTTCATACAGACTATAAATACGTCATTAAACATTATATTTTGATCGTTATCTCTCATAATTTTAAAAAATCAGAAGGAAGCTTAAAGATGTGACAGTAATTTTCACATACGTAAAATGATAAGTTTTCAATAAATTCCGTTAGGATCGCCTCCAAAGGTAATACATACAATCGATTCTGTTGAATTCAGTTACCTGTTGATTAGGACAAATTCTACCTTGAAATTATGAATGAATCATTGTTAGACAACCATAAGAAACATGGAAGCGCTGGACGACAGTTTCGTCCACGACTCCTCCTAATACATACGAAACACAAAGTACTTTTCTTTGTTTGTAAATATAAACACGCTTATTTCGGGTTCGTAGTCTTTTACCACAGTCAAAATAGGTCGCTTAAAAGCATTCTCTATCCCCCACTGTCCAGCCCTTCTTTTCCAGCTCTATCCACTAGGTGTTCTTTTTCTCTACTCCCGCCTGGATCTCCCTTGGGGTTACTGCTGGTCCCAAGCTTGGATAAAGGAGGAGGATTGGGCATGGGGTTAGTAACCACATCCTGTAGAAAGCTAACTTGCTAGAAAACGCTAAGCAGAAAAAAATTCCAGTCATTGAAATTCTGCCCGAGGAGTTGGAAGATCTTCGTTCGCAAGAGTTATGACTCCTCATGACGAAAGCCAATCTTAAGAAGTTACGAGGTCGATGCCCCTTTTTATCCATCGATTTAGGTACATGGCATACTCGCACATTGTGGGAGACCGGAAAACCTTTTCAAGTTACTGCAGAAAAATTCTTTACTAAAGTAGAATGTCATTAATTAAAATGACTAATTTGATTTTCCCCATAAATGTTAATGAGTTAAGTTGGTAGAGAAAATTGTAAAGATAAGGTAAATGATTAAAGTGAAGTTTTGGTTCTCTGACCTGGATGTCTTGATTGTGGAGCTTTTATTACATTATACATTGTCTAGTTTTACCTTCTAATACATACGAAACACAAAGTACTTTTCTTTGTTTGTAAATATAAACACGCTTATTTCGGGTTCGTAGTCTTTTACCACAGTCAAAATAGCATCCTTTGTTTTAAAGACCACCGAACTACAAATGTTCATCAGTTTAATACAACATACAACAGAATGCTGTGACATCAGATGAAGGCCTATCATTGCACTTCAGTGGCTTGAAACTCGCGATGAACCCTAATCGGGTGCGCTTGGGCGGGTAATTTTCGTCAGTGGGGCGGCCTCACAGTCCTCCCTTTTTAAAAAATGTCAAAATGATGAAAAAAGTTTCGTATGTGGGTTACTCATCATTACTTAACATTTTCTTTTCCTTTTTTATAAAGTTTATTTCCCGACTGACTTTTTCGTGTTTCTCAATTGTTATATTTTTATTTAAATTTTATTGAACAGTATTTAGAAATGCGATTTGGAAAATTTGTTCGATGGATAACTTCACCTGTATTCTTATTACAAATGGTATGATAACTCAATGTTTATTTGGATTTTTTGTTGATAAATATGTAAAATTATTTTTTAATAATCTTATAACAACGATTCCAATAATAGACAACAATCTCCATAACTCTATAATGAAAAATCATACAATGTGTACCAGTGACCAGTTTCATTATAAATTTCTCAAAGATCTAGTGAGAAGACGTGACCAGTAGGGTTCGACCCTGTCGGATGTAGTCAATAACTACCGAAGACAAATGGATGAGGTCTCGCGAAACCCCCAGATTAATCAGAGTTAGACATTAAAACCACTGGGTTCGAATCCTGCAAGTTGTTTGAGTCGTAAATGCGCACTGCTGATGAGTCTCACAGTAGGACGAAACAACCTTCAAACGCTTCCAGGTTTCTAATGCTGAGTCTAATGATGATTCATTCATGATTTCAAAGTAAACGTACAAACTCCATAATACTCTACTGTAGAACAAATTCTCCAAAATAAATCCATTTCTGTTCACTTAGTTTTGAGATATTCTGCTCACTTTTATTTTAAAACTAATTTCTACTTCAAAAACTCAAAATATTAAGTTTAATTTCGGAGCAGAATGAACATTATTATTCGAATTCAAAAACGTTTTTCACCCATTCAATCGTCTATCTTATTCAGTCTACTTTCGGTATACTTAAACAAAACTTCTTATGCATATATAATTTTGAAAGAAGAACAAATAAGTCTGTATCAAAAATATTTATTCACTTTTGATTAACTTCACATAATATGTATACAGATAAGTTAAAAATGTTATTTACTTATTTTATTTCCTGACTAAGATTATCAGACTACGCCTGAAGCTCCTTTGGAGCTACTGCCGGTCTCAAGCTCAGATAATGGTGAGGTTTGAGCGTGGGGTTAGTGACCGCATCCCGTAGAAAACTAATTTGCTCAGAAAAAGCTGTAACCAGCAAAAATAGTCCAAGTAAGATGATCAGTTTGTATTACCACGTAGACTATTCTATGTAAGATCGTTTAATTATCTACAGTGTCCTGTTGGTTTTAAAATCTATAAGAACTGGATTTCAGTTTTAATCCCGAAGAATTTTTTTTGAAAAAAAAAAGCTTATTTAGTCTAATTCATCAAAGTTAGTTAATGAACTCACTATCAAATTAACGTCTGTCCATCGTTGATTAAAATTTCATACTTCACCACTTGCTATTAGTGAATATTTTTATTTCAATCCATTAATCCAAATATCAATCAATACTTGATAAATGAAAGATTTATTATGCTTTTACTAGCTATCTTTTTTTATTTTTTCGCTTTTTAAAACTAAACCAATTCAGTGAAATAATAAAAATGTCGTTATCAAATTGATTAAACACTGATTTTAATGTGATCAATATCGACTTTTATTATCATTATTATTATTATTATTATTATCACTCACATGATCCATTTGTCTCAATGTTGAATTAATAACAATTTCTTTAGCTACTGTTAAAGTTTTCTCTTCTCCCAACACATTGGTGATATCATGTTTATCAGCAATTGATAATTGCACTGTTTTATTGCCATCTTGAACCGGTTCAATCAGATCGTTAAAATAATCAGTCAACATTGATATTGACTGAACACTGTTGTATGTTTCACAGATACGTAAATTGATTTCTTCAATTTTTGTATTTATGATAATTAAACTTTGTAATGCATCTAAATAGTGGAAATGTTCGATTAATTTAGTATTAATTTCCTTTATTGATTTCAGTAATCTATTCCACTGTCGTTGTAACATTTGAACAAATTCAATGATTTTATTTTGACGTATTTCATTTGGAATAGTTTGATGTGTAATAAATATTGAATTACTGATTGGAAAATTTGATAAATGTATGCTTTTTAATGATATTAAAATCTCTTCATAGATTCGGATTAATGGGCATTTTTGTAAAATTTCAATCATGTCACTTTTATCGTTTTCTTGAGTTTCATTCGAATGATCATTTTCACTGAGTTCCGTGTTATTATTAATGACACTCAGTAATGAAATATCATTTAAAGTTAGCTGATTAAATTCTATTGGGTTTAATTTTGTGATGATTTGTAGTAATTGATCATAGATTGTTTGATTAAATGTCAATAAATGATAATCGTCATAAGAATTAATTCCATACCTTAATTGAAGTTCATTTTGAAGTAATCGTGATTTTTTTTGTAAATGATTCGTTTTGATAGTGACTTTGCCAAAGTTTTCATCGAGTTCATCTTTAAGAAATTCCAAAGGTTTAATTGAATCATCTTGATCCTAAAGAGATAGGAATAAGGGAAAAGGGAATACTGTAGTGTGCAGTACTGTCAAGAATATAAAATCTCAAGATTGATCAGGGTAGGACATTACCACCGTTGGATGTCGTCCAGCTCACTGTTCAAGAGGCTAGGCGTTTGCACTCAAGACCGAGGATCCTGGGGTCGAATCCTGAGAGTGTCAGGAGTAGTGCATGCTTACTGCTGATAAGTCTTATACCAGGACGAAAGAGTCGTTCAGTGCTTCCATGTTTTCGATAGTGATCCAAAAATGATTGGTTGATGATTTCAGTAATTTTATTTAGTTTTTAGGGCAAAATAGATCTTTAGCAATAATTATTAAATTACATTTTTATAATATGAAGTATTGATACCAGAAATGTCTAGTTATATAATAGTTATCTGATATTAGTAACTCCATCTGGAGCCCTTTTAGAGTTACTGTTGGTCCCAAACCTGGATAAAAGAAGAGGCTTGGACATGTGGTTAGCGACTCCATTCCGTTAAAATCCAACTCGCTAAATAAAATGCTAGACAGAAAAATCTGTTTGGCAAACTATGCTCCATGAGGGGTAACAAGCGTAAATTAATCTCTAATCTGTCTGATATTACTACAATAGTTCAGTAGATTTTAAACTTGATATCTGAATATTCCATGCTTTTAATTAACATGAATAAGAATCAATATGAAAAACTCTTGAATTTAAAATTTCCGCTTTAAAAAGATCCGATTAGTTTTTGTAAAATAATAGAAGTAGACTTCAAATATCTATTGTGTAATGCTTGTCATTTTTCTTAAAATGTTTTCTTTCTTCATTTTTTAACAATCGAACATGAAAATTTACATGATGCAAAATCTGCCATCTAGTCAAGCTTTACAAAAATTACATAACATTCTACTCTGTAACATTAACTATTTTTGTGATAAGATGGTTAGATTAGTCTTTATTATTAATTGGCTCTTTGCAAAATTTATTTTAATGTATGACTGTACAATGGAAATATTATTTAATGAAAGGAAAATTACATGTTTGTATATTTATATTTTGAATATTTATTAACCAACAATCACATGTGCATGATAGTTGTTTAATTAAAGAAAATGTGAAGACGGCATAGAGTTCCATTTAAATGTATATAACCAGTTAAATGATTCAACCGGAAATGTTGTCACTTAAGCTAAGCCATATCAGTTTAGATTAAACGCTCCATTTCTGATTAATAAATATTTTTGGTACTCTTTTACTTTTCATTTCATATCATGTTCACACTCATATTTTCAAAGTAAGTATATTATGTAGTCTTGTTACGTCATTTAACTGAATTACCTAATATTATCTGTATTTAATTTGATCTTGACATATCAGAACGGCGATAGAAAGGGTGTGGTAACTCCTAGAACTAACTTGTGGATTAATATCATTATTATGTATACACAAACTATAAAACTATGAAGTAACTAAATTACTGCATATCACTATATACAAATATATATATATATATATATATATATATATATATATATATATGTTCAAATCAATGGAGGTTGTTGGATGATAATGTTGTTAGCATCGCAGTTTTACACAGCTTACAGAATTATTGAAACAGTTATAAATATTGATCTATGGAACTCATTGAAATTAACAGTCAGTGAAGAGTCAACTCACTTATTTGAAAGTAAACTTTTATACTCACAGTCTAAAGGTCTAGTGATCAATCAGCCGGTGAAGATATCGGTTTATATTATTGATTAGCCTTAAACTAGGATGCTATAGGCGCGCAAGGCCAAAGGTCGTGGATTCGAATACTGTGAGTTGCAGAAGTCAAGGATGCTCCCTGTTATTAATGAGTCCCATACGAAAACGGAACGGCCGCCCAGTGCTTCCAGATTTCTAATGATGGTCTAACACTGATCGATACATGATTTCAAAAAGAAACTCTACAATCTCCACAGTCCTATCATGCGTATTTACTTAAAATATATTTATGGTGTAAATTATCTTTAAATCAAAGAACTTCTATCAATTATTTTTAATAATGATGATCAACATCTTGTCTGTGACTGACTTTAGGAAGAATTCCTAAAGGTTTAATCTATGGATTTTAACTACTGAGGTTGTTTTAATATTTTATAGTTATGCTAAATAATGAATCCTACTTCAAAAAATTTTTGCCTGTTTAAAACTGATAAAATACAATTTTAAACTAACTACGTCAAATGAAATTTATTATAACCCGAAAATAAATCATACTAGAATGATAAAATAATTATTATGCTCACGCATGTGGTATACATACCACAACTGAAGTGATGCAGGGAAGTTTAGCATGGGCCTGCTCAATAACGACACGCAAAATCGTGAGGCGTTCCTTTTTTCTAACTCCACCTAAAGTCCTTCAACGGCTAGTGCCGGTCCCAAAACAGGATAAAGCAGGAGAGTTAAGCATGGATTTAGCCACCCTAGCCGGTAGAAAACCAACCCGCCAAAAAAACACTAACCAGATACATAATTCTCTGGTCGGTGGCATATGCTCCATTCAAAGTAATAGGTGTAACTAATGAGTAAATGAGTACACTTATAAATGTACTATATCATATAACATAATATAAATTGGACAAAATAACTAAATCAATTATCGTTTTTAACAATAAACTTACTTTTATCCATATTAATTCTTCATTCATTTCATTTAATAAACGATAAACACTTTTTACCGCTGTATTCCATTGACTTGTTCCTTTCAAAATCTCTTCAAGATTTGAATGATACAATTCAGTATATATTAAACTATTCTTAATATTCATTTGTAAATGTACTCTAGGTAGATTATCATCATTGTGTTGATCTTTAAAATGATCAATTCTATGCAATAAATCTTTTACAGACTCAATCCAAATAACTAATTGATTCATATCTAATTGAAATTGATCTAAATAAGTGTCAACGGAATTGGTTCTATTATTTTCAGTTAAATGTTTCAACAGTGTCAATTTATTATTGAATTTCTCCAATTGATCATTGAACTGTAATAAATAATCTATCCATTCTTGATTTAATTTTAAATAATCTGTACGATTTAGTAATTTTTCTTGTAATATATTATTAGTGTTTAAAAGTTGACTCCATTGTTTTTGATATTTATCACATTGTAATTTATTTAGCGATGAAGTTAAAATGTACAATAATTCACTTAATTTTGATAATTTTAAATTTACATAAGTTTCTGTATCATTAATTAAAGCTGCATGTTTATTTCGCAATGAGATAATTTGATGTCGATAATTGATTAAGTTATTATAAGGGAATCGTTGAAATTCAAACGATTTCTCATTATAAGTATTATTATTATTATTATTAATGTTGATAAAATAGACTTCAATCGAATTCATTTGTTCTAAAAACTTGAAATCTTCTGTTTTTGATCCCAAGTCAATAATTTGTATATTCTCTTGTAACCAATTCAAACATAATTCAATTTTACGCTGAAATTTTGCACCTAAAAATTCTAGATTTTCCTGTCATGAAAGAATAAAACAACCGTAATGATTGTCAATTAGTTATTGAAACATTTAATCATATTTCAAATGATCAACGATAAAATTGTCACAGATTATTTAATAAATATTGGTTCATCGATCAATCTCTTTCAGTATATGTGTATCCGGTATGCATTGTTCCGATATTTAATATAAGTAACGCGCATTTTTAAGTACACATACATTGTAGCGAGCATTCACGACTTCTTATATGAAATTACCTGCATCCTAAAATTGTTAACTTTTAAAGTGAACAGTACCAGGTTAGTGTTTCAGAGTGTACATCACCTCTGGAATACATTTATGAGTCTAAAATCGGAAGAAACATGCATAGATTACATCCTGCTGTTAACGCCTAAGAAGATAATGTATATATTTCTATGAGGAACATTTCTGTCTTAACCGAGATATTTTGTTTTGGGTTAGCTTTGCTGTGAGGTGTTCTTCCTCACTTCAGTTGAAGTACAATATAAAACTAAATAATAAATGAATGACTGATTCACTCTAGTAGCAAACTGTTTATCACTGGAAAACTGGAACTAAAGCAAGAAAATTTTCCGGTTAAACTATATATTATAAAATTTTAAACATTCCCATTCTGAATATTAGAACAACATATTAAAGTAAACAATACAGTTTTCATCTAGATCGTTATCAGGCTTTACTCTAATGTATGTGTGCATATTTATATGAAAATGTTAAACTAATCAAAGCGATTGATGGTGAGCCAGTTTTCACAATGAAGTAGAGATTACGTAACTACACATAGTAGATAAAAGTACAAGTTGACAGTAGGAAGACAGGTTACTGTTAGCGGTAAGAATAATAATAAAAGTTTTTTGTCAAATGTAGATAAATAGATTTGCAATGATGATCACAAATTACGTAATAGGGTGAGTGTAAAATGATTAGATTGTGAAGGAAATTGGCGGAAAGAAATGAAAATAAATTATCAACTAATACTGGATGTGAAAATAGTTTTAGTTAATAATAGAAAATTAAAAATTTTTAAATCGGTTATTAAGTTAGGCAGGAGCAGGGGGTGTCAGGAATTTCTTTCGAACACATAAACTGGGATTGAATGTTCCTAGTCACGTGGCTCCTGCTATGTGTAGAAGACGAGATCGAACTCCGTTGGGAAATGATTTAGCTATACGATAGATCACTCGAAATGATTCAGTTTTTTCGAGATTATGACCACTACCAATCAGGACTGCGAAGATAGAGCTGTGTCTTGTTTTTATCTGATCTTTTCTATTTCAATTTGATTACTGACTCTTGTATATTACCCTGCATACAAATACTCACGTATATTTGAGTAAAGCTGGAAGACAATCCAGTAAAAATCGTAGTGTTCGCTCGTATGTGAAGAACTTTATTATTCCGTTATCCGTAAAAGAAACCATGAAGTTCAGTAAACATTTCATTACGGATGATCACTTTCAGATCTGAATTTTGAAGCAGTTAAGACTTTTTTTGGATGGTTTGTGGATGAAGTTATGTGATTAGTAACATTTGATCTTCTTAAGGGACAAAAGTTTAAAAAAAGTACCTAAGTGTATGATCTACAAATCTTCGGTTTGTATAGTCTCACAATTCAAGTTGAGTATTCGATCGGCCAATGTTTAAAATGGTTATGGTTTCAATTATCATCACAGAAATAGAATTTTCCAAATCAAAACTTCATCTCAACAACGCAGTAGTTTATATGTAGTATTTAGTCATTGTTTTCCAAAGTCCTCGCAGCTGATACAAGCTTAGATCAAACATTTAAAAATATTTACAGATTAGAAAAATGTACTGAATCATCTAATTGGGAAACAAGTTATGTGGCTTCACTTACTTACATCAGTCCAATTATTCAAGAATCCAAGTGGGATTTTAGAAATTATTTGATTTAATTGTTCGTAAAGCTTTCGAAATTAAATCTTTTGAAACAATATAGCATTATTTGAGTACTGACAGTAGTAATTAACACTGGGGTTGAATTTTATGACTTAAGCGTTAGATATGTCACTGAGAACGTGCTTGCTCATTTGATAAGCTATCTAGTCAAAGTATTCAAATATTATTCAGCATTGAAAGACCATATTTCTAATGGATGTTTTGCAGTTTGTTCTTATACAACCTGATAACTTAACAGATTACGCATATTACTGTACAGTTGGCTTATTTGAACTTTTAAGCTTTTAACGAATATTACTGTAACGGATGTATTAGTGCTATTTATATAAATTTACAAGGGACATATGACTTACATTCATTATGATATAGCTCCCTTTCGTCTAGCACATTTTGGATTTGAGATATTTTACAGGCTGTTTGGTGAAACTCCATGATATTTAAATTGTTTAATTAAAGATATTTTTCATATTACAGAAAGAAATCACCTTCTTGATACTTGACAAGTATTTATGAATTTATCGGGCGAATTATCGAAATATTTTCCTTCTGAATTTGGTCTGTTACAATGAAAATATACCTAATTGTAACGTGCTGTCTTAAAACTCAGTATTCGATAAGTGTTCGAGAGTGCTCAACACATTCAATCTATAACCGTCAAAATATTCTTGATTAATAATAATTACTGAAACTTGATAACACAAACTAACAAGTAACTTCAAACATATCTACGATTCATTTGTTTTAAAATAATGAATAAATTTCATTTCCTTTACACAAACTGAAACTAAAAACATTTGATAGATTAAACTTACTCGTCGAATTAACTCATCTACAATAGCTAAATGACAATTATGTTCCGAAGTGATTAAACATCTCCATGATTCTTCTAAATCACCAAGACTGAAACCATTCGTTGGTTTGAATAACCGATGTGATTCAGCTAATTGGCTAGTATGAATTTCACTAAGAAGGGTCTATTAAGGAAATTTTTTTCAAAAAATGAAAAATTTTAAACAATAATTGCATTTAAGTGTTTTCAGTCAGATTATCATCAAACTTTACATGAATTTCCAGTAATATATGCACATTATATAAACACTATACAAATCAACGTAGTTTATAAGCTAATGATAAAAATGAACTAGATGGCGTAACTGACTATCATAAGTGATAGAAGATGGCAGATATACTAACAGTAATCAGCATGATAACGGTTCGCATAACTTGAAAAGTAGATCACAACATACAAACCAAACCTTTCGAAATGGTAATAATTAAAAATAACGTAATCAGAAGTATGCAAATAACTAGTCTAACTATACAGAAAAAGAAACGGCGTGAGGAAAACTCAACAAAAAAAACATAGAGTGTGAAGAATTGTTCAGAGTCAAGATTATCATAGACTACCTTTCAATAAAAAGTCTAAAGTTATCACTCCAATTTCCCCTAGCTCACAATACATATATAAGTGATAAAAGATCAAGTCTCATTTAGGTAAATACAGTTGGAGGTACTGAGAAAACGGGACTTGTCGATTTAGATTTGTTTAGGTGAGCAGTTTGTTTCACATAACATGACAACAGTTTTTAAAAAGAGCTGTATGTAGAAAGACAATTATTCGAAACGAAAATGCACTATGGAAATATTTCATCCATGTATGAGCCATTGTAAATGGTCCTACTCAAGAACTTCAGGCAATAAGACACAAATGGTAATAATTCTTGCTTTATTGACGATTCCTCTATAATTCTTAAGCAGGAATGTTTCGTAATTTTTTTGCAAGAGTAAGTTCATGTGAAACTTCTTACTTCTAAGATTTTAAAAGCAGATAGTATTATTATAAAATAATATGATGACTAGCTTAGTAAAACAACTTCCCGTTGTCAATATACTCTTCATTATCATACATAAATAGTTTAATTTTGAAAAAAGGAGGAAACTTCCTACGGCTATGAAATGATGTAGTTGTTTGCTAAAACTGAAAGCCTTTTTGAAAATAATTGATTGGGTCAACAATCAGTCATTGAGCAGTCTACCACATTACGTAAATCAGTACTAATCAAATACATAAAATGCTGAGAAATCTTTACTAAACAAGTAATTATGAACATTTTTCAACTGAAAAGTGAAATCTGTCTATGCAGTAAATAATACCTTACAAAACAATGAGGTCAGACAATAATTTTTAAACTTCCCGCACATAATTATAAATATCAATTTAAACAACGAATAAAAACAAGCAGTACACTTACTTCTAATTGAACTAATTCAGACATTTTTTCAGCTTTTTCTTTTTGCCTCCAAATTAGTAAATTTTGTAATTCTAGCCTTACATCTAAATCATTACGAATTTGATATGATCCTTGTAGTTTATTGAATAATTGATTAATTTGTTTAATATTCATATTGGACCATTTAAGCCATCGGTTTGTTTGTTTCATATAATCAAATATTTTATGACTGATTCTTAAACTATGCTGAATTACTTTACTAACACGTTCTGTGGATAATTTGGCATTATGTGAACTAGTTAAATAACGATACCATGTTGCGACCACAGTCATTACACATCGTTCTTCTAACCAACAGGTTTGAATGAAATCTTTCGACTCAATCAATATTGGTATACCTAAATGTAAATAGGCTTGTTGAAAAATAATTTCTAATCGCACTTGTAAACTGTCAATATGACTAATTCGATCATAATCAATCAAGTTTGGATAATGTCGATGAAGTAAAGCAGCAAATGCTAAACTATCACGCCAACTTTTTGTGAAATCAACAATTTCAACCTACGAAAAAAAAAGAATTAAAAATTAACTCATTGACATGTAGATACACTGAAAGCTGTACACATACATTTTAAAAACGAAGATAAATTCATCGATAAACCGCCCAGTTTGAACAATATAAAACTAGATAAGTTTGAATGTGTTCAATCCACATAAACGTGGTGAATACTGATGAAGGGAAGGTTTTAGGCCACCTTATGAAAGATCTGAAGAATTAAATTAACTAATGATAGTAAACTACAGTGCCGTAGATGAACAGCTAAAGCTTTCCTGAAAAAATTATAATTAACAGCTGAATAAAATTTGAATAGAGTTTGCTGCTTTTAGCCGCAGGATCGGTTAGATCTCATACGCGAATCTATTAAATAAACTGAATCTATTGCTATGACCACACAAAACAGAAGGGTTTCTAAATCATTTTCATTGAATTATTTATTATTGATGTTATTACTCTAGATATATGTATTATTTTCTGGCCCGTCAGAACGATGTAAATGTGCAAGTCCGTAATAAATGTTCGTATTCACAGAATTAACAACTTGCAGCTGGCAATCAATTTTTTTAGAAACTCGTCACGGCATTAACGTTTTTCCGTAGTCATATTTTAAATAAGGTGAGATTCAGTCAGAAATTTAAATCATCCTAGTTGATACTGACCTATCAAGATACCGACTGAATATTTGCGACACTTAAGATTTATGAGCTCACACACTATTTCAAGTATTTTGGAAGTAGTTTTATAGAAATCATGTCTAATGATATAACTTGCTAAAGTAATACTGATGGTTTACATTTATTTAGCTTGTGAACATTCAAGTTTGTGAATGCAAGTAGGCTTTAAATGAAGAGGTATTATTTTTATTCAGTTTAAAATAATATTGATGACGATACATATATACATGATTTCTTATTTTCATACTTTTTGTTAACACAGTATAAAAAAATTGACAAGACTGAATGTGAACGAGATAAAAGGTGGAGTTATAAATGCACTTTAGAGAGAATGAATTTATACTGACTGACTTTACGACCATCAGGTAAAGAAGAAGAGTAGTTGTTGAAGAGAGACCAACTATGAAGTATTCTTTTAACATTCTGTACAATCAAGAGCCACTTCAACAGCTAACTTAAAATAACCTATTTACAATTAAAGGTATCCGTTTCATTGAGCGCTAAAAGAAGATATCGGGAGTTTGTCGTTTTAAATAGCTGAAGTTCGCGTGAATCGTTGTTTTCTAACAAGATACTAAAGAATATTCACACTGAAAGGTTCGATAAGTAACTTTATAATGATGTATGATATTGGTTAACAGCATATGCTGCCTTAAACAACCGATAGTTCAGTTAAACTTTTGAGCATGATCCGATATTTTTATATCGATAACTTTTTTCCTAACTTTTATTTGTAACACATATGTCATTTTTTAAAAATCATTCTACAGTTACAAAAATATATTTGATTACATTCTCACTATTGCTCACTGTCTATTACCTGAGGATAACCAGCAGTTTTAAGTTGACACCAAAGAAGTAAAGCATCCCTGGCATGTCGAACTTCACCAGTCTCATCTGATTCTCTTACAACAATGTCCTGAACCTAAATAAAGTAAACAATAAGTTCTCTATGGTAATCAAAGATTTATTAAGATAGATGGTTGAAAAAAATACACAAATGAATTGTTAAATTAATTGTACCTCATAAACTTTCCCTGATACCATTTTTTCATACAACTGATCACACTTGGTTACGACTGTGAGACTGTTGGGGATGTTAGATTCACAGAAATCGCTTGATTAATATCTATATTTTGGATTTATTTCATGGGCCGATCAGTTGACCTTGAGATCACATTTCCCACCAGGAAAATCCTTGGCTGTGATTGGTTACTGTGTCATTTTAGTGTGCTATTTTTATGACTGTCCCAAGGACGTCTCTATGGAGTATAAATAAACGCGATTTGTGTGCTTGGATTCATTGTGTGCTGGCTGGGTGTTTGTAGAGTACAATTTCTACGCTCTATCAAGACTTTTCGCTGATACAGTTTGTTGAAAGGATCACAGTAGCCTACCTGGACGCTGGTTCATTATTTTGTTCTCGTAATTCGACTTAGGTGAACCCGTAAAAGTTTTAAGCATACCTAAAGACGAGCGTAACAGAGACAGTTAATATTAAGAATGAATATGTATACGTTACTCCGCCTTGGGCCCTTCTAGGTTTACTGCCGGCCCCGAATAGAGGAGGAGGGCTGGGCATGGGGTTAGCCACCCCATCCCGTAAAAATGCGCCCCGCTAAAAAACACAAACTATAAAAATACTTTTCTCGTCCGCAGATTATGCTCCATTAGAGGTAAAAATCGTAAGTGAGTAAGTAATATGTATACGTCACTTTCTCGTTTTTGAAAGGCAGTGCCTTTTCAAATAAACTCAACATAAAAACTGCTTTCAAAGTAATTCTTTGATATCAGTTAAAATGGTGACACTGAATTTAATATTTTTGTCCTTTCATTCTCATGTCAGTCTGCTTCAGCAAATGAATGAAATAAATTCATCCACAAAACTATATTTGGCTTCTTATTACCTTCGTCCAGCAAAAGGGATTCACCTGAGTATGATATATGGAAATGGAAAGGAAGATTTTCTTTCATCGGATACTCAATCGCTGTATCTGAATTGGAGTCATATCGCGAGCCAATAAAGTACTGAGCCTTGCTTCGAATTTTAATACTCTACTGTTATGTAATTCACATGATCATGGACTTAATATTCATGTTTCGAAATCATTCAAGAAAATCAATAGACAAAATGAAAGTGGTTGCATTTAAACTTTTAGAATGGATGAATTTAACTCCGATTGATATGTAATATTCAATCGTATGAAGCGAGTCAGTGAGAAATATTCATGAAATAAAACGATTAACGCAACATCCAAATAGAATGTTCAAAAAACAAGTTGTTTCATTTTTATAATCTTTTTTTTTTGAATAAAACTAATTTTTTTTTAAATGGATCCCTGAAGCGAAAATGTATGCAGTCAAATGTCAAAAACGACTGAACGATTTGTGGTTTTATGTTGTAGTGTGTCGATTTACTGCGTGTTCTTAAGCTCGGTAATTAGCTCGTCCAGACAATCATAACTAACGTCTGACGGTTATAAATCAGAAGGCGAATTCGAAGTGATGAAAACGTTTATTTCGGACACACCACAAAGCGAAGCGGAGAAGCAGCGAATAAGACGAATGAAGCGACGTGATTTGGAGGAAGCTGTTGAGCCAACTCTTAGGATTAAAATGCGAATGGAAGAGGATGAACAGGCGAAGCGCGTTGGAGAAGGCTAATGAGCCAAGTCCAAGAGATAGAGCATGACTAAGAATATATAGTCAGACAAATATAAGGCAGACATGCAACAAGCGAAATAGGCACACATGAATAAAAGCGACGAATGATTGACAAGGTCAAATGACAAGTGGGACACGTCATGTTAGCTCATACAAACCAGACAATAATAAGAAGGAATGGTACATATAAATTGTTGCTATACAAATGGCTTGTTTTCGATTAGATCGTCATCAGGCTTTACTCTAATATACATGAATATTTATATGAAAATGTTAAACCAATCAAGGCAATTTGAGTGATAATCACAATGAAATGAACAAGGCAAAAGTACAAGTGGATAGTAGGAAGATAGGTGGACCGATAGTAGTAGGAAAATTTATAAAATATGAAAACTAAAGTAGGACACTATAAATATTGTTCACAATTCTCCGTATCAACAATACGAAAGTAATGTAGGACAATGATATGTAAATAACTTAACAAAAACGTGATTCACTTAAACATTTTATGCTAAAAATAAACAGACTCATTCAGCATCAATTTACCTGATAATGTAATATAATTGTCCATATTAAACCTAATGTAAGTCTTGGATTACCATCAACAATATCTTGTGCACCGACATTTTCAAGATGCGCTCCTTCTTCATAAAGAAAATCAAGTGCTTTATTAATATTTTCCAATTGATGAATTCTCATTTGACTATGATTAATTCTTGTCTGTAACAGAAAAAAAGTAATAAAAACCAATTATGTGTTACTGTTAAATTATAAATTTACAGTTCATAAATCAATGGCAAATGTTGACAACAATTTTGTTTATCAGGTATACAAAGCATCATTCTTAACTGTATTAGCTAATGAAGTTTAGTTTATTGTTAAAACTTCACTACTTCGCAATCAAAGAGAAAGTCAAAAAGACAGTGTCTATGTAATATTAACTGACTACAAGAAATAGCTCTTCATGCATAAGACTAGAGAGTGAAGATTGTAAAAATAAATGTGAAAAAATCCATGCGAAAAACCAAACGATTTTTCATTGTAGAACTCAGATATTGTTGTTTATGATCACTGAAGAATCGTACAATCTACTAACTACTGTCTAGCTTTTTGAGTAAATTCTCGAATTTCTAGTGAGAAGAAATGACCATTGGAGTTAAACCCTGTCGGATGAAGGCAGTAACTACCGAAGACAAATGGCTGAGGTTACATAAAATACTTAGATTGATTAGAGTAAGACAATAACACCGTTGGTTGCTGGCTCAGTAGTCCAGTGGACAAGAGTGCACGCTTAGCAACCAAGATCTTTGGTTGGAATCCTGTGGTTAGCAATAGTCGTGGATGCACACTGCCATCGATTAGTCCCATACCAGGACAAAATAGCTGTCCAATACTTCAAGGTTTCAGATAGTGACCTAACAAATACTGACTTATGATTTCAGTAAAAAATCAAACGAAATAATTAATCATGAACTCTGGTAGATCATGTCTCTGAGAAAAGAAAGACAAGACATTCTTATTGAAGAAAGAAACTCACATCTTACACACAATCCTGGATCTAACTCCGCTGAATACACTAAGTTCCTGCTACGGATGGTGATGAGCTTTTATCCAAGGAAAAACTACTCGAGAATTTCCATGTAAATGAGTTTTTTATCTTACTTAACAAATTCAGTGATAATGTTCTATTCCTAGACGTCATCATAATCTAACAGTCAATCATAAATTATGTAAAAGTTAACTACTTCATCATCCCAACTCTTGAACTTACCATAACCACATAATTATATGATAAAAATTATACATAGTATATATTTATTATACTATCTATTTACTAGTTATACTATGAAGTACCTGAAGCACCTTAAATTTTATTACTTTTGGACACAGGTCTTGATAGTCAGAATAATTATCGTTGCGTAATGTAAGGCAATTTTGAAATTGGGAAAAAATATCATTCCGTTCTATTTTTTCCAACTAATATCAAAATACAATGAAAATTTTCAAGAGATGCGGCCACTAGTAGTCTTTTTACTCGGGATGCTTTGATACAGTACCGATAATTTATGTAGACCATACAATGAATAGGTGAACTGCTTTCACTGGAAACATTAAAAAGTATAGGATCATTCACTTTGCTTCAAATTCCAAAAACCTCCGTCATATTTTTCGGAAGACACATTTTAATCATTTAACCGTTTGATGTTTCACAAAAATTGTTGTGTTGGAAAATTCCCTCAATTTCAACGAATCAAAAATCATTTGAACAGTTAGTCAAAATAATTTAATCATACAAAGAACTGCATACATTTGACATTTTTATCAATGCATAAATTTACTGGTTATTATGGCTTGGCATGTTCTTCCCACTTTTCATGTAATGGACATAACTCTTGATTCATTTGAAGAATGCTGTTTGATTTGACCATTTAATTCGATAAATAGTCTTGAACCTTTAATGAATTTCTATTTCAACATAAATCTTCTTAAGTTCAGTTCATTTATTTATTAGTTAAATCTTTTCAGAATTAAATCAACTATAAATTTCACTTCATAATTAAAACTATGTAACAATACAATAAAACAAAACAAATTATTTCTTAGTAATTCATTTTTCAATAGTCAATTATTTATTTAGGCTTTTACAGAATTTATTCGAAACATGGTTTCAATATTTAAATAGTTTCTTAACATCAAACGAAATTCTCTTTTTTTGGAATGTACAAATTATTGTTTGCAAAATTTTTTCTCAATCATTTCCAAAATATTTTTACTTATTGACTGACGCCCTACTAATTAGGTTTGTTACTGATGATAACCATTAATTATCATTTAGAAAAAAAAACATATATAAAGAAAAATTTTAAATTTTTGAAATTGCACCATTACGAAATTTTCGTTTTTTTTTTCAAAATTTAACTCAGAAACAATATTTTCCATTGTAAGTTAATCAGAATATCTGTAACTACTTTTGAACAATATTAGTAATCAATCTAACCATTAATTAAATCTCTGCCAAAAAATCATCATCAGCATTATCAAAAATTAAATATTTTAATTAGAAATTACTCAGTAAATACAATCAGTTTAATGCACAAATAACAAATTCACATTCCACACTTGAGTTCGACAAATTTGATGCGTTTATATACATTTCTTTTTAAAAAAAAATATAAGTTTTCCATTTTGTTTTTGGCATTTGACAAGTTCATAAAGCATTCGCTTAATTTTTACTGTGACATTATTATTTTCATATTTTAGGTGTTTTTATGTTTGTATGCATTGATTTTTACAGTCTCACCTCTTTATATATGTGTACAACGCTTGTATTCACTTGACACTTGGAAATGTATATGTCAACATACATTAAATCAGTATATAAATATATATATATGGTTTTATGAATATGTTACATTATTTGACAAAGTATATTTTCTATTTAGTAAATTATTTTCAAATAAATAATCGAATAACAGGATTATAAAGCTAGTTTTGAGGTTTTTGTAACACTGTTTCAGGATATTTGTTGTATAATTGATTGCCTTCTCTCCTTCCTTAATTTGCCTTTCTACTCAGTAGACTAATAAATTTCTTCAGATATAATCATTTTTTTTATTATTTATATCTTCTGTCAATGATTAATTTAATTAGACCAATTTTAAAATGAATTATATTCTCCGGAATATCTTGTTAAAACAACTATTTTAATATGCATTATTCATTAGTGGGTGGAAATAACGAAGTTAACACATCGTTTAATTGCGTGTGTTCGTCCTTTTCAAATACAGGAACTAACAAACGGATCATCCTACCATTATAGAAGATATATCAGGAATTACAGCACGAATTCTGAGACCGTTTGGAATGGGTGCAGTACGCAAACCAACAGATTCACTTCAACTAGTCTTATGTAAACCGAAGGACACAATGACAAAAGAAGAAAAATCATTTATCATCTACAAAATAAACTGCTTAGACTCTGTGAAAAACACTGTGTCCTCTTCAGCTTCGTCTGCTTGAACATCATTCAAACGCCAAGACATTTCTTTTCCTTACATCAGTACATACGAAAAACTATGGACAAACGTTTGATTGGAACATTGTTGAAATACTGGATAGGCGGAGCAAAAAGAACCATAGAGAATTTTCGGAAACTTGGCACTCAGGTCAGTTGTAAATCAACAAACACATTGATATTAACAATCAAAAAAATCATAGGCAAACATAGTATCAAGTAACAGATCAAAGGTGGATACAATCAAAATGAAGGTGCAAACAACTACAAGTTTAAGGTCAATAAAAATCAATCAAGATCAAGGGTAACAGAACAATCTATGAGTCATATGTGGAGAAATTCGAATACTTCATTTCTATCTAAAATTTGTTCTGGTAACGACATTGTTCAGAAGAATGAAGGAAGCTCCATAACCAAAAACTCCAGATCAGAGAACGAACCTTTACACAATCATCCGTTTAAACTACAAACTTTCTCCACCATCTTACAATTCTTGTAATAACTTGTTAAAAAATTGTTCGCATATGCACTTTTTTGTAGTGAAGTTACAGAACGTCACATATTGTATAAATTCGTGTATGCATCTTCATAAAATACAAATTTAACGCACTTACATACTGATTGCCGACTAGCTAAAAGTTCACTGATTGAATTGTTGATAAAAAGTAATTTAAAATAAGTAAACTTTTAGTTTTTTTGGTGACAGTCATATCAAAGGAGAAAACACTAATTAAACATCGTTATACATGTACTATACCAATAAAATCATATGGATATACGCTTACTAATCTTTAAAAAATATCGCAAAATATTTCATAATCATATTTACATTGCATGTGTAAAATTGTTGATTATCTTAAAAACATCTATTGAAATATTTCCTACAATATTTTGTTCATACATGAAAAATATACGTCAATATTTTGGACTTCAAAACTTACAAATTGTCTTCCTGATAGTAATTCTAATAAACGTAATAAAATTCGTCCATCACGTAAATCATTATATAATTCTCTAACTAAATAAGTATGTCCTATAGCATATGTTGTTCTGTGTGTACATGGTGATATTTCTCCGGATGGCGAATGTGGCAATCGATTCATTGAACTATGATATGTCCATTTGTTATGTAGATCATTTGGATAAGATAAATAGGTGAGAAATTCCGACGAGAACACTCCATCTAATTGTGCATTAATCCAATTGGTAAATAAACATTTTTGTATGTGATCACGTTCATCTATAAGCATTAAAAGTAAAGTAAATATTCAATTAAACTAATAAGCGTAATTGTTTAAATAAATGACAATAGTAACTTGATTTTCGCAGGAGAAAAAAAAGAATCACATCACCTTTGAGTACGCAGTTTAAAGGATTACTTATTCCTTATGTGAGCTTAGTATGAAATCTGAGGCTTTTGTATTATACCTTGTAAAAATTAATACTTCTACATGAAACCACAAGGTTTGCATGATGTTAGTAAGAAGCAGACGTGATTGCAACTGCTAATTTTACTCACTTTTGAAAGAATAATATGACCCTTTAATCAAAAATACATATTTTTATTTTTTTTACTCTAGCGATATCTGGCTTTGCATAATCAAAAAGCTAGAAAAACTTTACCAGGTTTCACAAGGATCTATGTCAAATAATCAAGAATACTATTTTTTCATACTAGAAGTTGCTCAGTTGACATTACTTTAGAGTAAAAAACTATCCCAACCTAATAGCTAAGTGGCCATCGTGTTGACGCCTGAAGCTAGTAATACTGCATTCGAGTATATGAGGTAAACTCAATACATAGGGATGTAGATACATCAAGCTGACGAGATCCAAACAGGTCGAAACTCTGAATCTAGATTCGAATCCCAGCTACTATTCAACCCTGCCGAAAAATACCTACAATGTCATTCAAACAGCTGGTTCAGGATGTGGATACATGCTGAAAACAAGAATGATTGGTTGTATTCTTTTTTTAACGAAAACAACTGAAGGACTATTCAAATCTATACAAGCGATTTAGTTGTTAACTTAACTTTCTTTATACAATACAAAAACAGTTAAGCTGCAATCATCAATAAAATAAAAATTTCATATCAATTTTTTCCTTATTCAAACGGTAAAAACAACAATGTTGAAAGTTCTCTTTACAAAAAAAAATTTACCTTGTTCAAACAATATTTATATTTTCAATTAATTAATTAATTAATTAATTAGACTGTTAATAAAACAAAACAATGTTTCTTTTTATGGCTGCAGTGAATAATAGACTCAAAAAAAGGAAGAAAAAACTACAAGAGTTCCTTGTTTTCAGACATTCGTAGTAACACGTGGAACTTTTACTAATAATAATAATAATAATAATAATAATAAATAACATTAGAAATCCATTTTATGAAACGAGAAAAATTACCACAAATCCCCGAAATAAAAACTACAACTCAAACTCATTGTGATTGAAATAATTCTTTTTTCTTGTGAAAAGAAAAATATTGGCAAATTGAATTTTATAAATCGAAAATGAAAAAAAAAGAAACAGATGAACATTTATTATTTCCTTAATTCAAAAAAAAATTTATCGAGAAAATGAAAAAAAAAATGAAAGAGAAAACCCTGATTATTTCCGTCTTTTTTCAAAACTGCATAAATATTTATGATTATAGGTTGGTGGTTAAATAATTAAAAATCAATCTTATAGATTCAATAATTTTTTTTAACTACGCTCCAGAGAGTTTCCAGGCGAAGTTATTTTCAATTCCTAAGTAACATCTCATGCACTGAGATGTAGTTGAGTAGTTGAGTTCATTTTAATGGTAATATCATACTCGAGTAAAAAATTATTTTAGATAAAACAATTCGATTGAGACATATTTATGTAATTAGTTTATTTTTTTTATTGTAAATTTTTGTTTTATGGAACCAATAAAAATTATGAAATATTAGTTAACTTTATCAAACTAGTTTTACTGAAAAATCTATTCGGTAACTTATCAAAATGATTTAATTGTTTATTGTTATAAAAAAATTACCCACTAAGTACAATTCAATTTTTAATGTCATAATATTTAAAGAAATAAGTTTTATTTCTTTAAATAAGTAATGGCTTGATTTTAAAAAATATCTGCTTATTTTTTTTGAGCGAAGACAGTCTACTTGTGAAGTACTGATTGTACGTTCAGGTAAATCTAATCGATTCAAGGAAAAATTAGTTATTTAAGATTTTCGATTGGAACAATTGTTAGTGAAACCTTAGAAAACCGTCTATCTGTGATCACATTGAACTTATTCGCTGGAAGATAATTTTTAAATCTTAGTTTTCAAAATATTGACTGAATTATTGGCTATATTCCTCTAATAATTAAATTATCAAAAAATTCTGAATGACATTCTGACATGATTATCGTTACTGTTACTCAGGAAAAATAACTTGACCTACTTTTATGAGTATTCAGGAATTAAATCAGCTCATTGACAATTCACTTACACAAATAACAAAATTAACCACATTAATCTAAACACCGAAAAAGAGGAGTTGTCTTGTTAATATAGTAAACGTGCTGCTTTGTTTGTCAATTGTTCGAAAATTGTTGACAACAAAATCAGCTATAAACAAGAAACCATCATTCACATAATAATATTTTGATTAGTTACATACAACGACAGTGTTTATATGAACACATTAGAGAAAGATATGCGAGGAATGAACAAACATTGGACAGAACTGGAGAGGGGAGCCCAGGACAGAGTTGGTTGGAGAAAACTGGTGGGCGGCCTATGCTCCATCGGGGGTAAGAGGCATAGGTAAGTAAGTAAGTAATATGAACACATACACATAACTGTGCAAAAGATGGACATTTAATCATTTCGTCTAAAAATGTCTAGATTTTACTATTTTTTGATATATATGTAGTATATCAGCTGTTGCTTTTTAGATATAAACTCCTAAAATACATTTTTGCATAAACTTTAACATAGAATAAATATGATTGCGCAGTTTCTACAGACTACTGATAACAATCAAAACAAAAAATTAACGTATCTGTATTTAAGGGATTAGTTTAGACAAGACAGTGACTGACTTCACCAAGTTATTGATCATTGATCTAATCTTTATCAGCACTAACGATGACTGATTCATGATTTTAGTGATAACCGACAATCTCTATAATGAATAAACGTACATTATGTTCACTAGCGAGGTTCTTAGAGTTCTGGCGAAAAGATGTGACCATTGGATTTCAAGCCTGTCGGGTGTAGGCGGTAACTACTGAAGACAAATGAGTAGGGTTATTCAAAATCCCTAGATTGATCAGAGTTGGACATTAACATCGTTGGATGCAGGCCAGCTCACTGGTTCAAAGGTTACGTGTTCGCTTGCAACATCTAAAGTTCTGGGTTTGAATCATGTGGGTAGCGCTCTGCCACGGATGAGTTCCATATTGGGAGGAAACGGCTGTCCAGTGCAATACCATCAAAAGAACCATAATTATTTCATTGCTTCTATTATTATTATTTTTTATTCGATGCTCAATTTATTTGAACCTACCAAGTTTAACCTTAGTATTTATACTTATTCAAATTAGCTATAATAGTCATTGGTTTTTGTTTGATCTGTACTCACCATTACAAGTATTGTCTATTGATGTAACTAATTTTGCTAGAATATTTCTCTATGAAATTGTTCATTAAACACACATAACTAGTTTTTCAAAATACGTTTCATTTGGAGTGAAAATAAAATTAACGTTTAATAAGATATTGTGAACCCTTTAAAATAATTATTAAAATAAGCTTGTGTAAGATGAATAATCCCTATGCTCTCGGTTGCATTTCTTCCAAATTGTCTATATGACATTAAAACTGTAAATTTAAGGTTAATTTATTGATTTTTTAAATAAACATAATCTTCAGCAGCAGCTATGTAATATTAAATATAAAAATTGAAATCATAAATGAGAAAAGATCAAATCTTTGGTTATTTTAAAACAAGAGAACTAAAATTTATGAGACATTTTTGAATTCGGAATTTCAGGAAAATAAAACATATTTTCTTAAATAAGCTAATCTTTATTTCTATAGGCTAACTTATTAAAGTGAGGAAGTCGGAGTGATGGAATTACTAAATATTTCTTTAGGGCAAACTGCATTACAAACTACATTACATTAAAATAAAATAATATAATTTTGTCTGAAATCGCTAGTATAATTTTGCAGTTAACTATGATAACAATAATAATATCTATTTAATTATTATATTAAAATGATCATGAATAGACATAAAAAATAAGTCAATGTGAGCAGAGAATATAGATGGTATTAATTCGCTGTTCAACAGTGTACTGTCACATTTCTGACAATCCAATTAATATCTGGAGATTTTATTTAGCGGTAAATGTGTGTTTTAAATTCCGAGTCTTGCTTTATAAAATTAATTTTATAAAATCCAGTGTTAAGTCATGACTAAAAGAGTACAAAATATTAGTCTTTTGTTAACAGCATTGTATAACTGTTGCACTAAGTCGTAACTATAATAAATCTAGAGAATATATATATCATGGAATTCTAATTTGGTTAAGCAAAGATTATGTACATAAAATTTCGAAGTTTGCTTTTACATCGTTAAGAAGTTCTTTACTCAAACAAAATAGCTCTTCGCTGCTCAATAATCTTCACTGGATTCTCAGCTGATTTCGATTCGTAATACAAATAAAATGCACATTTCATTTATTTCTGTAAACAAAATTTTTAGAACTTACCTATGATTAATGAAAATTATGAACATTTGTTTATTTAAAAAAGGTATCATGATAACAAATACAATAAGCATGTAATCAGTATAATCAATTTATACAGTTCAATGTTTCAATAAGGAATATTTATACTGATGAAACAACTGTTAAACTTATTCATTCACATAAATATATACTTAGATAATGAAACCTGTAATTTTAAATGTGATTTTTTGAATTGCTCTATTCGATAAGCTAAGCTAATTAAATGATAAATTGTTACTGATTTGTTTTTATTTTTTTTAGAGTAAAAAAATAAAACTAATGATTTCAAATTTACTATCTAGTTGAATGTTTTCAATTTCCGTATGCAGTGATTATTGATAATTGAATTGTTACTTAAGATATTTATATATTTTAAAAAGTAGACTTGTCTTTTCTGTTTTCATACAAATTCAAAATAAATTAGTTTAACTAACAGATGTTTCATTCTCTTGTAACAAAGTTATAAACTGGAATGCTTTCAGTGAACTTCATTCAGATATTTATGTATATTGTGATGTGGTTACATTCTCTGAGCTGAAGAACGAAACTTTGTCGTATTCACTCAGGTCAGCTAGAAATCTTCTTCACCATTTATGTATATTGTTCAGTCATTGTTCAAAATATAATCTACATGGATAATTGACTTTATTGCAAAAAACTTATTCAAATCGTCTTTTTACACCTAAAAATTAATTTCAATCTAGTGTTCAATTATTAACGTATCAAACCGTTGAAATTTCATGACTGATTATTCTTGGGTAACGTTTTTTGAAACAACATTACAATATTCTGAAGTAAAATTCAAAAATACATTTAAACTTAAGTCAATTTGGTGAAAAAACTAAGTTAGAAATTGAACACAGATGGTCATTTAAACTATTTTCAGCGACAGGAATTTAAAAAACCAATCATTTGCTAAGTAATAGATCGAATCTGTGCAAACAATTGAAGTAGGCTCCATAATCTTCATCTTTAGCAGCTGAAATTGAAAATAGTACTTTCACGACGAAGAAAATTACCTGATCTTCAGGAGCTTAAACGTAAGAAAGTTCGTATATGAAGTGTAATAACTTAAACAAAGTCCATATTATTACCTCCACTGATGATATATGCAGTGATCTTTTAGTTAATTTGTTTTACGACTACATAGTTAGTGCTACTAACAAAAAGAATTTGATAAAAAGCAGTTGAATATACCTTCAAGTAAGTTTGACTAATATATTAGGCAAAATGATAAATGCAGTGAATATTTCATTTAACAAAATATAATAATGTAGGTACTGAAAGAATAGCCGTTTATTTGATAAATATTTGGATAATTTGAAAGTACTTTTTAGTTTGTTAGGTTCTAATACTTAACAATATCAGAACTAAAATTGTCTGAAAAAAGTTTTCACACATGTTTATTGTAATTCTCAATGGAACTTTCTGTTAATTTACACATCTAATGACGGGTATGGTTATTGTATACGAGCCACATAAAAGAAAATTAAAAAATATTTCCGTAACTTCTAATTATACATTACTGACAAACCCTCCTAATAATTTTATTTCTACAAGAAATCAATTTCTTCCTTTCATTTGAATGCTCTAACGAGATTTTTCAGCATTGATTGTTGAAAGAGCAAGCCATTTATTAAGTAATAATTGTCTAATGCTATCTCGCAGGTAACTTTCCTGTTAAAGCATCAGAAACGCTCAACATTATAAGAGTGGTTCTTAGCCAAAACTATGTTTAGTTCTCAGGTGCAAAAAAACGTCCATAAATTTCTTCTCACAAGAATGTTTAACTGCTTGGTTTTATAGAGTTAATCCTAACCCTTAACAACGACAAAGTAACGTTTCCAGATGTTATAAAAACCAAGAGAGTTAATACATCATCACATATCAACCAATGGGGTTTAAATCGGAAGATAAAAAAAGTAAAACAAATATACGAACAGAGACCATATATTTGTCAATGGAAACCAAACAAATTTCAGGTCAGCAGGATAAGCCACTGGTAAACTGTGAAGAATTTCTAGCAGCTTACTTATACTTGAATTATGTGTTGATGGTGTTCAAAAGGACAATGAAATTTTCACAACTAATCTATATGATACAAAGAATTCAACATTTCTAATATATTCACCCCCATTGACAAATGATTTCCATCATATAGACAACCGTTTCAGTATAAGATGCAGTAAACCAAAAATAAATTTCAAGACTTAGGTTTGTCTCATTAGAATACTGCTATTACTAATCATATATATTCATATTATGATTATCCGGACACATAAACACTAGATTAGTTTCTATGAGCACTCACAAGTTTTTGGTTAACCCATATAATGTTATACCTTAAATAATCTTAGATGGAGAATTTGATCTGATTTGTAACTACATCAATATTTCCCTCTGAAAAGTTATATCTATTCAGTCTGTATATTGATGTTTTATGTTTAATCAAACTATTAGTGTATTTAGGCTGATATTACACACTTGTTGATTCAGCGTTACCAAATGTGTTTAGTCTATCAACAATATGCTACTGTTTATAATAGATCTGTTTACCTCAGCTTTCATGTTCGTTTGCAGTAATAACTAAAATGTATTACTAAGTAACTTAGTGTGAAGTTTTAGAAACTGGTTTTTCTCGACAATGAAGCATAAATTGAATTATTTCAAACATTTGACTTCAGACATCGCAATGACCTGTCTATCATATTTATTATTCTCAAAATGGTTGAGAAGAATGATTTTACTTTTTACCATTTTGCAGCCTCATTTTAACTTGTAACTGCCCCAAAAACTATGAATATAAGATGTGTGAATTAAAGTGATAACTGTGGATGTGTAAAGTCAATCTGTATGGGGTAATGTTTAATAAAAGTAAATCACTTCCACTACATACTTGGTCAAGTTTTATCAACAAAAACAATTTGAATTGGTAAAAATGGTCCAATCAAAGTATTTTCATATTACTCTGAAGTGTTTGGTGAAATATTATGTAGACTTTGCCTTGTAGGTTTTGTATTTATTTATGCTTATCTTAATTTACCCTTTTTCTCGGGATTTTTCGACAGCCATTATTCGCTTCTGTCTTTATCAAGTAAACTTTTATAGTTTCAGTTTACATCAAAATCTAACTAATCTCTAGATATAAAATGGCTCTAATTGTAATTCAACATACACAAGAGCAGTTTGTGAACGAAAGTTTCATCGACATGGTGGATTGATGAATCCCAAACAAGATAGATAAACTGTTGACTGTGCTGTATAGCACCTAATCAAAAGCGGTTTTTCATCGCACATATAATGTTTGTAGCATAATAATAAATATTTGCTTATTGTTCCGGAGTTGTTTAGTAACTTTACGGTTAGAAAACATGGTGATATTCATTTGAATCAGGTCAGCTTGTTTTACATCACATTCATGTAAATGTCTTTATGAAAGTCAAAAACGAAATGACGACAAATTTTCATATGATAAAAGTGTTAAGGAATTGTTAAAATTAATCACTCAATTGATCAGTTATAGTCTTAGCATGGGATGATTCTACAACGAAAGAGTGAAGATTTCACGAAAACATATTTTTAGAAACCGATAATAAACATCTTAAGTTCCACAAAAACATTATTAATAGACCCTATGGGGTTCAGAGAGGGAAAATTGAGTTACCTTGCTAACCATTTAAGAGAATGGTTTAGAGAATGAATTATAATAATAAAACAATTTGCTGCTAATCTGTCATCTGAAATAATGATCAGTTACTAAAACTAATTTATACCAAGTTCTAAACTTTTACTAAGCACACAAAAGTCAAGTGCATTATTTACGTGCACCAAAATCTGCCTAAAAACTATAATTTAGTAAAAACGACTTAAATGTTTGTTGTTACAAAAGGTCCAACGTAAGTCTTTGTCATAGCAAAATTACTCTGTTTTTTGTAACAGCTCTACAAAAATAGCTCATATTTGTACTTTTTTCACTCAAACGATAAGTAAAAATAAATCACAGTCGCCCAAGTTTTATGCGCCGAAATCTGGTAACTTTAACGATTATCACAATATATAGAATGCTTAAAAGTAATCTGAACGCTCAATCTTTATGCATGGGCGAAATCGGAAAAAAGTGTAACTCGTAGAAAACCAACCTGCCCGATTTTTAATGCGCGACTTTTCATAGAGATTAAGACTCATCTGTAATATTAAACTCCATGTACAGTCTTAACTCTTGATAACAAGTTATGCTTTTTGAAAAACTACAAAGAAGTTGTAACTGTTAGGCCTCATTTGAAAGACTTAAACAAACTCAATTACTTTTAAAATGATGTCAAATCTGTAATAGTTTTTTACATCTTTCAGTGATTCTAAGATTTTTGGACTAACTCATTGAATTCCCATTTCTGACTTAGTGCATACTTAATCTGAAGGAAATTAGGAAGTTCACCTGAGATGCTTTTCCCCCATTCGCTTCTTTCAGTAATATTTTTCTTGAATCACTAACGCGGGGAGTAAATAAATCTGTCTCTCATTTACTTCAGTAGTGAAAAGTAAGACCCATGCAGGTGGTTTTGTCAGTCGTCGACATCTCAGGCGATCATACTAGTCAAGCATCAGCACCAGGTCGCTTCCAATCAAATTGTGATGTGCATCTCTTACAATAATTGGTTAGTTAAATCGCTTACTTATTGAAGCGTAACATTCTCCAAATCAGTTGGTCACCTCTATACCTGGATTTTGTTACGGTTATTTTTGTGGCTTTCGAATATTAGGCGTTTCGAACATTAACGTAGTTAAGCACTATAATCCATCATATTCTCAGTTGTGTGGTCAGATATGGTCTGGTCCACTAAACGCTATACTTTTAGTTTTTGCCTTGAAATAGTGTATGCTTCTATTGCTATAAAAGTGATATTTTCTCCTTCCTCTCATTGTTTGCCGTACATTTATATGTTTTACTTTCTTTACGTTTGCATGTTAACCGAAAGTTATGGAGATTGACTCATCTGTCCCTCGACCCATGAACCATGTTCTTCTAGAGAGGTAATGCTGAAGACTTATTCGCTCATGCAGAAGGAGATTTTCATAATAGTGGCGTTCCAGACCTTCATCAGTAGTTCCTCACAATAGTGAAGGCATTTACCACAAGATTCGAGCAGGTAAGTTTCACCTGCAACAATCATAGGCAATGTCTCGGAATTTCAAGATTCTTCCAGAAATGCTGTACGTTAATTTGCGGGATTTACATGTGATTTTTCATAAAAATCTCATATTGTATAGACGTTCGAGCTGTAAGCAGATGCGATTAACGTAAGTGTGATCTTCTTAATGTAAATGAAATGGGTCTAATTAAATTTACACTCCAGTTTCCTACCAAACTTGTATGACTCTCACAAACTGCACCTTTGCTGTTTGAAGTGACATTTAGGTTATTGCTGTTGCCATTCTGATTGGTAGCCGTTCCTGATCCTGTCACTTGAATTACTTGTATCTGGGAGTTTCCCGATCGTGAACTGATAGCACTCCCGGATCTGGCAACAATGTAAAACGGAATAGCGGATTGAGAGCTTTTAAAACAGTATGTAGAAATGTTCGAGGAAAAATTTTGAGGTTCACTGAAGCCTTGACTATTCGTAAATTGAAACCTTCCTTAATTGTACAGAAACAGTTTGTTATAACCTCTATTATACCCTGGTGATTCTCAAGCAATTTTATGGCCCAGGGTAATATGACTATTTCCTACCCTTCTTTATTCTTTCTATATTATGTTAATTTTCTCTCTCCGTCATCTATAATTACCACCTCATATCTATTTTAACTTTTGTTTAATTCAAGTTTTATTAATTTCATACAAAATGCCTAGACAAATATATGTGTGACTAGATTGTTCGAAATGTGTAGCGTAAAAATATCACATAATTCAGATCAGTCACATCCTTTCACTAGTCCATGAAAAGTCATTTGTATAGCAACGACTTATCTGTACCATCGTGCTTTTGTTATTGTCGCATTTGTATGTGCATGTATGACTGAACACTGCTTACCGCCGACACATATATTCATCTTCATTGCTTCATTATTAGCCGCCTAGATAATCCGATGACTCACTCATTTTCCTATAAATATATATATATTTAAATCCTATTCACCTAGTCGAATGCTCTTCAGCACTCTCATATCATTTTAGCTTTCGTCTCATATGTCTGTGGTTTTCTAATCCGTATCGGGTAATGATATGTTACCTTGCTCTCAGCTATCAGAAGTTCATGCGTAAATTTTTCATATTTTGCTTTGGAAAGAATGGTGAAACGATGTGATCAAAGCACCATTCGAACTTAGTGTATCGTATCAGTAGAAATCAGTTTTTTCCTATCAACCCAAGGCTGACTTCTTTTCCGCTCAGGAATCCGATCAAATTCTCACGTCAAGACAAAGTGGACATTTCATGATCTTTAAAAAACGAGAGATATAATACAGAACAACCGAAAAGACATTTACACATCAAGCCACGTCATATTTCTTGTTTCGTCCTAGAAATTAACGTAACATGATATATTTCAGTCGCTTTAACCTCTGTTAATTTGTTCGGCCTTATAACATTCATGCACTTCTATAAACTCTTCGGTAATTTATTGAAAGTTACTTGAATATCAAATACTCTAATAAAAGCAATACATTCTAAATTTTGTCTACTGTGCTATTACGAATATCTAAATATCAAGTTGTATGTAACATTTTATTTGGGAAAAAATTATTATTATCAAGTTCAAGTGCTTTTCCCTGATCTCCTACTCAGTTAGAAACTGATTTGTCCATTCCCACAGTAACTTATCACTGATAGGGTCTGGCCAACAGATACGAAGTATTTTGCATAGACAATATATGCTTGTATCTTCTGGATGATGTGTTTTGCGATTCTCCAAGTTTCTGCTCCATACCTTAGAAATGTCAAGACACTTGTAGTGATTATTATGACTTCGGCGTTAGTTTGTAGTTGATTTTAGTTCCAGTTGTTCTTCAGTTGTATAAAGGCTGTCCTTCTTTCGCCGATCCGCTCCTTCACATCTGCATTAGATCCACCATGGTCATCATTGTTGCTACCCGGATATGCAAAGGTTTTTACATCCTCTAGAGTTTCTCCATCAAGTGTGATTTGGTTGTCGCTTGCTTCCGTTGTATTGGATAATCTTGCTTTCCCCTTTGTGTATGTTGAGACCTGTTGCTTCTCAGGCTGCTGCTACATTGGCCGAAGTTGGTATTATGTGTGCGATAGAAGAGCAGGATCATCTGCGAAGTTCAGATCGCCTAGCTGCATCCTGGCCGTCCACTTTACCCCGTGCTTCCCTCCGAATGTTGACTTCTTCATAATCCAGTTGATCACCAAGAGGAGAAGAAAGGTGGAAAGTAAGCAACCTTACCTGACACTGGTCTTCACCTTGAACGAGTCTGTCAGCTGACCTCCGTGCACGACTTCGTTGTCTAATACATCATAAGAATTTCATATTATGTTGACTATCTTCTAAGGCACGCCATAGTATCGAAGAAGCCTCCATAGTGTTATCTTGTCCGTACTATCAAACGCTTTCTCTTAGTCAGTGGAGTTGATGTTTAGTGGAAGGTTCCATTCAATCGATTGTTCCACGATGATTCGTAATGTTGCGATTTGGTCGGTACACGATCAATCCTTACGAAATCCAGCCTAATTATCTGAAAGTTCGGCGTCTCAGTAATCATTCATTCTTTTTAACAATACCCTATTGCCTGGTGTTGAGAGAAGAGTGACACCTCTATATGCTCATACTTGCTGAGATCTTTCTTTTGTATTATGATTAGGTATCCTTGTTCCTCATCCCAAATCTCGCTGAAGAGAATATGGAGTATTTTTGCAGTCGCTTGCACGTCCAACCTGTGTCCAATGAGTTTAACTGGTATCAAGCACTTCCAGATTGTATATTTTCATACTTCGGCGATTTGGATCAGCCTTCCGGTCTCCCACATTGTCTGAACATTCTGTGTACTTAAAAGAATCGTTGCTCTTGTTGTTAGTAAGGGCATCGTCCTCTGGACTAACGAAGGAACTCGGCTTTCATTTTAAGTTGTCATGACTTCTCTGAACCAAGACGCTTTAACTACCGGGGTAGATCATAGATGCTTAGACTGTTTTTCTCTGGTTAGCGTTTTCTTAGAGAGTTAGTTTTCTACGGAATGGAGGTCGCCAAACCTACGTCCAACTATCCTCATGCTGTTTCATGTACCGTCCAAAGGGCTAGAAATGTGTTTATTACGTTCATTACTATTGCATTTGTTCTGTTTTGGAAAAAGTCACCTATGAATAGCATTCAAACCTGATGAACATTATAAAAAGCTATTTCTACTCCCCATATACACTATGTTAGGTAAATTCCCTTCAATTTTAGATTTGCTGAAAAACCGATTCGTACAACATAATTTTGTTTGAGACTTCAGCATAGCAGGACAGAGACCAGAATATTTAATGTTCTTGCTCTATCAGTAGGAGTAATCGTCAGTAATGTTTTGGAAGGAGAATGTTGTTCTGTGGTCAAAAATGTACAGTTTAGTATTTCTAGTGAAGATTAGTGGTTTCGTTATATTCTGAAGACCTCTGTAGCAAAATGAAAGTTTGTCTCTACTCCACGACTGATTCCACCGGACTATAAGTTATTCAAAGAATAAACTGCAGTCCACTGACATAGGTTTGCTTATGTCGACCGGGAAATAACAGTAATCCCATATTTAAAATACAAATCTAGACCGCTAAGGAAATGAAAGTTCAGTACATTGTCTACTACGTATTTGTTGATTTTGGATATACCTTTTATTAAGTTTCTCATTCTTGCTTATTTCATTCCCAGCACTTAGAAAACTTCACGTTTTTAAGATATATCTCGCACAACCTATGTATAAACACGAAGTAAGTAACTGCTGCGCAAATATGGTGAATAAAGTTTGCAGTTCGAGTTATTTGACATTTAAAGTTTTGAAATTACTAACGTCGTCCTTGGAAGATTTGAAATCAAGGTAACCATGTCTTGTAACGTCTTCGAGACTTCACGTTGTTTGCTCCTAGTTTAGCCTGTTGATTGTCTTAATCTGAGGCTTGCGTAATTGTCGGTTCTTGCCTAAACAAATGAGCATTACGTGGTCGGTTAACTCGACCCGTAAATTAATTTCCTGATTCTATTTTTATTATATCTGATCTAAAATTATTTTTTGGTGTCTTGATAGAGTCTTCATCATCTACCATAGGATGACAATGGAGAACTTCTGATACTCTTGTTGTAAACTAGGCGAGGAACATACATGACTTGGATGTTCACTTATCCACTTTACTTTCCAGGTTATCTAAGCCTCCTCAAAGAAGCGTCTAGATTATCGCTTAGCCTGTGATTTTAGGGCTATGTAAATTATCAGCACAACTTTTGTCTACATCAAAACCTACTAGGATTTCGTGTACCTGAAAAAATGGATAGTCTACTCATTCGGAAGAGCTTTTGGTGTGGAAGTATGATTCTTGTCTTAGTTGGTTTAAAATGTATAGTGATTAAATCTGTAGTAACTGGCATAACGTACGGCCAGATATCACCTTTGGTAGTACGGCAGCTTTTAGATCTTTTCAAAAGCGATAACTGAAAATGTAACTATTATTACCTGCAATAGAACTTCTACCTATCAGATAGCTCACGGAAACGTTTCCACATATTTTGGAATGTGCTCTTTCGTGTTATGCCTTAAGGAGGTTTCTGCTTAACTGTAGTTACAAGTCCCAAGTTTCATTTCATTAAACTTTATTGATAAGCTTTTTTCATCTTAGACCAAGCATCCTTTTGATTGTCTTTCTGTAAGCTCGTCCCAGGCGGTATAGCCTTCTTGAAGTAAGGGGTATAATAGTTTTCTTCACTTCCTAAGACCGAGGTAGGACTACTTAAAATTGCAAAGGAGGCCTCATAATGGTGAGCGCTCTACTTGCTCTGAAGTGTCAATGGGGACGTACATTTAATGTTTCAGAAAAGTGTTGCTCAGATCCTGTTCTTCGGGAACCTTACAGGTATGTGCCCCCTTGTCACATAATCAAAGCGTAGCCTAGTGCGCATGTGCGTAAACCTAAGTTTTCAATCCGCTAATGTTCACCATTATTGTTCTTCATTTAATAGTTCTGTAAGCTGGTAGCTTGCTCAACCATTTTAAAATTATCTACTTGCAATACAGTTTGATAATCGTGTATGAACTGATGTACTTACGTACGAAGTTCTACGTTGCATCTGACTGACTGATAATCGTGGTTAATTGGCCGCTTTAAACTGTTTTAAAACCTTTAGATTCAATTGAACCCGAGTGAGTCGTTATCAGAAAATATTTGAGTTTTATCATTTAGCAAGCTGTAAACTATAAGAAAATCTAGTTCTGACATGACGTGTATCATGGGACAACCGAGTAAGCAATGCTGTTCTTAGGAAACGGGTCCTAGGTAAGGATGACAGGTCAATAGATGAAGTATTGAAACTTCATTAGTTGCGGTGGTTGGGACATGCCTAACCACCGACTGCCTCGTAGAGCTGTGTTTTGCGATATAGGAATTGGTTGAACGAAAGCTAGAGGCGCCCGAACCAAAACATGGCACAAATCCTTCAAGTCACTGACAAGTGGACTAAGTCATGTTGGTAGGTGTTGTGGTCCGCGAGATGATCATAATCGATGGTTAGAGACTGAATGACATAGCTCAAAACCGTTTGCGATGGCGCAGGTGCATACATTCTCTGTGTTCTCTCAAGTCCTAACGTGAATTCTTCATCACCTCTATATTTCTATTTCTAAACTTACCTCACTGAATACTATCTTCGAACCCTAATCTCTCGTATTACTGCTAATACTTTTACTGCCTCTACTACTATGAGATTTGAATTGACAATTACACCTCTGTGTTGATGTGGTATAGCGACTTGAATTGATGTACTTACGTACGAAGTTCTACGTTGGTGTTGATAATGATGAGTTCTAACATAAACTTCTATTAGTGATTTTATTTCTTCGCTTAGGAATTTGTGCAAACACATTTAAATATCTACTGACTAGTTGTAGTAGTATCGAGACCTACCGTCTAACAACAGAGTTGTTTTGGTTAGTTTGTTTTCTTTAGATCCTGGTTACAAGTATTTTCCCTAAAGCAGTGTAGGGGATTCACCCTAGTAGGCGCTTCAACAGATGGTCATCTGTGTCGATATTAGTATTAGGTCACTTATATTTTGAATATTAGCAAAAGTCATGGAACGCCGTGACGTTTGTTATGGGAAATATTCTAAAACCTGCAAGATTTCGGTTAACTTGTTCAGGGGTTACATTGAGTTGTGTGCGAGATCCAGTTTTAGCGGTCAGATTGACTGAGATCTTAAGTAGAATTAGGGATGTGGACGTAATACCGTCTGACTGGTCTCAATTGCTGATTGTCCAGTCTATAAAAAAGGATAAAAGTCCTCTCATGACAATCACAGAGGGATAAGTTTAACTAACATAATGTCTAAATTGTTAGCCTTGATGATACCTGGAAGGCTCGAGAAAATCAGTTAGCCATGAACAGTGCGGAACATGGCACATATATGCGTTAATTCGGTCTGCTAATTAGTGTAAGTAGTAAAATTATTATTAGTAGTGAGAAAGGTTAGGCATAAAAAGTTTTTAAAAAACGCTATGCGAACAAATGACCTGTAATCTTTTTAAATTTCTATCCTCTTTGTTGTCATGCAACCTGTTCATGCAATTTAGAAACTAGTATGAGTTTGTGTATTACGATGGAACTTGTGTGTATAAACTGCAAATGTGTTTTGTAGTTTTACCTCTATTGGATACTACCAGTCAGTCAGCAACAACGTAAAACTTCGTACGCACGTACACCATTTCAAGTTGCCGTACCACAGTAGCACAGAGACGCGATTGTGGCAAAGGTAGTTAAAGTATTAGCGGTAATCGAAAAGATAAGGGTTTGAAGATGTTATTCAAGTAGTATAATCTAGTAATGATGAAGTTGAAGGTCATGAGAAATTGAGATTAGAATTTAGGAGAACACAAACAGTGGATGCACCCACACCATTGGGAATGATTTTGAGTCATATCATCCAAGGTTTCTAACCATCGGTTACTATCTTCTCGCCGACCTCAGCCTAGTGGTGTACTCCTACCAACATGACTCAGTCCATCTGTCAGTGACTTCATGGATTTGTGCCATGTTTTGATCTGACCGCCCCTAGGTTTCTTCCAACGTACTCGTACACCACAAAACATCGCTCGTTGGGGCAGTAGGTGGTTGGGCTTACGTAGCATATGTCCCAACTGTTATAGTACTTCTGACTTTATTACTTAGTATTTTAGTTTTTCAATTAATTGAACTCATTTAGTTTATCTCACAATAATCTCATGTTGTTTAACTAACAATTTCAGCAGATTTATTTCATCAACTCATAGCAGAGGCTTGGCAAGTATCTAATTGAATAAGATGCTGCTGAAGTCTCTATGGATGACTGTGAATTAGATTTGTTATTAAAAGAGTTGGAGGCTGACTATACGGATGCTCTTAAATATGTTGATCGTGAATTGGAAAAAAAGACCACCACAATGGTAGTTGATGATTATGAGCGATTGCAGAAAATCGGTCAAGGAACATTTGGTGAAGTGTTCAAAGTTCGTCATAGAGTTACTAAACAACATTATGCTTTAAAACGACTTAAAACAGAACAAGAAACAGAGGGTGTAAGTAAACTTTGATTATTATTTTTCTGATGTATATAGTTTCCAGTTACTGCTCTGCGTGAAATTAGAATACTTAGCTCACTTTCTCATGAAAATGTTGTGCGATTACGAGGTGTTTGCCATAAAAAAGGTATAGTGTTCTTGCAATGTTATGATTTTAACTTACAGCTGCCCCTTCTAGCAACTATAGATATGAATTTTATCTTCTTTTCGATATTTGTGAGCATGATCTTGCAGGTCTATTGGCTCAAAAAGTCGAGTTCAGTCTTCCAGTGAAGAAAAGCATAATGCAACAGTTGCTAACGGGACTTTACTTTTTACATAAGTAAATATCAGTTTTTTTTTAAATGATTAAGTTTTGTTAACTTTTTCATTTCAAAATAAACTGTATGTTGTAATAAGATTGCTGATTACTTATTCAACATTAAGTCTCGTATTCGAATCCAGTCTCACGTGCATAATTTCCGGCATACCAATGGTATAAATGGTAACTATTTGTTTCATGAACATCGGGTAAAACGGCAAATGCATAGTACCAAAATAAATGATCAGCTGATTTTTATATATTATGTGAATGCATCGAGTGTAGTAAGAAATTGTTTCCTTGTAAATGGTACATAACTTATTTTTTAAAGTTTCCTTACACATATACTCATTTCTTATGAAAAATAACCTTGTCAGACAATAAAATCCATTAATCTTGTTAACTGATGACCGTTTTTTTATAGCTAAAACTTTTGACGACTCCTAATAAGTAAGCCATAGAGATCTGATTTTAAAAGTGCAACTTTAAAGAAGTTCAAATCACTTACTATAAAAATTTATTGCAGCCTTTTATTTCCATGTCAAGCTCACTAATGCAAGCTAGGAGTTGAAGTACTAAATTTTCGATTATGTTATCAACAATTCCATGCATTATACATTCATTTCGGTCTCTACAGTATCTCGTATTGTAACCCAACAACTGTAATCTTGTCCAGTACTTAGATTCATCGCAATTTTAAATACTATTCATTTTCAATATTTTCTAATATCTTCCAGGAATAATGTTCTTCATCGTGATTTAAAGACATCTAACATACTAATTGATCGTGAAGGAGTTTTAAAAATAGCCGATTTTGGTTTAGCAAGACTTACTGTCACTTCTATTCGACCTGATCGTGCTTCACGTTATACTGGTCGTGTAGTAACTTTATGGTATCGACCTCCAGAAATATTGCTCAATGATCGTTATTATGGAAGACCGGTAGATTTATGGGGTGCCGGTTGTATTATGGCTGAGCTCTGGACAAATTATCCAATTATGCAGGTAAGTAATTGCCAAATATCTAATTTTTAAATACTTCTTGAATTCATTCAAAGTGATGCTTCATTTCATTTTGTTGATGGTACATATCAAGTTTGCGAAAACCAAACTTCGTTTTTACTTGTTGGTGTACGCACCCAACCGTGAGTGGGTAAGAGGGATGAAAAAAGTAGCGGCGATAGGTGGTAACATTAGCCAACTGTTAAGACTTATCAAGGAAACCAGTATTAGAAATCCAATTTATCGAGACTTTCTTCAAAATAGATAAGGATATTATTCATTCTCAACCCAGAAGAATGGATCGATGAGCGGAACACTTTAGGAATCGATTCAGCTGGCCTTTAGCCACACCGGTTACCCACAATCTCCAGTCATCCTGAATGGCAAATTGATGTAAGTCCTCTGAATCTTTATGCAGTTGAAAAAGCTATAGGAAATCTAAAGCGAGGTAGAGCAGCAGGTCCTGATAGGCTCACCGTGAGATATTTAAGGATATTGGTCCAGTTTGAACAGTTAGATTGACTGAGATCCTAGGTAGAATCTGGGAACTGGGCATAATCCCATCTGAGTGGTCTCAATCACAGATTGTCTCAATCTATAAGAAAGGACACAGGTCTTCTTGTGACAATCACAGGGGAATAAGTCTAACTAATATACTACCTAAAATATTGGCCTCAATATTACTTCAACGCTTAACTAGAGCTCGTGAAAAGCAGACTCGAGAAAACCAGGCTGGTTTCAGACCTGGACTTGGCTGTATAGACCCCGCTGATGTACGTAAACATGAACTCTTCCACTAAAATGACGGCAACAAGAATAACTAGTCAGAAATTCTGCTGTAAAGAATGAGTTAAGTAAGTTTCATTCACAAACGACATGAGATTTTGCTTTGAATCATTTTGTGTTTGATGAAGCATTGTGTAGACAACATAAATAAGTATGATACATTACTTATAATAATAATTGTTCTGAATTGTCACCTTCGTACAATCTGTCACTCGAATGAATTATAAGTGTGAACTCCACTTGCATTCAGCAGTTTAGTAAATTGCAACATAGAACTTGGTATTAATGTGCATCAGTTCAGGTGGACATATCCTTGAGGCGAAATGCTAGAGTTGTAGTAGAGATGGATGATAACAGTATCAATTGGGGGAGGGATGTCGAAGATATGAGTTAAAAAAATTTAAATCTGTATAAGCAAAAAATAAAAATAGTGCGGAATTTTAAAGCCTAAAATTTGGGAGGACACAAAATGAATACACCTGTGCCATTAAAAACGATTTTCATGTATGCCATTCAAAGTCTCCAACCAGTGATTGTAGTTATCACACAGTTCAGTCAAATAATTCCAGTAATTATGAGTTCGATGATGTCTTTGATGTGAACATTGTAATAAAGATAACAAAGTTTATTATGTGTCTTCCAGAACATCCCTAAGGATTATGAGATGCACTAGATCGGTAATATTCAAACCTTTATGAAGAAAGTAAATCTGTCTGCTGAATTTCAAATTTGCATTACTCACATAAAATCATCTGGTAGTCTCCTAGAGTAAGAATAGGTAAGAGAAATTTTTTCGACAATGATTTCAATACTAAATCGTGGAAGTCATCAATTCTGAGTGTTTGTTGTATTAAGGTTTTGCTGGGGTGGGCTAAATTGAAAGTAGGGCTCACCACTTTAGTGATCCGATGACCCGACTCCTATTAGTACGAACAATCGAATGTTACAGAATAAATCTTCCCTTCAATTCCCGTTTGTGCGACGGTGATTATAAGGAGCCGAATACGGATTCAGTTGGATGAATTTATTCCATGGATTTATTTAAACAGACAAACATGAGAATAAAAAGTGTACAAGCAAAGCGAATCGTAGTGAAGAAGGCGAGTGAGCCATGGCTAAGTATTTATAGTCAGATAAAATAAGCTAGACATGTAATAAGCGAAGTGATTATGCACATTAGCACCCAAGTAATAAGAATCAAGATATGAGCGAATAGTCGACAAGGTCGAAAGATGTGTGAATGACTCCTGAAGAATGAACTAATTAATTTGCCCGAAGGCTGGGCTTGACATATTAGTACACACACTACAAGGTTTTGTGTGTAGACCGAAAAATATATGCAGGAGTCCCATGCCCATTCTGGCAATGCATCATAATCTCCCGAAAACAAAATAAAACAACTATTTTGTTAATATTTACCCAACTATTTATGCATAAATATCAATCGGAAATACATGTAATAATACTTCAAAATTGCCGAAACTTATCTATACAGCCAACAAAATGCTGCAAAAGAAAACGTGTATACTCAAGTTTATAATGCAAGAAGTAAGTTACACGAGATTTAAAAGTGAAAGTATTCCTAGTTAACAATGAACGATATTGTATGTGCAATCAATTAAACACCTCAATCCATTTAAATATAAATAGTCAAGCACAATAAATCAATGTAACCTCAACTAAAACTTTGAGTTTAAGTAATGAATGACAAGCAGTGTAATAAACAGAAATTTCAAATAAAAAGTAATAATGATCTAATCTCGTTTAAACCAAAAATAAGAGTTTACAAAGAATTATAGAGAATGAGAACAACAATAAGGCTAAAGATGATTGTCATACTGAAAAGGGTAATACATCGGCTTCAGAGATCAGTCCACGTGACTGAAGGCCTTTAATATAAACTCACTTATTCATAATTCGCCTTCAATATCTAATCAAGAATTTGGTATGTATCTGGACTTATGACAATATGTATACACACACTAGTTAGTGTAAGCACTTGAAACTACTGATCAAAAACCTCAAGACGAGTCTTGCAAATATCTCGTCTAACAAGATCATCCTTCATTTACACACTGTTACTTCCTACTGTCCACCATATTAATCCTTTTCACTTGCTTCCACCAATCTTAACCTCAATCACTGCACCTCCGTTAGTTATTTAGTTAGTTAGTTAATACAACTATTCATCCTGTGTGATATATGTGTTTGAATCTTATTACTAACTCCACTCAGTCACAGTGTATGTACTCGACTTGAAGCCACATTGTATTGGTGTGAAAGCTAAGGGTATGGTGCGAACTACTTATAAGTAGTATATAGCGTGAGTGTCAACGTAAAGTCTGGTAGCATAATATGGGGGGAAGATCAAGAAAGGAAGAGTCAGAAAACAATGGAATTTGTATGAAACGCATGAAGAGTGACAATGGATTGATGTTTGGCAACAGGAACAGTCCAGTTCCATAGGATGAACTGATCTTTTGCAAATGAACGATTTACGATATGGTTTTCCGATTTTACTGAGTAACTCTGTAATTTTCGTTAAATACAATTCGGTTGCCTCCACCTGTGTTCTCATTCACTACAAGGGTAGTTTGTGACTGTCTTAACCGGAATAGATAAAGTGTATGAGGTGTTTAAACATACTGATTGTATTGACGAAATATAATCCCTATTATATTTCATGGTAAATTATTTAATTTTGAATTTCTCCACTTTTATTTGTATCATTAAACAAAAAGGGTGAAAATGAACTGCTTCAACTCAATCTAATCATTCAACTTTGTGGTTCTATTACACCAGAAGTTTGGCCAGCTGTTCAAAATTTAGAAACTTATCAAAAAATCAAATTACCAAAAGATGTAAAACGTCATGTTAAAGAAAAATTAACACCACAAATTCCATGTTCATCAGCAGTTGATCTAATTGATAAATTGCTTGTTTTAGATCCAACTAAACGTTTAGATGCTGATCAAGCTTTATCACATGATTTTTTCCATGAAGATCCATTACCGGGTGATTTAAGTTGTCTTTCAAAAAGTGGTGTATCATTTTTAGAATATTTAGGACAAGCTAATAGAGCTAGACGTGGATTAGCCAATAATTATCGTCATGTTGCAAATCCTAATTTCCCAGCTAGACGTGGTCCACCAAATGCTATGGTACCGGGACCTGTGCCAAATCAACAAATTATCAACCAATCATATCAACGATATCGTGGTCTTCCACCACCGGATCAAGATTCATCTAATATTAATGATCGTATATTTTAGTCAGGGCGAGGGGAAAGAGAGGAGAATTCAATGTTTCATTCATTATATAAATTCATGTATATTGCATTTTTACAACAACAAAACATCCATTTAAATCAGCCTTCACAAGCAGTAAGTATATTGTGATAACTACAAAAATAACACACAACACACACATACAGACTATATTTCAACTCTTAAGATTTTGTATTTTTCTAGTCTTATTGTAAATCATATACAGGGAATATTTATGATGCTAATTGAGCGACTGAATGCATTTCTCTGGGTTTTTTTTTCTCTCTCTGTAATTTAATCTTTGCTAGTCTGCTGAAGAAATTCTTTTTTTTTTCCGTATAATTTATTTTTAATGACTAAAATGACGAAAACTTCAAGTGGACTTGGTAAGAAAGTAGTTGTATTTTGATGCAAAGAGCAAGATCAATCTGAGTTTGACATGTAGTGGTGAAGCTTCATCAGTTGCAGTGGTTGGGACATGTGTTGCGTATGCCCAACCACCGACTGCCTTGTCGAGCTTTGTCTTTGGTGTAGGAGTAGGTTGGAAGAAAGTTAGGGGAGGCCAAACCAAACATGGCAGAAATCCATGAAATCATTGACGAGTGGACTTAGCCATGTCGGTAATTGTCGACTACCTGGTTGGGGTCCGCGAGATGATAATAATCGATGGTTAGAGACCTTGAATGACATGGTTCAAAATCGTTCGCATTGGCGCCGGTGCATTCATTCATTATGTTCTTTCAAATTCTAATCTTCTGAGTTCCTCAACACCTCTAGTTGTCTTTCTAAACTTTTCTCATTTAATCATAGTTCTTGAATAATATCTTCTAATCCTAACCTCTCCGATTACTTCTAATACCCTTACTAACTCTTCTACTATTGGATTTGAATTGACAATTACATCTCTGTGCTGATGTGGTATGGTGACATGAACTGATGTACTTACGTACGAAGTTCTACGTTGCAACTGACTGATTTTAAATCATGCTTACCTAAATTAGTCGATTAGTCATATGAAGAAGAGACTAATATACATTAATTGATGGGTTCAGTTGTTCTCATTGAAGAGACAACGATGTGTAGTTTGAAAAGCCACCTGATTTAATCTAGTCCATGGTCGAAACATAAGTGATTTATCATTATTAAGTTGTTGTTTATTACTGAAATCACGAATCAATCATTGTTCTACGACCATTCAAATCTTAGAAGCACTGAACAGCCGTTTGGTTCTTGTATGGGACTCATCTGCAGTGGCTAGCTTCGTGAGTCGATTCTCAGAGTTCTAGTGCGAAGACGTGAACAGTGGAGTCCAACCATGTCGGGTGTCGGCAGTAACTACCGAAGACAAACGGGTGAGGTCGCACGAAATATCCTGATTGATCAGATTTGACGTTAACACCGTTGGATGCCGGCTCAGTTGTCTAAAGATTAGGCCCCTCACGTGAGCTAGATGCTCGTGACCAGGAGTCGTGGATGCGCACTGTTGATGAGTCTCATACCAGGACGAAATGGCTGTCCAGTACTTTCGAGCAACTCGAACGATTGGGTAGCACAAACATTTTGAATACTATGTACTTAACTCAGTCTACTGATGATGAACCAAATCTGTAAGATTATCATCTCTATCTAGTTTACTTAAACTATCATGAACTACTTAAACCAAGTTGTTTTCAGGATCTCATAGGAATTTCTGTCGCTTTACTCGTATTTTCTATATCGTATGGAAACTTTGAGTAGGCATTTTTTCAGGTATGAAGTCATAAAACAACTGCAGTGGTATATGCCAGTAAGGTTAACCATAAGGTTAGGAAAAAGCCATGGATTTCAGTAGCATCTACCGACCTGATAAATGGTCGGAAACTCATCCCTCTTGGCTCTAAACATGACGATGAGCGAAGTCAGCTTATGCGCAGGCTGATAAAAGGCCCGCGCAATGGTCGCGAACAGTGGTGGCTAGTGAAAGCGAGAGAGATGGAAAAGGCAGCGGCGATAGGCCACAGTAGACAACTTTTCCGCCTTATATGGGAAACCGGTGCTACGAATCCATATGTTAGCCAAATTGTCTCAGAAAAGGATGGTCGTGTCACTCATTCTCAACACAGGAAATTGGATCGATGGGCAGAACGCTTCAGGGATCAATTCAACTGCCTTCAGCGACACTTCGATTGCCCACGATTTCTAGTCAAACCGATGTAAGTCCTCATAGTCTTTATTAAGTTGAGAAAGCTATACGAAATCTAAAGCGAGGTAGAGCAGCAGGTCCTGATAGGCTACCTCCCGAGATCTTTAAGGATGGTGATCCAGTTTCAACAGTTAGATTGACTGAGATCTTTGGTAGAATCTTGGAAATAGGCGTAATCCCAATTTATAACAAAGGATAAAAGTCCTCTTGTGACAATCACACGGGAATCAGTCTAACTAATATAGTATCTGGATTGTTAGCCTCGATTATACTTAGTCGCCCAAACAGTGCTCGTAAAGAGCAGACTCGAAAGAATCAGGCTGGTTTCAAACCTGGACGTGGCTGTATAGACCACATTTTCATACTACGACAGGTCTTGGAACAGACACATATTTAGGCGTCCTACAATAGTTGTCTTCGTGGACCTAAAGGCGGCAGTGTCTGTCATTGAAAGGTGTACCAAAGAAGTACATTAATCTTATACAAGCTCTGTACTCGAACATGCCTGGTCGGGTCAGAGCTTGTGGCGAACTGTCATCGGGATTCACTACTTCAAGTGGCGTCCGTCAGGGCTTTCCACTTTCTCCATTCCTGCTTAACTTTGTCGTAGACATCCTTTTGGAGATAACACTATCCTCGTCAGATTTTTCAGGAGTGGACCTTCTACCAGGAGGATCGCTTACTGACCTAGAATATGCCGATGACATAGTTCTGTTCGGTGAAGAAGCTGACAAAGTGCAGTCTTCTGACCACCTTGACCAACAATGCAAGCATGTTCATGATGTGGTTCTCACCCTCGAAATGCAAAATGTTGCTTTAAGATTGGCTTGCATCGGCACCTGAACTAGTGATAGGCAGTGAAGTAGTCGGGCGTGTCGACCGCTTCACTTATCTCTGGATTCTCATCTGTGCTGATGACCTTGTGACTGACGAAATCTCAACACTGATTCAGAAGGTTCGACTGACCTTTGCCAGCCTGCGTCATTTATGGCTCTAGCGAGATATCCTTTTGCTAACCACAGGACGAGTGTACTGCACAACAGTTCACTCTGTCCGACTATAAGGAGGCGAATCATGGCCGGTAAGTGTAGAGGACATTCGTAAGTTATTAATATTCGATTATAGATTTCATCGAACCACTACTCGTATATCTTTGTACAGTTGAGTAAGCAATACTGTCGTTAGGAAACGGGTACTTGGTAGGGATGGCTTGGCAATAGATGAAGTATTAAAACCTCATCAGTTGAGGTGGTTGGGACATGTGTTACGTATGCTCAACCACCGACAGCCTCAACTAGCTACGTTTTGTGGTGTAGGAGTAGCAGGTTGTGAAAAAGCTAGGGGCAACCAAACCCTAACACGGTACAGCTTTATGAAGTCACTGACAAGTGGATTAGGTGAAGTTGGTATATGTAGACTATCTGGTCGGGGTTTGCGAGACGATAGTAACCGATGATTTGAAACTCTGAATGACATTGCTTGAAATCATTCGCAACAGCGCGGATGTATCCATTCTTTGTGTTCTCTCAAATTGTAATTTGAAATCATGACGTTCATCTTTCTTTTCTCAAATCGATTTCACTAGGTTTTACTCCTTGCTTAAGATCTTCAAACCCTAATCTTTCCAAGAACTGCTCATACTTCCACCATCTCTCCCACCATGGGATTTGAATTGACAATTGCATCTCTGTGCTAATATGGTATGGCAACCTAAATTCATGTACATACGTACGGAGTTCTACGTTGTAACTGACTGACTTTAGATAACTACGCTTATTGTTTACAGTTCATTAATCGACTCATATACTATGAAAGGGTATTTTTTCATATATTTATCATGAATACTGTCTGATGTTGCTCTCCCTCTATAGCAATATGAAGTTGATGCATTTACTCATTATACTTCGTAAGATTGAATTTAGCCATGTGTTTGTTATTTTATCCTTGTTACATTTTATCACACATTGATGAATACACCGTCTCCCCATTATAGAGTAGTTCAGTCATAATAATAATTTGACAACCAGAAACTTAGCGTTTAAATGTTTCCACAATTTGACCATTAGGTTACTTTTCAAGCAACTCCCTTTTTATACTACGTCCATCAATATCTCTTCTCAAAGTCGAACTATAGTCAAGCTCAACAGGGTCTTCTTTTCCTTCTAATTCTGCCAAGCCCGTTCTCGTGGTTGTGGTTTCGCTAGCTAGTAGATAGGGAATAAACGATTTCAGAATTGATAATCTTCTCTCAACATAATGATAGCTATGGTCGATTTCAGCAGACGCAATGTGTTAGTATCCATTTGTGGTGCGAGCTACTTATAAGTAGTATATAGCGTGAGTGTCAACGTAAAGTCTGGTAGCATAATATGGGGGGAAGATCAAGAAAGGAAGAATCAGAAAACAATGGAATTTGTATGAAACGCATGAATAGTGACAATGGATTGATGTTTTGCAACAGGAACAGTCCAGTTCGATATGATGAACTGATATTTTGCAAATGAACAATTTACGATATGGTTTTCCGATTTTACTGAGTAACTCTGTAATTTCCGTTAAATACAATTCGGTTGCCCCACCTGTGTTCTCGTTCACTACACATTTTGTCAATAAAAAATAACTTGAAAATAAATTTAGACTTTTGTATTTTATAAGAAATTAAAAATAATCTGTTCACTCGTTCAATTCATCTAAATAATAATAATAATAATAATAATATAAAATATAAGTGATTAAAAACTGTACTTTTCAAGTGAAGAGTAAAATAATAAATATACTGATGATTGTGTAATAATAGTAATCTCCTGTATTACGTTATGTAAAGTTAGTTTTTTGAGGAATATTGGAATCATTATTTATTGATGAAATTTTCCCACTTATTACTTGTAAACGAGGTAATTTCATGTCGAGAACTTGTGTATTTTGAGGAGGATGTACAGTAGAAAATTGTTCTAGTTCCTAAACCAAATAACAAACAGATTAATTAAAACAAATCACGAGTGAAAAAAAAATATATTCAGTTATAATCTTTTAAATATTACCTGATCATTTGCTGTTTGTGGAGGTAACCAATTTGGAAAATGTTTGTAGAATGAACGTGCTTGCCAAGCTAATAAACGTGGACTAACTGGTGAATGACTGTTAAATCCTGATGTGATAAATATGAAAATATAATACGTGTTTTAACCGGAAGTAAATGAATTTTTATTTAAATTTCAACAATTTAGTGAGAAAATAATGTCGAGATATAATAAAAAAAAATATGTAGTTAGGTATATTTGTGCCATACAATTTTTTTAAACATGTTTTTCATATTTAACATTTGTTGGTATTGGCGTATTCCTTAATCTTGTCTATGGATTGTCCGACCATTTTTGCATGAAAAACATCATGCGTGCAATGTCAAGTCATTTATTTGTACGTCGAAACTTGATCTAATGCATTCGATCAGAATTAAAGACTGCGGAAACGTGATGTTAATCATTATTCTCTGATTAATCTCTCAACTTTGATTAGTTTTGACGGAAAAAATGATGCAGTTTTTCCGCATTGTGTAACATTGTAATGAATAGCTGACAAGTTCAACATTTTACACAAGGTACATTGTTAGCCTGACTTTTAGCTATAATTTAACAAGCAACTTTATTGATTAATCAGCTGAACAACTCAGTTTAGTCAATCGAAAATGTAGCATAATAAATGAAAACAATATTTCTCACATCTTGATCTGAAACAGTCAGTCAGCTAATGTACGTAAGTACATCAGTTCAAGTTGCCATACCACGATAGCACAAAGACGCAATTGTCAATTCAAATCCCATAGTTGTAGAAGTATTAGAAGTAATGGAAAAGATTAAGGTTCGAAGAAATTGTTTAACAAGTACAATCTAGTGAAACAAACTTAAAAGGAGATGAGAAAAGGTCCTGAGCTCTTGAGAGAAGATGAAGGATGGATGCACCTGCGAACCCGACCATAGCTGCTACCTTGACTTGGTGGTCGGGCTTTCTTATAGTGATGACCCAAATGAACTATATTGGCTGGGACATATGTTCCTTTATGTACTACTATACCAGACAGCAGGTCGACTGAAGAACAGTAGCACTAAAAGCAGCAACTCATAGTCTGAGAGCGAAGTTGTACTGCTTTCTGTGGAGAGATGTGACGGCGACAAGGTGCTTCCCTCGGACAACCAGCATCTGCATTGATGCTACCTCCTCAAAACAGAAGAAAGGAGTTACAATGGTCGACCCTAAAACTGTCACACCTTACTCCACGGATTTCCTTCCCAAGCGTTAAGGTCATTTTAAGAGCGGTCACGCTCCTACGTCTGTAAGGCCAATGCTAATCCAATTTCTTTTTTCAAGAAATACCCTTTCACTGTGTGGGCAGCTGCAGGCGACATTCGATCTCATATCCTTAGCAACACATGAGGCCGAATCGGTCATAATAAAATTCTTCCTCTACTTTTTAATAATTCATAATAATAAAATCTAGATCTGAATAGAAAATATTATTATAAAATTATGTTTTTCTTGAAAGTTTCTATAATCTTCTTGATTTATCCAGAGTTTTTCTAATACTAGAAATATGTGTATTAATTTTATTAATTTATTACAATAAAATTTAGTGTCGATGTGAAATCTTTCGGGTTTTGATCTGACTTCTGTAGCTGTTGTTATATATAATCTCTTAATATATTTAACCGTCCCAGCCACTTATCACTTTTGAGCAGATGACACACAACTGCCGAAGACTTAAACAACACAATGCGCTGGTAGTAGGAGGTAAACACTCGGGACCAACTGGAGAACAGAGCCTAAAATAGAGTTCGTTGGAAATTTCCAGCCGGAGGCCTATTGTAGTGAAAGAGAACACAGGTGGGGCGACCGAATTGTATTGAACGGAAATTACAGAGTTACTCAGTAAAATCGGAAAACCATTTCGTAAATTGTTCAGTTCAGTTCATCATATCGAACTGGACTGTTCCTGTTGCGAAACATCAATCCATTTTCACTATTCATTCATACAAATTCCATTGTTTTCTAACTCTTCCTTTCTTGATCTTCCCCCATATTTATGCTGCCGGACATTACGTTTACTCTCACGTCATATACTACTTATAAGTAGCTCACACCACACTATGTTTCGTGGAGGAGATATTTAAATATGTAAAGAAGTGACAGATTAAACGAATGAACGTAATATTCGACGATTTAAAACAGTCATGAAGTGTTCACATATTCAACGAGTTGCAAGAAATAATTCTACTACAATCTAATCCCGATCCGATATCAAACTATCCTCAATTGTTTTCGACAAAATGTTATTCTATTCATATTTCTTAATTAAAAAAAAAAGATATTCGGTCAAATATAAATAGGTTTTGGGTACGACTCCTGCGAGTGGGAGCTCAATAATATTTTCACAACCCTCTATTGAAAAATATAAATATTCCAACTGAAAATAATTACAATCTACCTGTAATTGCACTAATTATAAATCCTATAGGAATTCCAACAATTAAACAAGCTGCAGAATAATAAAGATATGAAAGTGAATAAAATGACCATGTTGTTGTCTCGGAAAGATTAGCGATAGTTGTAGTAGTAGTAGCAGTCGGTGTAATAGATGGTATATTCTGACGAAGTGTAGATGAACAATTTTCAATTGTTAAAGGTAAACGACCAGTGGTAGTTGGTGAAATTGTAAAAGTATTTCCAATACAAAGCCATAAACCACAGATAACACCACTAATTAATGCGCACAATCCACCCTGAACATACATATGTTGAGAAGAGGAAAGAAATAAACAATAATGTGTAAGTGTTATATCATGATTAAATTGTTGAATATAAACAAAACAAGATTAAAGAAATTGACTACAATGACTTGTTTTATTAACATTAAAAAACATAAACAGCACTAACAATAAGACTGGAGTCATATTCGATAAATCATCAGTTGTATAAGATTTCTTTACATTTTGAAATACATCATATGAAGTATTGTTTGCAAAAATTATGAATAACACTGAACTCTCGACTTGACAAAAGTGGAAGGATGAATTGCGAAAGTCTATTACAACTGATTTCAAACCATGTCGTTTGATTTCATCAACTGTTGATTCCCACCATCTCATTCATGGGTTTTAATCAGAACATCTACAATTACCGATTGGGGATACGATATATGACTAAGGTAAATCATGCAAACACCGACCAGGTAACCTTCACTCAACTACATACATGACTTAGTCCTATGACTGAATGTATTGATGTTATTTTTGAGTTTAATTGCCCGTAGCGTATTTCCAAATTATTCTCATCGTTCGTTGAGGTAAGCAGTGATTAGGAATACATAATACACGTCTCGAACACCTCGGTCGATGAAGATTCACTTCATTAATCGATTAAACGACTAGATGACATGGCTTAGAATCGTTCGAAATGTAACTGATGAATATGCTTTTTTCGCGGTGGAGTATTATAGAGATAGTAGTTTTATCTTCAAATTACAACTCAGTTACTGTTAGGCCAACATTAAAGTTCTGGAAGCACTGGACGGCTGTTTCGTCTTAATATGGGACTCATCAGTAGTGTGCATCCACAACTCCCGCTAATTACATGATTCGAACCCGGAATTTTGGCCCAACCTCTGGACCACTGAGTTGGCACTCACTGGTGTTAATATCAAAGTCTGATCTGAGAATTTCGCTCATATTCACCAATTTGTCTTCGATAATTACTACCGACACCCGATAGGGTTGAACTCCACTGGCCACGTCTTCTCCGAGGACCTAGCGAAGCTACTGAGCATAGTTTTCGATTTAGCATTAGAGTATTATGGAGATGGTAGTTTCACTTCAAATGAATGAGCACTGCTGATGAGTAGTCACATATCAGGAAGAAACGGCCGTCTAGTGCTTTAAGGTTTCTAATGCTGGGCTGATAATGATTCATTCATGATTTCAAAGTTAATATGCTTTTAATCCTTTGTTAGATTTCCATGCTTAAAATTGTTTGAAAAATTTTTATTCCCAAACTTATATTTTCGTCTCAAATCATATAGTCTATGTCTTATTTTATCCATTATAAGTAATGCTGTAACTTTTGTTCCCATAATTTCTTCATTCTAAGCTGATAATATTATGACAACTTGAGGCCATTTCAGTTATGAACCTGATATGCTCGTGAACTTCAATGCTCGAAACTATTACGAGTTCACCTTACTCGGTAAATGAGAGTGAAGATAAATGATCCAGTGACATGATAGGCTATTCCGATCCGATTACCCTTGGCCCTACTAACCATAAAAAGAAGTTTTGATATGGCGTAGAAAGTGTATCCTACAAGCACCAAGAAAATATGAGGTTGACAGCATACAAATCGAGTTTATCTATACATGATAGAAACGTCGTTGGAAAAGCCACAAAACGCTACATCAACCAATAACAGTCAAGGATTTCCTGAATGACAAATGTAATCGCAAGGACAACTGATCAGCCCATGCGCGAAAATACAAAATCCAAAATTAAGTTCTGGGGATCTAACGTCCCCAACAGAACCAGTTTGTAAATTTCTTATAAATGCTTGACCACAAAACACTCTGATTCTCTACTCACTTTCGCATTAATACAAGGGAAAAATATCCCAACAGTAAATATAGTTAAAACTGGACCACCAATTGCACCGAATAACGAGAATGATATTTGTAATATATGCGAACTGGATAACGTGAAAATGAAAGCCAACGCAACAGTTGAAATACCAAATAAAATACCTGTATATTGAAATAGAAAGAGAAAATGTGTAACATGATAAGCAAAAAGGTTAGTTAAGTGAAATTTATTCATTCCGGGAAACAAGAATGAACAGACTAAAGTGCTATTTATGTATGTAAACTTGTAGAAATTATTCATTTTATTTCTTTTCTCTAAGGCGAATATTTCAAATTAGTTGGAATAAAGTAGTACATAATTTTTGTGTATTCATTCAAACAAATTTATTTCAATTTTAAATATCCGCCCTCCTTCAGACAATTTTGTTAATTGAACAACAACTTAAACAAATGGTACACATGAGAGAGAATATGAAAGAATTAATTTTTTAAGAAACATGACGTTTTGATTATTTTCTTATGAATTGGTTACATTGAAACAGCTTCAGTCAAACAATAAATGAAACAATCAACAAGATTACAAAAAAACAAAACATTTGAGAAAGTCATGTGACCAACAAGCGATAATAAACACAGTCATCAGAATGGACTAGATTTATTCATGATTATTGAATAACATTTTTCTTGAGAAATCTTACTAATCATCAGATTAGACACTCATAATGTTTTATTCATAAAAAATCAATATTGTTTTGTTGTTATAGTTAAGACACTACAGTTCAAAAATCACCTGACTCTTCTATTACACTCAACCAGAATTGTAGGAGAAGACGGATAGTGTAGTAGCAGCAGACTCTGCAGCGGTTGGCTTCAACAAACACAAGGGTAAAAAGCGAAATCCACCAGTACGATACAGTATGCACCAAACAAAACACACTTGATGCAGGGGGGCAGGATCACTAATAAATAAGGTGAATGTGATACAGATGTGAAAACATGAAATTACAAAGCGATGGCAGCATTTCTGTAATTGGACTATATGCAACTCAAAACAACCAACACGAGACTCTTAATGTTTAATAAAGAACATCAAGATAATTCTGTTGTATGAAGCGGAAACTACGAAAGCCAAACTCCACACGGTATAAGAGTAATAATGAAAAGTGTACGGAAGATACTTCACATCCCTTGGCCAGACATTATCAGTAACAATCTACTATGGGAGATAACAAACCAGATTTTAGCTGAGTAAGAAATTAGGAAAACATGCTGGAGGTGGATAAGACACACGTTGATGAAAGCACCCAATTGCGTCACAGGGCAAGCTCTAACTTGGAATCCTCAAGACAACAAGGAAAAGTGGAAAACCAAAGAACACACCATGCCGAAAATCCTAAACAAACATGAAAAGAATGAATAGCGATTGGGTAGAATTGCGAAGGAAGGCTTATGATGACAGACTTGTTTGAAGAATACACTATCAGGGGTAAGTAATAGTTGAATAAACGTAACACTGTCAAAAGTATTGTATTCCTTTATTCATAAAATCATAGCACAATGTCATTGATGTACGTCGATACAAGTATAACTTATTTTGTAATTACCTTACTCTAAATATTGAAACAAAGCAAAGAAATGAAATGACAGCACTAAGACTTTTCATGTATTCTCATTTGAATTTTTATCTTTCAAAGTGTATTATATTTTTTTAATGCTTTAAATTAATTTATTTCTTTTTTACAACTTCATACATTTTAGAAATGTACAGAGAGTAAGTAAAATTACCTGCTCAAGCCCGTATCTAACTATTATTTATTGTTTTCATTAAGAATTAACCATATTTGTTATTCATGTCAAATATTTTTTTATACAAGTGTAGTAGACTTTTTTTGTGTGAATAAAACCACTCCCTTTAGTGACAAGTTGTTCGAGCTTGTAAGCCAATCAAACCATGTGTTGTTCATGTGTTTTGGTTGATTCTACATTTCTCTTATTGGAATACAGGTTGCTAGTTTGCTTCAGTTTGGAATTGATCAGTTGCAACGTAGAACTTCGTACGTATGTACATAAGTTCATGTTGCCATACCACATTATTAGCACAGAGACGCAAATGTCAAATCAAATCCCATAGTAATAGAGATGGTAGAGGTGTTAGTGGTAATGAAGAAGACTAGGGTTTGAGGATTTAATCAAGATGAAAAATTCAGTGAGATAAGGTTAGAAAGACAAAGGTAGAGGTGCTAACGAATCCAGAAGACTAGGATTTGAGAGAGCACAAAGAATAAATGCACCGGCGCCATTGCGAACGATTTTGAGCCATGTCGTTCAAGGTCTCTAACCATTGGTGACTTTCGTCTCGCGGACCCCGACCAGGTAGTCTACATCTACCAACATGACTCAGTCCACTTGTTAGTGACTTCATGGATTTCTGCCATGTTTTGGTCTGGCTGCCCCTAGCTCTCTTCCAACCTACTCCTAGACCACAAAATATAGCTCGTCGAGGCAGTCGGTGGTTAAGCATTCGTAACACATGTCCCAACCACCTCAACTGATGAAGTTTCACTACTTCATCTATTGATCTGCCATCCTTACCTAGTACTCGTTTCCTAACGACAACATTGCTTACTCGGTTGTCCCACGATATACGAGCAATGCTTCTAAGACATCTATGATCGAATACCAATAACCTACGAATATATTCTACTTTTACCGGCCATATTTCACATCCATATAGGAAACCGGAGCGAACTGCTGCACAGTACACTCGTCCTTTGGTTAGCGAACGGATATCTCGCCTACGCCACAAACGGAGTAAATTGGCAAAAGCAAAGGTTTATTTATTATTATTATTATTATTTATTATAATGGAAACAAGTATCCTAGAAAGTAGAAATTTTAGAAATAATTTTTTCGAAATTTTACTACTTATAGCTTTATTGCATAATTCCAACATAACTGCACTACTGTTTCTCTACATTGTGAGCATCCAATTGACTTGTCAACCATTCTTATCGTTCCGAATTGATTGTTAATCAATTGTTTATAGTTTGCCCAGTTAACAGCCTTTTTGGGCTTGGTTATGTTAAACTAAGATTTTCTATTCTGTGTGCAGTTCGGTTCAGCAAATCTTTTAAGATAAATGATGACTGATTGAAATACAAAACTAATAAAAGTTCGGTCGCAAATCTCCCTTCCGGATACAAAAATCGAGGTACAAAAGGCCTGAGGATAGAGGAATCGAAACAAATGAAGTTTACGTTACCCCAACTTTAGTCTTTTTGGTTAGAGTGTATCATTGTTCAAGGTTGAGAAGCCTAGACTACAGATGGATTAATAAATGTGGATTAGTAAAATCATAAGTCGAGATTCTGTTTGGTGAATCTGGCAGGTCAGTGATCTATCATGAATTATTTGCATCCTAGTGTTGGAAAAATAATATGAGCCATCTTCCTTGGTATTCAGTAATTCGTTGTTATCAGATATTTAACTTTTTTCGTAACAATTATTGTTTTCACCTAACAAGTACTAGTGTGGTGCTGTGGTGCGAGCTACTTATAAGTAGTATATGACGTGAGCGTCAACGTAATGTCTGGCAGCAGAAGATGGGGGAAGATCAAGAAAGGAAGAAGAGTGGGAACACAATGGAATTTGTATGAAACGCATGAATAGTGACAATGGATTGATGTTTTGCAACAGGAACAGTCCAGTTCGATATGATGAACTGATATTTTGCAAATGAACGATTTACGATATGGTTTTCCAATTTTACTGAGTAACTCTGTAATTTTCGTTAAATACAATTCGGTTGCCCCACCTGTGTTTTCCTTCACTACACTAGTACTTTTAACAATAGTGAGATTCGTTTACATCTAGCCGATGATTGCTAAATAAGACAGAATCTAAAACTAGATTCCACTGCTATTCAAAGTCTAGCAATCAATGGAGTTTAAATCTTGAGCTTACGCCTTCATTCTATTGTTCATATTTTTTTTTTGTTCAGTATTCAGTCGGGGAAATTTTAAGTGCTAGAAGTGATTAAGCTGTTTGACATTGTTATTTTTGAAAAATTATGAATTTAATGAAATAAAAATTACGCAACAGAAATGTAGTTATCTTAATGCATGATAAAATGAACATGATCATTAGGTCAACTGATTTATGAAGTGTTCATCCGTCATGCAATAAATAGTGAGTAAATGTTTTATCTATTAAAATTCATGACCACAAAAAAATTTTTTCTATCCACTGTATTCTTGCTTCTTGTATTCACATGACAGATAAATGAACTCTGTCCTTTGACCTAGTCGTCAAAAACCTTTTGAACAAATGAACCATACAATAATAAGAAATGTATACATAGTATCCGACACTACGGGGTGCCTGAGAAAATAGTTAACATCATACGGAATTCTTATGATGGATTCAACTGCAAAATCGTACACGAAGGACAGCTAACAGACTCCTTTGAGGTGAAGACCGGTGTCAGGCAAGGTTGCTTACTCTCACCCTTTCTCTTTCTCCTGGTCATCGACTGGATTATGAAAACGTCAACATCTGGAGGGAAGCACGGTATCAACTGGACAGTTAGGACGCAGCTGGACGACCTGGACTTCGCAGATGACCTGGCTCTTCTATCGCACACTCAACAACAAATGCAAGAGAAGACGACCAGTGTAGCAGCAGCCTCTGCAGCAGTAGGTCTCAACATACATAAAGGAAAAAGCAAAATTCTCCGATGCAACACAACATGCACCAACCAAATCACTCTTGATGGAGATACCTTGGAGGACGTTAACACCTTTACATATCTGGGCAGCATCATCGACAACCATGGTGGATCCGATGCAGATGTGAGGGCACGGATTGGCAAAGCAAGGGCTGCATTTCTACAGTTGAAAAATATCTGGAACTCCAAACAACTTTCAACCAAACCCAAAATCAGGATTTTCAATACAAATGTCAAGACAGTTCTACTGTATGGAGCGGAAACATGGAGAACTACCAAAGCCATCATCCATAAGATACAAGTGTTTATTAACAGCTGTCTACGCAAAATACTTCGTATTCGTTGGCCAGACACCATCAGCAACAACTAACTGTGGGAGAGAACAAACCAGATTAAAGTTGAAGAGGAAATGAGGAAGAAGCGGTGGAAGTGGATA